GGTTTTCCATCAAACCACTAAAAGTTAAACTCTTAGCAGGGCTTTGCAGATTTTGCCACCGAGGCTCGGCGTTTTCGGACGCGCAGGCGGCCCCGGCGCCCCCTCGCCCCGCCTCGCTGGTCCGCGCAGGAGCTACGCCATGGAGCTCCACGAGTTCCGGAAGCAGAAGCGCCTCTACGAGGCTCCGCGAGGGCGGGCCGACCGGGCGGGCGGGGGATCGGCCGGGGCCTTCAGCGGTGGGAAACGCCCGGTGGGGGGGGTCCTTGCGATTTTCCCCTGGTGGGTGGTGTTTAAAGAGGGGGCTGCCCCGCCAAGATGTTGTTGCTGGAACAATTCTTTGAGGGGTTAAAACATGTGAAAACACTTGGGTGGCTCCTCAAACCAAGGTGAAATGGGTGTGTTGTTGATTTAGGGTACCCTTGCTTGGGTTGGCTTAAAGGGACACCAAGAGGGAAGCCACCACTTAGGGGATCCCTCAAAACAAGACACACCCACTTTCTTTGTCTGCTATTTTTTTAATGAACATGTCAGGCACATGTCTGCAGGAATGTCTACAGGAAATTTGCCAATTGCCAACTACAAGAACCAATCTAGGATTTCCTGTAGAGTTTCCTGTAGTTTTTTCTGCTATTTGGCTGGATCTTTGGCCTGGAGCAGTTTGTGTGTAGTTTTGAGAGCATGTGTAGTGTGCCACTCACAAACAACAACTTGTTGTTTTTGTTTTTGCGCTGACAGAGTTTCGGTCACTATTCTAGGGGTACCTTCCCCATTCGTTCCACGGATCCTTCTTTTCAGTAAACCATCAAAACTCAGTGAAACAGCCTGTTATTGAAAAAGCGATGGTTGAAAAGAATGGGGAATCAATAGAACTATGGGAAGTATGGACCCTTTGTTCATACCCCCCGCTTCCTTGTTGCCAACCATATCCCTTCTGGGGAGATGGCTACCACCGCCAAGAAAGCTCTGCAGGATCATTGACGCAAGTAAACGGAGGGTCCCCGCGAGTTTCCACAAGCCCGGAAGACAACAAACATGAAGACTCACCTTTTTTGGCCTCAAAGGTTGACGCAAACGGAAATCGAAGGTTTCCAAGCGGCCAGGCACGCCAACGGAAACCAATCTCACGACGCGAAATGGGCGGGCCTGTCTTGTGAGTGTACCCCTTTTGTGGCTTTGAAGGGAAACCCAAAGGACAATGCGGCTTACAATTGTTGAGGGTCCGACTCCTACAAAAGGAGAGAGGCTAAATGGCTTTTCCATTAAACCTCCAAGCTGTTGCTCGTTCGGGCGGAGGGAGCGAGCAGGATCAACATTTGCAGGCTCATAGTTTTCAGCCAGCCGCCAATCTTGAACGGAAGAGCAGGTCGGGGTGTTGCCCGAAAAGGCAACTTGAGTACTTCCTGCTTCGGGCACCAAAGTGCAACCGCCGTTTTATGGCTGTGGAAAGGAGTTGGTTCCCACTGTGATACCAATCATGCTCTTTGGAGAATTAGTCGTTGGGAAGGCCAAGTATCACAGAAGTGGAAATGCAGTTCCCACATTACCGTCGCTGCCTGTTTGGGCTTTTATGTCAAGTCCTAGGACTTCAAAAGAGGCATTTGCCCTGGAAAACTACGACCTTAGTCGCAATTTGCCATGGGCTTTAGGCGACAACTAGATCCTCAGTTGCCCAAAGCGAATCGACCTTTTGACATCGTTTGGCCTTTTGGTTTCTCCGGTTTTGGTCCATATTTGGTCGAGGTTCGAAAGGTTTACCCCCCGCTCAGACGTACGTAGCACCTGTGCGAGGTCCTGGAAGATCCATCTTGTGTTGGGACGCCCTTTCCGGTGCCATGGTGAGAGGGAGGATAACCTTTTTTTTCAAGTTCTTGGGGCTTCCATTTGCTGAACTGATCATTAATATGTTTTCCCGTGTACTTGAAATGAACATCTCTGATTTTCCCTTGTTGGTTTCAAAGAAGAAGCCATTTCACTACTGAGCACATTATTTGCTCATATATTGTCCGGGGGGCGCAAAACAGCAAATGGAGCATATATAATGTATGTTTTCCGGGGGCGCAAAACTGCAAATGCAGCACATAGATTCTTTTCCGGGGGCGCAAAACTGCAAATGGAGCTGGGGCAAGTGGCGGCCAAAAATCCGCAGGCGGAGTCTGACTCCTCCAAAGACTCCACGGAGGTCTCGGAGCATCTTGCGGAGCCGGAGCTGCCGCCTTGCCTGCGGAAGCGCTGAGCGGATGAACTCGCGTGAGACGGGGGGGGGTGGTGGGTTTCTTCCGTTTGCTTTAAGGATACTGTGGATGGACGCGAAAGCCATTTCGCACCACCGTTCAGAACCCTGGTTTCTGATGATTCCCTGGTAAATGCCAACAAGCAATGGTTTCAAACATGGTTTCAAATTGGTGCGGGATTTCGTCCATCGACTGTATTTTCCCCTGTTGGTTCTGAAGCAAATCTCTCACTTGAAATACGTTCTCATTTCTTCCAGGGGACTTCCCAGGTGAACCGGGTCTTTGGAATTTGGTTGCCATGGTTTTCCAAAAGGCCAGATCCATCAGCCAGAGGAGGAATCCTCCCAAATTGGCGGTAGCTTTCGCACTGCGAAGGGTCGCCGGACGTCCAGAACTTTCCTGATACTTCCGCATCCAGAATGCGGAAGGCGGGAAGGGGAAGGCCGTGAGTCCTTTGAGGTGGCCGCTATGTGGTTGGATATCTAGCCTTTCCCTTTTGGGCAATAGCTGTCCTTTTTAGGTCAGTTTGGTCAGAAATGCATGGCACTGGTGTAGATGAGTTTCGTTCAATTTAATAATTTAATTGCTTTCGCCATCTATTGTACCAAAAGGGCACCTGTGCTTTTGGTGAATATGTGTATTTCCCACGAATCAACAAAACGTAGAGCACGTTTTGCTTTGGTAAGGGGGGGCGGGTCGGGATCGCCACAGTGCAGTAAAGCGCTCCGAGTCGAACAACAAGTTGACCAAGCCAGGTAGAAAAGTGGACGCATTCCTTTGGTGTTTTTCCCTTTGGGGCCCTCTGAGAACTACACTTGTCGATGATCACGACCTTACACATATCTGGTGGCAACGGGGTCCATAACTTGGATTTCAGGTGAGTGAATGATGTTCCCTTACGCCAAAGACCTGCTTTTTTTAAGATATATGTGAGCCGCAGGTGCTACAGTTTTCAGGGTTAGTGGTGGGTATTTGGAATCCCAACTATTGATTCGCTGTGGTTTATACCAATGGATCCCTCCCCGAATGCCTGGGCTTTGGTCATTTTTTTGGTTTGGTTGCCATTTTGGTGGTAGACGAAAAGTTTGGTTAGTTGAGTTGGCCAATCTGCTCGGAAGTGAGACCATGGTGCCCTATGCCAACCCTGGACTTCTATTTACTGAGATTTACTGGTTGTTGTTCTTGCGGGGGAAGGATTGGAGCGTGACACCCCCGAGGATGGGGTTACTAAGAAAGCCGAGTCCAAGGTTCTCTTTGAAAGGAACTCACACAAGCTGATTTGCAGAACTGTGGTTTAATCATGTTTAACAGGGTAGGTTTCCCAGCTGACTTTTGCGGTGGAATGTTCCTGCAGGAAGGCAACACGAGATCGATCATTTGGCGGCAACAGAAGGACGCATTCCTATTTCGTGCAATGCATGCGTCTTCTGCGAGGGTACCCTTACAGACAAACCCATCATTTTTTTGGTAGGGGGGCAGGCGCATGGTTCCTGTCCGCCGATCGCTGCCGACATAGTGACACCAGATCTGGCCACCTCGATCGAAGGGATCACATTGCCTGAACTCGGCCACTTCGAGGGCCTGGATCGGCAGGCCTCCGAGTGGTCTTCCTTTTTCAAGCGGGCAGTGGGTTAGCTTGTACATAGCCTGCTTAGACGTACCCCTCGACCGGAGCCCAAGCACTTTCTCCAATGGTGCCGCTTTTGTCGGTTGCTCCTCTTGTCTAGGTCCCCCAGTGCCCTTTTCCCCCTTTTTTTGGGGAGGGTTCCCCTACTAAAATAGACTACGGAAAAAAATCGGGTACCCTTACAGCCTCTCTACTGGAGGACCTACTTGTTTTTGAGAGGGGCTCCCGTTAAGATCAGCTACCAAAGGGTATCGGGTGCCCGTTTGTTTGCATGTCCACTTCGACCTGGGAAAAGAGCTTATAGTATGGCTTGTAGTTCTGACACCATTTTTTCAAAATTTCCTAAGATGGGGTATATACAGACTTGGTCAGGGAACCGGAGGGGTATGATGCAAGGAGGTACTACCACTGCTAGTTGCAAACCGGCAGTACAGAGGTGCGTGCAGAGCTGGAAGCCAGCTCGAGCTCTCCCTGTTCTCGCTGATTGAGATTCGAAGAGCACGGATTCCTTCCATTTGCTTAAGAGCATTTGTTATTTTCCCCTGATGGTTTTAAAGGGAATCTATCATTAGTGGACATTTTTTCATGTTTTCCAGTGGACTTAACCAAATGGAAGATTCCAAGGGTGTTTTCACTATCTCCATGGGCCCAAGGAAAAAAAGGGCCGGGGGGGGGGGGGGTATATGTAGCCTGTATGTGAAGGTTACATGGGTTATGTGGGCACTTTTCCCCTTGAGGATATTGGGAACCAGCTGGCGGATGATGTTGCTTTCCAATATTCCAGGGAAGGAATAATTCCAGGGTGTTTTGAACAACCCGATGTTCGCGTGGGTAAATTTGCATTCTTTTTCCTCAAACAACCGTGGGTCTCGGGCGATTTCGGAACCCGCACCATTCTTTAGGAAGGCCGACAGCTGCACAGAATGGGGAGCATTGGCTCCAGCAGTCAAAGCAGCGGGAAAGCGAAGCGAGGATTCTGTTGCTTGCGGAAAATAGATGGCTTTAGGTTGCCTCTTTCTGCAAAAGACTCTTTGAAGTGATAACATAGTCTCAAAAAGTGGATGGTGCACCATGGTATCACACAAAGGGTTACTTCCCCACTGTTTTCTATGATAACGACGGAAGCTAGCTTGGCCGCCCAGGTCCAGCATCCTCGGGGGACAACGGCAGCAGCGCATGCTGCGAACTCGAAACCTTCAGCGCCTGCGGTTGAGGGACACCCACCGCGTTGTTGTTGTTTTTTTTTTGGGGGGGGGAGCCCGAAAACTGCCGGGCGATGTTTTCGGGCATCCGGCTCAACTCAGCTTGTTTTCTTTTAGTTGCTCTTAGTTGGGGGATCGCGGCTGGGTGGTCCATTTCTCCCGCCAGATGCCAGACTTGCAGAAGGGGATCTGAGGACAGCCCAGTGGCCCAGGAAACCCAAGTCAACATGAACTCAGTTGTTCAGTGGCTCCCTGTTTCCCCTTTTGTTTGGTGGCTGCCCCACTGAAATGGTCCAAGCCCAAAAAAGAATTGGTTCCGATTCTCTTTTTTTTTGCAGGGTCACTGAACAACTGAGGGGAGGTCAACATGAAACGCCGCGACAGGGTTCCATCTCTATTTCCCATTCTGGGGCCTCACCAAGTTTTTGCGCCCCCCACCTTGAAGGTCCCTCACTTTAGCTTGTTGAGGTCCCCCAGTAGTGCCCTTCTTAACCCCTTTTTTGGGGGTCAGGTTCCCCTGCTAGAATAGACTACCGAAAAAAGTTGGTGCCCTAACCTCTAACCTCTCTAATGGAGGACCTAGGATGTATCCTGGTATCACGCTTGGGGGCGGCAACGGCAAGGCCCACGGACAATTTGTCCGGGACTTGTCCACGAGGGCTGGGAGGTCCAGAATCTTTCACACTCGAGAGGCGATCAGTGGCTAGATGTCACTTCTGTTCCAAGTAGGTCGCTGGGTTGCTTCGTTCCTTTTCCAAGTACATCTCGGGTTCCATTGACAGTCCTTAACATATCCACCTCCCTGTTGAAATATGGGCTCTAGTCCCAACCTGCTTTACTTCCTGCGTGAGAATCCATATGATCTGAAGTTCCATGGGTTTTTCCAGGTGTTTTTGTACAAGACTCTTTTGGGTTGCCAGCTTGATGTTAGCTTCTAGTTTAGAACCCACTTAGAAGTCCTCTAAGTAGGGTTAACCTTGTTGTAAGGCGGTGAACAAGCCCAAATGGCTACGACCCTCAAACTACCCATAAACAAGTGGGGATTCGCCAACCATCTTACTAACCTTTTTAGGTGCTTCGTTGTTTTTGGATGGTTTAGTGGGGGGTTCCATTCAACCTGCTTAAAGTGATATTCGCTTTTCGCAGCCCAACGGACAGTTTAGAGCCTGCGAAGTGGAACCTGCGGGGCGCCTCAAAGCACCCCGAAGGCTCCTGAAATGTTTCCTTGAAGGCCCACCGTCTCGGGTCGGCCCGGTTTCGTTTGGCCGTTGGACCGTTGCACTCGGACTCGGGCTCCGGGGCTCCGGGAGACGCGGACGACGCGACGGACGCGAGGCCCACGCTGAACTCCATCACCCAGAGGCGGACCTTGGCCTCCATGGTGTCGTTAAGCCCCGCGGCCCAGAGTCGATGCACCGAGCTGAGCTGAGCTCAAGCCAAGCGGTCCCCCAGCTTTGCTCGCTGCCCTGCGGAAAACCCAACTGGTTTTGTTGGGCTTAGGGGGAAACCCGGCAGTTTTTTTCGTTTCTCTCTCTCTTTGGTCTTTTTTGGGTTAGGGGAGTACGTTGCAGGGCTCCTTAAAAGAAATTCATGTTGCGACCATTTGAAACATGTTGCTTTTTCAACGCCAAAATAAAGGGACACCTCCATTTACAAGGCAATGTTCAGGTGTATAATGTAAGGATCCCAGCGTTTTGGAAAAAAAGGAGGACGTTGTTTTCCTTGGGGGGGGTGTCGGCAAGCGTGCTCGGTTGTTCTGTGAGAATGCTCAGGTAGACTTAGGATACAGCTTCTACAGTGGAGCAAACAATATACATTATGTTGCTGGGCCTGGCTCTAATCATGATGGTATTGCTTTTATTTGGTGACAAGGGGATGTTCCTTTCCTTTGTGGGGAGACGTGGAGGAATGTACTCCCTAAAGTCTCCACCCTTTAAAAATGGTTGGTCATTACCCAAAGTTAAGGGGTTATGACCCCATTTTTAAAGGGTGGAGACTCCAGTTGGTTTCAATCAAAGTGTCTTTGAGGTCCCGGCCCAAGGACCTCCGAGCACCACACGCATGCAAGCATGCCTGCAGGGCTTGCTGGGAGAAGGAAGCCGCAAGTGCGAAGGTGGCCGGCCAAATCTCGAGATGGGACTTCAAGTCACTGGAGGACTTGGATTTACACAGCGAGCAACTCGTGGTCTCCAAGCAGACAGTGCAAATAATTTACCCTCCTGGCGAGGGGACAGACACACGTGTATGCTCCCTCCAAACAAAAGGGCCCTCGCCTTAAAGCCATTGAACCATTGGTGATGGCTTGAGCCTTCGCCGAATTTTCTTTGCGGCAACATGGGCATTAAAATCCTGTCCCAAACCTCCAGAGCAAAGAGCAGCTGATGCACGTGAACGCAAAGATTGCTTGGCAGTTCCCAGCAACACCCTCAGAGCACATGAGCCACGTGCTCAAGCAATTCGGGTACATAAAGGTTAGTAGGGAGTATATCCCAGCCAGAAATAGTTGCGGCCTTCTTAATTATTTACATGGTTCTCGGTAGACCATTTTTTGATACCGATCGGTTCTGATTGTGACTCACATCTTGGCGTGCGAGGTCAAATATATTCCCGTACCGGAAAGCCGGCGGGCCGTCGACAGCTTTGGCCTTCCCCCGAAATCACACACCCACCTTCTTCAGGGAAAAGAATAGGGTATCATGGTTGTTGTTGGGAAGCATTAGAACCATTTTTGCTTATTGTGGTTTAGTGGTTGAAATCCCCAGTTAGCTGCTAAAATTTAAATTGTTGCTCCCCTTCCAACGTCAACCAAGGTATGAGGGCACCTCCTGACTACATCATGAGGCAAAATTACCGTTTTCACAACGTGGGGATATTTGGAGTGGTTGGGTACCACCCGAAGAACCACTGACCACCAGCATTTCCAATTTGGAGTTTTTGAGTTATTATTCAGGAAAACATTTTTTGACACTGACGGGACTCCCTAAATTATATGTGCGAAAAGGCCATGTGAAGCACGAAGCCCTTTGCACGAGACCAAAAGGTGATCGGCGTGATGCTTAGGTGCGCGGTGGAACATAGCGTGTTGGGGCCATTTGTGATACTAAGGGAAGTGATGGCGTAGTCATGGGAATGACACTTACCGGTATCACGAGGTATGTTTTCCAGCGCGTTCAGGGATCTAACCGGCAACAAGCTGTCACTTCGCACAAGGTCCCGGTCGGACTTTTGTGGGGAATCCCCCTGTTTGAGGTGGTTTCAAAGAAGTCTCAAGGGAAAACACCAAAGGACGCCAACCCGTTTCAGGGTACACACCCCCATGAGAGCCCCATGCGACGCCGTAGACCTGACAGCTCCGAGGTTTGAATTCACCGCAGCTCTTGCGAGCCACAAGGGCTTACAAGCCGCTGCTGCAGCCTCGGACGTCGGAGGGAGGGGAAGGGGGTGTTTCATTGGCGAACGGGTCGCGATGGGTCCACCTTAGTGGAGTTGGTATCGTTTTGTTTAGGTTGGTTGAAAGGACCGCCACCATTCTTTTGGTCCCACTTTCTTTTTGGACCATTTTGTACTCAGGCGTCCTCGCACGTACCCGAGCGTAGACCAGTCTGGGGAGATTTCGACAGGGTCTGGGATGACGTCACGCAAAAATCGGATCGATCCCATCCCGCCTGACCTCACGAGTGTTGGTGTGACTTGGCGCTACCCAAGCTGTGCATGTATCAGGCTTACATGGCTGTGGCTCAAAAAAGCCGGTACCCAACATGGAACCCTGGTAAGTGGAGACATGGACCAAAACCTGCGAAACCCCCCCCCCCTGTTTAATTTTGAGCCACACCCACATGGTTCCAAAAGATCGGCTCTAGGGATCCACTGCCCAGCCAACAAGTTACGTGCGCATGCCCGAAATATTGCAAGTGATGGAAGAAGGCGAATTTACCATACACCGTGCGTCAGCTGTTGCCCCAACCCAAAGAAGTGTGTTTGATTCGGGTCCCTATGTAGTTGTTTTCTGCGAAAGGCCAGGACAGTTCGCGGCAATTCCTGGGTGTGTCTTCTTTTAGGGAACCTGTTGTTGTCCCCTTAAAACCGACAAAAACAGGGCATCCCTAAAAAAATTGACACCCCCAGGTTCTCTCGTGTCGAATTCTTCACTCTCCGATCTCCAAGCTTTCCGGGTGTCTCGGATGGCGCGTTTTAAAACGGACGGAGCCAGAAAAGTTTGGTGCATTTTGCTTGGCTGTTAGGACTTTAGCTTTTTGATCCAACTCATGGTTTTTCCGAATTAAACTACTAAAAGTTAAACTTTTAGCAGGGGAGTAGAAAGCAACTGAGAAAAGTTGGTGAACTGAGCCTGGAGAGCCACCCTTTCTTCCCCAGAATTAGCTCCCCGTTTTGCATTTTTTTTCTTTTTTGGTGTTCCCTTTGTTTTCCACTAACCACGCAAAAAAATATATTCTGTTGCTGGGGTTTTACTTCCAGCCAAGCTTCAAGGAGCCTTCTGAACGTAGGGGCCGGGCAGGCGGATCAACCCTGCGCATACTGTGGATGGACGAAATCCGTTCGCACCACTTGAAACCATGGGAAGCCATTGCTTGTTGGTATTTACAGGGGAATCATCATTCCAGGGTTTCTTCGGTGGTGCAGGATTTTGTCCATCCACAGTATGTCCCATGCTCAAAGCACATACTCAACAAGTCCTGAGCTGCGTTTGCAGAGCCTTCAAGGAGTTCTATTCAGCGAGCCATGTCCCATGGCGCACGGATTATGCCATTGTGTTTTTTTCATCCAGTGCCGGAGTAAGCTTACCTGTGTGTCCGTGTTCCTTCATTTTACCGTTCAAGCAAACAGTTAATTAGCCCGGCCATGTTTCCGAAAGTATGTTTTTTTTCTTCTTGTTTTTCTGTTTTGAGGCCCCCCCCCCAAAAAACAACAAAGTTACTTTCCTTCGGTCTCCCTTTCCACCAATTTCAAAAGGCTGCCCTCAAACAAATTCACAAGCAGGTACCTTGTTTTGGGTTTCAAAAGAAGGCCAAAAGGACACCCCGCCAGGTTTGGGGTATCTGGACCCTCCAAAAAATCCCTTCAAATTGGGTTTGCGGCATTTTTTTTTAAAGGGTGGGTGAGTTCCCTTCTTTTTCCTTTCTAGTTTGTGTCTATTTTCAGACACCAAGGGCCCAAGGACATTTCCGGAGCTTCGATGTTTTCGCATGCCGCGGATCCGAACCCAATGGACCGAGGGTGCACTTTGGTGCGGTGTTCCGAGATCGCAGGCGCGACTTCGGAATTCGCCGGGAGCGGAAAATGCCCAAGCCGAAAGCTGGGGAGAAATTCCGGGTTCAGGTGGAGCCCAGATTTTGATCCAGTTGATTTTCTTGGGGGGTGTCCCTTCTCAGTTCCTGAGTTCTGTTTGGGGTGTGGGATTCGAACATTCTAGTGGGAAACAGCCTTTGGGTCAATCCACTAGATCGGAAGTGAGAAGCAGGAAATTGCGATTGTAAGTCGTAACGCACGGGTGAGTTCCCTTATAAACCTGATTATTCATAGGTTAGTTGACCCCCCCTCCGTATCCCCCCCCCCTCAAACGTGATTTTGAGTGGCTTCGGGTTCAAACATGAAGACACATATTCATTTTGAATCTTGGGCTTAGTAGGGATTAGTAGGGCTTAGTAGGCCTTAGAAAGGCTTAGTAAGGCTCAATCATGTTGTTTGCTTCGAGTGCTGCAAGGCTCAGCAACTCTCAGTAAGACACGGCCACCACTCAAAATTGATTATGAGTGCTACTGAGTCTTGCTGAGTAGTTGGAACCGTAATGATTCCTATGTGTGCTGTCATTTTCTTAGCGGTCATTTGTGCTGCAACTGCGCCGCGCACTGAACACAAGTGAATTGAACATCAGCGGATGTGGACCTAGTAGCACTCAAAAGCACTCAGTAGCAATCAGCAAGCGCTCACTAGCGTTCAGAAAGCACTCGGTAGCAGTCAAAAGCCACTTAGCAGCACTCAGCAGCACTCACCAGGACTCAGTAACACTCAGTAGCACTCAGTAACACTCAGAAACACTCAGCACTCAATCACAACCTAAAACAGCACATTTTTTGAAAACCCGGCTCAGTAAGCACTCAGTAGCACTCAGTAACACTCGGTAGCACTCAGTAGCACTCACGGCTATTGTTGGGAAGCATTTCAACGTCAACCAAGTCTTAGGTTGTTAGGCTTTTAGGGCTTAGGGGTAGTTGCCACTAAACCACAAAAACTGAGAGACTTTTAGCACGGGATTTGAGAACAGTCCACTCTAGAGGCTCCTGGAGGCTGTCTCACAGTGCCTGCCCATGGTGAGAGACTTGCGGGGTCGTGCAAACGGAAACCAGACGGAAACCACCCCAGATTTCGGAGAAAGTGAACCACCATGGTTGCCATGTGAGTCGTGGCTCTGCTACCTGGCTTTGTATGCCTTATCCATGTTCCAAGTCCACCTCTTTGAATTCTTGGGCGCTCATGTTGACTCGACACAGAGACCCAGAGTACCCGCAACTGCTAGTTTGGATTGGTTGGTTTGAAGTTCTTTTACCCCCAAAAACCTCAGACTGTCCGAGTCTGTTGGCTGGAGGTGCTTCACCAAACCAAACCAAGAACCAAGCCACCAAGAGGGAAGTGCCTCCGCGCAGCTTTTCAGGGAAGCTGACAAACCGTTGTGAAGCTTGAACACTCCTAGAGGCTAGTGCCTCCCAGGCGCCAAACAAAAAAAACCGGCCGTTTTTCAGGGAAGCTGAGAGACCGCAGATGGAGCCCAAGCGCACGTCGCGCCCCTTTTCTCTCGGCAGGTCCACCCGCAACGGCTTCGGCCGCTCCAGCTCCATGTCGCAGTCACAGCCTGGGCCCCGGCGTTGGGCGTTGGGGCCTGGGGCCTCTTGGGGGACCTCAACTTCCAGGTGCTGAAGTGGCCGTGGGTCAAAAATAGGGTAACCCCAAAACGGAACCCTTGTAAATGGAAACTTGGACTAAAACCTGTGGTGCCCCAATGGTTTGATTTTGACCCATACCCAAATGAACTGGTGTTACTTTCCCTTGCTGGTTGTAAAGGGAATCTGCCACTGCTGGACATATTTTTCTTTTCCAGGGGACTGAAGCAAATGGAAGCACCCCTGAAAGCTGGTTGCTTGCATCCCAAACATCTGGGATGAACTCCCTTTTTTCTCATAATTATGGGGCGAACTCCCTTTTTGCCCCATAATTCTGGGGTGAACTCCCTTTTGCCCCAAAATTATGGGGTGAAATCCGTTTTTCTTCCTCCTTTTTTTCATGGGTAGCTCTTTCGGGTCCAGGTTCCTATCTTGGAGAAGGAAGCCGCAAGCCGACGTCGACTCGCTCGCTCGCGCGAGCGGACTCGCTCGCGGGGATTCCAGGCGTGACCCGGAGACCGGCGCCCCGCAGCTCCGGAAGATGGACTCCTTCGATGCAGCTCGGCTTTGAGCTTGACTGCTAATGTTAACCCCGGATCAAAGTAGAACCCCTGGTTGATTTTGATTGGGGGGTGTCCCCTTTTAGTGGGGATTCATGTTTTTTTGGGAGGGAACACCCCCCTAATAATGGGACGGGTTTATTAATCCTGGGTCAACATTACTGTGTTGGACCTTTAGACTTTAACTTTTGGGAAGTCAAGGGGTTTTTCACTAAACCCCCCAAAAAGCTAAACTTTTTTGCAGGGGGGTCAACAGCAAAGTGACGATTCATGGAGGCTGGGGAGGGCGGAGGGAGCCCTCAATAAGCCCTTGGACCCTCTCTGGGTTGGTTTACTATCTGGTTAGCCACAATCAAAACCCGGGGATTGATGAAGGTTAGTAAGTGACAATCCCAACCATAAATAGTTGCGGATATCCGCCTTCTCAATTCTTTACGTGGTTCTGGGTAGATCATTTTGATACCGGGTTTTGATAATGACTCAAGTGAGGTTCCTTTACTTGGTTCACAGGGATTGTGATGCACCTGGTAAGGGGTCCTTCATGACCGATCGACTGATTCCTATGAAGGGAACCATGACCATAGCCCATAGAAGGAATTTCGACCATGGCTCATATGGGTGTAGCTCAAAATCACACGACTTTTTTTTGTTTGGCGAATGTCCTCTACTAGAAAAGGCGGTGCGGACACCTGGACACCTGGACACCTAAACACCTGGCTGTTTCTGAGATCTGTCCCGTGCAAAAACAAAAACAAATACAGGTGTTTGGAGCAGGTGGCACTTTCCGGGGATACGTCTTTGTTTTGGGAACCACCAGAAAAACCCATGGAAGAGCGGAACGTTTTTTTTTTTTTTTACAAACAGCCGATGATTGAAAAGAATGGCGAACCAAACCCTAGAACACAATTCGACTGGTTAGTGGGGCGCTTAAATCCATCTTCAGTCGCCTATTGTCTTTATTGGTTTGAGGACGTCCGTTCCCTGATAAAGTAGACATATGGACATGCTCCACTTTGGTATCGCAGAAAAAATGATCCCATTGTCCACAAGTATACGCATGTCCTTGCCTCTTTCGCTCCGAGGATTATATGCTGAGCTTTCAGACCCGCCCCTTGACGGAAATCAGTGGGCGATCTCGCTCGAGGGGCAAACCATCTTTTCTCGGCCTTGGGGTCTTAGTGAGCCTTGCTGAGTCTTGTTAAGGCCCACCACACGCCCCCCCCCCCCCTTACAAATGATGTTTTTTGGGGCACCCCATGTTAATCCGTAGATTTGGCATTTGAGTCTTGGCTGCGAAGTCTGAGTGCTAAAAGCTGCAAGGGGCTGCGGAGTGCCGGTCTCTTGCGATTTGTTCGATACCTGGTCTGTTCGTAAGCGGGAGCCACTTTTTTGATATCGGTTCGGTCGTTTTACAGCCAAACCAAAAGGAACCCAGCCATTTTTGGCGGGCTTCCAACCTAAAAGACACACCCAAGTGAGTTCGTAGCAATGAACTTAGTATGTCTCAAAGTTGTTCATAGGCAACATTCCTATGGCACCAAGTAAGAATGTGAGCGACATGTCCCGAGCCTTGCACCTTTCGGGAACCCGCAGAGGCTTTGGACGCCCCCAAAGGCACCTCAAAGAAACGCGCAAAATACGTTGGTGCGAAGTCAAGCTAGAAAGTTGTTAGTTATCTAGCAGGTTATAACCTACTTTTCGGGGCCGGTTGCAAATAGCTTATAACCCAGGTTACTAGCCACCTACTAACCTGGCTGAGTAGCCACAGCGCAGAAAGACTCAACAAACGGGAGTGGAGTATCGCACCCCCCTTGGCAACCGAATTTCTGGTGGCCTGGCAATCCCCTAAGCCCAGCTCGGCCACTTTGCGTTCAGAACACGCCGAACCGAACACCGGTTGCAAGGTGCGTCCTGTCTTCTGTCAATTGTAGCTGCTTGACACTGGTTGCAATTTGCCTTGCAGGAGGTTTGACTTTTTGTTCCCACAGGCGTCGGAACCACGTTGCTTTGCAGGTTGAAATGGAGGGTAGGAAGGGGCTAGAGTTTGTTTTAGCCCTCTGCAATGGATGGTTGTTGCCAGTTCCACCCTCCTATACCCAGACACATGGGCGTGGGTCAAAAATAGGTACCCAATATAGAACCCTGATAAATGGAAACAAAGACTAAAACCTGCGGTTCCCTGGTGTTTTAATTTTGACCCATACCTACATCCAGGGGTGTGCCCTTCTTCCATTAAAGAGTCGGCCACCAAAAACCTCGGGCGCCCCTTTTGCTTTTCCCCCGTGGCCACAGGCTTTGGGATTTGGGTCCCGTCGCGCGGTTCGCGGCTAGGGGGTGGCTTGATTTTCAGAAAGGGGCCTTTGTTAATGAGAACAAGTTGTGTTTTTGATCTTCAGAAACAAGTTTTTGTTTTGATGCCTAATAAGTTTGTGTTTGATCCCTCACTCCCTTTGTTAGGTGTCCCCGTTGAGAAACACCCATACCCGACTTGAGAGACTGTTTTTTTCCACTTGCTATTAAGGGATGGCCCATCGAACAACAGAAACATACGAGCCGACTTGAGAGACTTACAATCCGGGAGAATTCAACACTTGCTATTCAGGGATGGTCATCCAAGTCCGGGCAGTATCCCCATCGAACAACCGCGAACGTGTAGGTTACAACGGTGGACAGACAAAATCCGTTCGCACCACTTTCAAACCATGGTTAAAACCATTGTTTGTTGGTATTTGCAGGGGAATCACCCTTCCAAGGTTTCTTAGGTGGTGCGAAATGGATTTTGCCCATCCACAGTGCGTAGGTTCCCCGTTCAGTGGAGTTGACCCTGTCACAAGTGGGTTATAACTTATAACCCAGGTGGCGATCCCCACTCACTAACTTGGCAACGAGCGTCCAAGTAGGTAACCCCACTTTTGTCGCGCTCCATTCAGTGGGGTTCACCAGCTGTCGAGGGTTTTGGTATTACACCCTGGGAGTACACCTTTGGGAAATGACCCACAATGGTTGAAAATTACACGGTTTTATCCGGGAATATGGCTAAATGGGTCAATACCCAGTGGGTGTATTCCCAGGGTGTAATACAAAAACCAGTTGAGTGGATTGTTGTTAGAACATCCAGGTGGCGAACCACTTACCAACTTGGCGAATCGAAGATCCAAGTAGACCTTTGCTGAAATATGTTAGATTTTCCAACCAGCCAGTGGGGAACCGCAGGGAGTGCTCGCTTATTGTTGGGAAACATTTTACATGTTGCTTATCGTGGTTTAGTGATTGAAATCCAACCACTTAACTGCTAATTAACATGTAATTGTGTGCCCCCCTTTTCAACGTCGACCAAGAAATGGACGTATCTTCCCGGGTTCCCAGTACCCTGCACTAGGTTGGTTGGTTTTACACCAGAAATGGTATTCGACGGCAGTCAGGCAAGAGGCAAAAGTCAGGTGAATGAATCGAGGCAAAGTCACGTGGAATAAGTTGTTTTCAGACTGATTCGAACATGGAGGATCCCCAAGCCCAAGGCTGTGGGGAATGGAATCCACTTCTGTGATACAACAGAAAGGGCCTAACCCCAAAGACCATTTTGTTCATATATTTCGGGCGATTCCCAAGAGTATCACAGAAGTGGTTGGAGAAACCCCGAGTGATCCCACAACCCTGGATCCCCAAGCCGGGACTTGGATGAACAGTTTTCCCTGTGACAAGCCTCGCCCCGAGGCTATATCGACCAGTTCTGGTCGCACAGTTGGAGGGCGAGCACTCGCAAGAAGGCCGGTTGGAGGACTCCGAAACTCGATCTGAAGGACCTGGGAGAAGCGCGTGGTGAAGAGTTAGGGTCCTTCTCAAACTGAGTGTGTCATCGTTGCAAGGGGACCCCCACCCCCAAAATTGATGGCTTTCCTTTTTGTTTTAAGGACCCCGCCCCCCACAAAAAGAGAAGACGTGGTTGTCCTTTTTTTTCCCTTAAGCCGCCAAACAAGTGGTACCCTTTAAAACACAAAACATCTAAGTGATGGTTTGAAGGAGCCAAAAGGACGTCAACCAGTTAAAGGAGCAGAATCAGCCAGGTGTTCTATGGGAAATACCATGATGTTTACCTCTCCAGAATTAGCTCCCCTTTTTGTTTTTTTGCTTTTTTGGGGTTCCCTTTGTTTTCCACTCACCACGCAAATATATTATATATATATATATATCATATATATATATATTTTTGATATATATATATATATTTTTGCTGGGGTCCTAATTCCGGACAAGTTTAGGGCTTGGCTTAAAAATCAAAAGGACCCCGGTCGCAGGAGCCCCCGGATAATCATTTCATGTCTAAAGGGGAACCGCCCCTGATCAGTCTCAGGGTTGTGGGATCAAGGGGTTTCTCTAACCACTTCTGTGATACGTTTGGGAATCCCCCGAAATATATGAACAACATCGTCTTTGGGAAGCCCTTTCTGTTGTATCACAGAAGTGGATTCCATTCCCCACAGCCTTGATCAGCATGGTTTAATCTGACGTCAGTTTTTCCTCTCCAAATATCCCCTCAAAGGGAGATTTACAAATCAAATTGGCAACTTAGAGGAGCACACGGAAAGGAGCCGAAGCCCAAAGATGGTCTGGTGGTACTTGTTTTACTTGGATCGCTCGGCACGGTTGCGCCTCATGATGCTTCTACAATCACTTTGGCGGTTCCCAGCCATCCCCTTAGGCTTTCATGTTTTTAGGGTTTAGTGGGGGGTGCAACTTAAACCATTAATCTAACGATGGATTCCCCATTCTTTTAAACCATCGTTCTTTGCAAAAACCGGACGTTTTTCTGGGTTTCCGGTTTTTTTTTAGAAAGAAGTATCCCTGGAAAGAATGGGGAAGGTAGCACTAGAACTAAGCATTTTCGACTTTGAGCGAACAGCCCACTTTTGGAGATGGTGGCGGAGCAACTCACGAGGACGCGCGACGCGCCTTTCTGGGTCTTTTGTTCTTGCCAGCGAGCTTGGGGCTTCCCTTGTTAAACGTGTACCCTGAATTTCGGAAAGTCAGACACACACACACACACACACCCACACCCAGGTCAGAGCAACGGTCAATATGTACTAGCATTTGCTGTGAGAATGGGGGTCACCAGATTGCCAAAGGAAAATGGGGGTTGCTCACCGAACTTCCGTGTGGGTGTCCTTTCGGATACCTTCTGAAACCACCCCCAAAGGGTAAGTATCCTCAAACAACTTGCATTTGTTGAATATGTTTTAGTTTTCCCCAGTTGGTTGAAAAAAGAGTATTTAACTTGGACACATGTTTTTCTTTTGCTTTCGGGGCATTTTTTTCCTCGGGGGACTCGAAAAACCAAAGGGAAGATGTGTCTAGAAAGAGGTCCTGGTGCTGCTGCTCTACTACAACCAGGCGGGGACCGATTTCTGCGTTCAGGTCCGTCACCTTGAGATTTCTCACTCCCCGAGTGGCTCCCGAGTGGGAAAACAGGCACCTCCAAAACATGCTCGAAGACAACACCATATTAAAAACCGTTTCCAGATTTACAATATGTTTATGCTATATATATATATATATGTTAATATAAGGCATTACACCATAAGGAAAGCAGTAACACCTTCAATTCTACCCTTATAAACAAGCTTGTTCCTTTTGGGTAGATTCAACATAGGGCTAAGTAGCACTCATGTGGCTCTGGTTCAAACATATAATGGCAGGTTCAAACATATAATGGCATCTTGGTAAATGGTTGTACTTTTGGGTTAAGACAGTTTGTTGCCGCAAACAACTCAGTCCCCGAGTTCCTGCACTTAAAACTTTGGGAAGACCATTCTGCTGGAAAAAAAGAGGTCTTTTGTCGGCCCATCCACTCAAGAAGCGACAAACAAGTCTGACTTTCTGTTTGCCAATCCACTCAGGGAGTGAGGTGTGTCTTTGAATAAGGATTTGCACCTTCCAAGACGGTGGTTTGCCTTTGGCGTCGCTTTGAACCAACCTGCAAAGAGGGCACCCTCCAAATAGTTGGGATTTTTTGGTGCATTTTGCCAAGGGATGTTAGGACTGAACAACTTTTTGCCAACTAATGGGTATTTACCTTGGTGAGAATCGACTCAGACACCCAGGGGGTTTCCATCCACAGCATCCTTCACTTGGAATGCTGCGGTCCAGAGGTCAACTCCCCGGTCCACAGATCTTACCTCTCTCAAAAAACACACACAGCTTTTCGCAACTTTTTGGGGGTGGCATGGGCGAAAAGTGTCTGTAAAAGATGAACAAAACCCCAGGGCGCAGGGAGTTTTAAGGGGTAAGACTAACAAGGAGCCTGACGTTTCTGACGTTTCTGACGATTCGGGGTGCGGAGGGAAGAGGTTTCGGCGAGTCCCGTGGAGGTCCAGATGTATTCCTACCGGTCGGGGGGGGCATGGGGAAGAAACTCGCTGAATGTACCAAAGAGGTGGACCCTCAAAATCCAAACACAAAAAAGATAGGTTGTTGCAACCCAAAGTTAGATTGAATTCCGATTCTTGATGTGAGTAGTTCTTTCGGGTCCAGGTAGGGACTTAGTTTGACCGCTCACTTGCCTCTTCTCCTAAGAATTGTTGATTGGGGGAGGCGGAGGAAACAACCCCTGGAATCAATTCCATTTATCTTGATTGCCATTGAGTTGGATCTTGAAGCTTTAACTTTTGGGAAATCCAGGGTGTTCTATTGGACCCACAAAAACAGTTACACTTTTTTGCAGAGGGGTCGATAGCAACCAAGTTATGGGAACCCATTTTTCCTTAGAATGCCAGAGAAACGGAAGTGGGGACCCCCATGCCAGCCTGCTTCCGCCTATGATAGGTGGGATGTTGCCCCGGACGCGCAATTCCCATTTGTTTACGAATCCCGGACGAAAAGGAGCGGTATTTACCATGCATACCCTGGTTTCGCACATGTGCCAAGAACAAAAACTCCGGTATTTGGAGTGGCAGGTGCTTACTAACCCGTAGCCTGTGCGCATCTCGTCGATTCCCCATGCGGAAATCGGGTTATAGCAACCGGAACATCTCCTTTTTAGCTGCATGAGCTTCTGGAATGCTGTGCTTTACTTCTTTGGTTTCTCAACACAAGAAGCTGTCTCCCCGTTTCCTCTGTAGCTTCATGAGCTTTTGGAATGCTGTGCTTTACTTCTTTGGTTTCTCAACACAAGAAGCTGTCTCCCCGTTTCCTCTGTAGCTTCATGAGCTTTTGGAATGCTGTGCTTTACTTCTTTGGTTTCTCAACACAAGAAGCTGTCTCCCCGTTTCCTCTGTAGCTTCATGAGCTTCTGGAATGCTGTGCTTTACTTCTTTGGTTTCTCAACACAAGAAGCTGTCTCCCCGTTTCCTCTGTAGCTTCATGAGCTTTTGGAATGCTGTGCTTTACTTCTTTGGTTTCTCAACACAAGAAGCTGTCTCCCCGTTTCCTCTGTAGCTTCATGAGCTTTTGGAATGCTGTGCTTTACTTCTTTGGTTTCTCAACACAAGAAGCTGTCTCCCCGTTTCCTCTGTAGCTTCATGAGCTTTTGGAATGCTGTGCTTTACTTCTTTGGTTTCTCAACACAAGAAGCTGTCTCCCCGTTTCCTCTGTAGCTTCATGAGCTTTTGGAATGCTGTGCTTTACTTCTTTGGTTTCTCAACACAAGAAGCTGTCTCCCCGTTTCCTCTGTAGCTTCATGAGCTTCTGGAATGCTGTGCTTTACTTCTTTGGTTTCTCAACACAAGAAGCTGTCTCCCCGTTTCCTCTGTAGCTTCATGAGCTTCTGGAATGCTGTGCTTTACTTCTTTGGTTTCTCAACACAAGAAGCTGTCTCCCCGTTTCCTCTGTAGCTTCATGAGCTTTTGGAATGCTGTGCTTTACTTCTTTGGTTTCTCAACACAAGAAGCTGTCTCCCCGTTTCCTCTGTAGCTTCATGAGCTTTTGGAATGCTGTGCTTTACTTCTTTGGTTTCTCAACACAAGAAGCTGTCTCCCCGTTTCCTCTGTAGCTTCATGACAAGAATGCTGTGCTTTCTTTGGTTTCTCAACACAAGAAGCTGTCTCCCCGTTTCCTCTGTAGCTTCATGAGCTTTTGGAATGCTGTGCTTTACTTCTTTGGTTTCTCAACACAAGAAGCTGTCTCCCCGTTTCCTCTGTAGCTTCATGAGCTTTTGGAATGCTGTGCTTTACTTCTTTGGTTTCTCAACACAAGAAGCTGTCTCCCCGTTTCCTCTGTAGCTTCATGAGCTTTTGGAATGCTGTGCTTTACTTCTTTGGTTTCTCAACACAAGAAGCTGTCTCCCCGTTTCCTCTGTAGCTTCATGAGCTTTTGGAATGCTGTGCTTTACTTCTTTGGTTTCTCAACACAAGAAGCTGTCTCCCCGTTTCCTCTGTAGCTTCATGAGCTTTTGGAATGCTGTGCTTTACTTCTTTGGTTTCTCAGGAAAAAACTGTCTCCCCATCCCTCCGTAGCTTCATGAGCTTTTGGAATGCTGTGCTTTACTTCTTTAGTTTCTCAGGAAAACAAACCTGTCTTTCTCAAAAGAAGCTGTCTCCCCGTTTTATGGCTGTTGTCCAGTCTAGAAAGGGCAACGCGGATGGATCCAAGGACTGACACGACACGTGGGGTCTGCATTCCCAAAACTGGAACGTGGTCCCTGAACATGGCCCAGTTGACACCGCGTGACTTCCCCTTTGGTTTTCCTTTTTCAAGTCAGGGAAAGGGGGTCTATAGACTCCAAATCTGTCTTTTTTTGGCTTATTTTAGGCAAAACCGGGGTTTCCAAGTTCTCCTGTTCTTGTCAGGGGTTGTCATCATACCCTATTGAAAGGAATCCGGCTATTTGGAGTAGCGCAGCGACTCCCAAGGGTTTCTTTAGAAGAAGTTGCAAAGGTTTGCTTTGAGCTCGTTTAAGGGTTTGAAGGGTCTTCTTTTCCCGGCATCCCGCGAAATGGATTTGGGCTAGGTCCCCCAGCAGTGCCCTTTTACCAACTTTTTGGGGAGGGTTCCCCAGTAAAATACACGACCTAGTTTGGGTTTTCCTCTGAACAGCCCAAGGCCAACAGGCCCCAAGCCTCAACACCCTCCCCCAAAACCCGAGCCGCGCCAGCGCTTGCGCTTGCGCGCTCCGCCAGGGGGCGGCGGTGTGCTTCAGCGTGCTCGCGGGCGTTGCAGCGCTGATCTTGCGGGGCATGAACATTTTGCCCGAGTTCCTTAAGGTCGAGTCCAGGCCTCGGCACGCTTTGGTCAAACTGGTTTGGTGCTGAAAGGGTGCCGAAATTTGAATCGGCTTGGGTATTTTCCCCTGACAGGGAATCGATTCCACTGGATGTTGTTATGTTATTCTCTTGGGGAAATCGGTTCCAACTCTAATTCGTGGTTGGTGAAGAGGCTCGGGGAAGGGGGACTTTCCCTTCCAGTGCCAAGCTGATCAGGTTCCCTCTTGGTTTGGAGCCGGCTTTTGGGTGCATGGGAAACCCCTCCCTGAGCCACCAAACGGCTCCCTTACATGGCTCCCTTATACGGAACCCTTGCAATGCTTGATTGAATTCCCAACGGGTTCCATGGCCCTCCTTCCAAACCAAGCAAACGGCTCGTTTGACCTTGCGTTCCCGCCCAACGTCGTGACTGCGCGTAAAAATAGCGAGGCCAGCATTCGCTTTACAGTAGGGCTCCGTAACAAGGAATATGGGTATGTCACAATGTAGGAGGACCCTAAAATTTGTGGTTTCCTTTTGGTTTCCTGTCAAAAAGCCCAAAAAGGGTACCGAAACTCAAAAATAAACACCTTGCTTGCCCAGATTGATATTTCGCGCTTAAATGGCGCAGGTACCCCGACATTCCAAACGCCCACGGTTTGTTAGGGTATCATGTCAACCCTTTACCAAAGAAAAGAAGGAATCCCCGTCCCTCAGGGGGGGGGGGAGTGGGGGACCTCAAGAATGAAATTTCACTGGGGTACTCCCCCCTCAAATTACAATTGGTAGGGGGAAGATTAAAGAAGGTATCTACCCTGCAAACCAGTACTTGGAGCTTTCAGGGGATCCTTCTTCTCAGGTAACCAGGAAAAAACCCATGGCTTGAAAAGGGGTCTGTTCAGGTAAGCTCAGCTTCCCTCGTTTTTTGGAGGTTTGGACTGGTGCTAGTCTGTTTTTGTAGTTGAGCTCGGTCATACGCAACCAAGTCGCATCGGCTGCAAGAAATAAGTAGGTAACCGGGCCCAGCCCCGCCGTTTGTGGTGGGCTTGATCCTTTTGGACAATGACCGATCGTCCCGAGTGATCCAACTGCCTTCACTTCAGAGCGGGGGTCCTTAATGTTTGGGGGCAGCTTCCCGAATTCTTTGCAGTGATGGTTCAGAAAACCAACAGTTTGAGGGAAATGGTTGGTTCTTAAAATAGCGCCTGAAAAGAATGAACCTCTAGATTACATGTGCATCCTTTGCAGGAAGTCGCCGTTGTCTTCAAACCTCAAGCGCAGGGATCAAAACCCCACTTGAAGGGCCATTGTACAAGTGGGTAACCATGGTCATATCTCACGAACCATGGTTAGTAGGGCCGTTACAAGTCCCCGTTCAGTGGGTTTTTACGAGGGTTACTGACCGCTTACTCAGTACCCTGCACCTTCAAGTACCCCGGTGGGCTATGGTCTAGCTGGAGTTTTGCCAGCAGAAAAGCCAGTCCGACCAGTCCTGTGGGTCCGGCAAACCTACTGTGGATGGACGAAATTGGTTCGCACCACGAAATGAAGCCATGGGAAGCCATGGTTTGTTGTTATTTACAGGGGAATGATCATTCCAGGGTTTCTTAGGTGGTGCAGGATTTCGTCCATCCACATATGTTTCCATTTGCTGAAGAATATGGTTTGTATTTCCCTGGTGGGCTGGTGGGTTCCATTTCCCCTTTTCATGTTCCATTCATTCCATTTGCGTTTCATAATATGTGATATTTTCCCCTAGACATATTTTGTACTTTTTTTCCAGGGAACTTAAGCAAATGGAGGTGTGACAAACCTATTGCGGATGGACGGAATCCATTTCGCACCACCTGAGAAAGCATTCGGAACCCATTGTTCGTTGGTACTCATAGGGGAATCATCCGAAACCATTATGGTTTCTTAGGTGGTTTAAAACGGATTTCGTCCATCCACAGTCTGGGATTGTTTAAAAGTCGGGGGCCTCCAAAAGTCTAGGGAGCCAAAAGGACTTGTTTCACCTGTTCTCAGGTCTGTCCTGGGCGGCGAGTATTCCTATGCTGCCTCTGCCTCACTCCGTCAACTTTGGTTCCGAACTTCAGGATGCGGATATTCGAATAGCATGGGGTTGCGAAATCTGCTTCTCGCACCACGAAATGGAACCGTGGTGGAAACCATGTACGTTTCGCAGGATCTACCCCTTACATACAGGACTCAGGGTGCCTGGACCCGAAAGAACTACCCATAAAAAAAAGGATTTCGCCCTCATGTTTGTGGGTTGCAACAGCCTGTTTTAGAGTTGTTGTCTTTTTTGCGGGTCCGGGATATAACCTCTATACTTCCAAAACCCATACCTGAGAATACCCTTGACGGATGGTTGGAATTTTGGGGTCCGGGATATACCCTCTATACTTCCAAAACCCATACCTGAGAATTTCCTTGACGGATTGCCATACCAAGGGGTTGTTCCCCCTCACTTGCTGGTAAGACTCAACTGGACCAATTTGTAGGTCAAGCTGTTCGATGTGGATGCTTTGTGGATGCTAAAATCTTAACGATGAGCCATATGACTTTGGCACGGTGGCCTACGGTTCTACACTACTGACCATGACCAACCTCACACAGCATCACAAGACACAACTTCATCGTTTCCTCAGGGACTACGATCAACATATGACTTGGACAAGGTTCTGCTGAACCGAAGCCCAGAGCAAGCTTGCATCAAGGCCTACGTTGCGGGCAAGCTGCTTCTTTGGCAAGCTGCCGCTGCGGGCTGTCTTGGCGCGGTGCTACTACGGGTGGCCGTGACTTGCAAGTGCATCGTAAACAACTGGGAGTCGCTCTTGCTCGCATCGGTATGTCGGGCCGGCTATTGGATGTGCTCGGCTCTCGGATCTGGGGGCAGCCGCAGATCAGATGCATGAACCAGGTGACCACTTCTTTGGTGCATTTTGCTTGGATGTTAGGACTTTAACTTGTTGCCAACTAATGGGTTTTCCATCAAACCACTTGAAGTTAAACTTTCGGCAGGGGAGCAGAAAGCAACCAAGACTTGGATGTACGACTCACCAAGTTAGTAAGTGGCAATGGCCACTTGGGTTCCAACCCGCTAACAGGGTTAAGCCCACATTCACGGGGCCTTATCAGTGGATTATACCCTATGAGCAGCTTGCCACTTACGAACTTCAGCGAGCACCAAAGCAGGTACACGACTTTAAACCATTCCGAGGGTTGTGGGATGACTCGAATTTTTACCCAGCCACTTCCGTGATATCACCAGGACCCCCTTCCCGCCTTATCAAAGGGGGCTTAGTCGATTTGGGAAGCCCTTTTTGTTGTAGAACAGTGAAACAAAGGAGGGGCTTAGTCAACTCGAAAAATCACTAGGACATCCTTCCTTCAGAAAGCCTTTGGGAAGCCATTTTTTGTATCACAGAAGTGGGTTTCCAGTTCACCCACTCACCACCCAACCACTTCTGTGGATATCACTGGGAAACTTCTTAAACAAATGCTTTGGGCAGCCAACTTTTTGTCTCCCGCAGCGGATTCCATTTGCACCTCACTGCTCACGCCACAAAAGCCACACTTCGGACCCGACGGATCCGAATCGGGTCGGATCCGTGCCGCAGAGGCCTGGACATCGATCTTCGGCATGATGGCCTTCCTGGTCGCGCCTCGGCTCTCTCAGTTGTTCAGTGGCTCCAATTAATGTACATTGCTGGGCTTTGATACTTTTGATTCACCAAATAGAGAAGCATCAGAAAAAAGCAAAAAATGATGGAGCAACCTGGTTGATCCTGCCAGTAGTTATATGCTTGTCTCTAAGACTAAGCCATACGGCGAAACTACGAATAGCTCGTTGCTACCTGGATTTCAAAAAGAAATGCGGAAAGAAAAGAAGAACATATCAACAGGCAGACAAGAAAGAAGAAGAAGAGCCACCCACAAAAAGAACTTCAAGACAAGCAGAACTCAGGATCAACCAGAAAAAAGGAAGGAATTGAAAAACAAAAAGAAAAAAGAGCAAGAACTGAGCAAGCAAACAACAGACCCTGCTCCCCAGACCCCAGACCCCAGACCCTATCTGCCCGGACCGCCTTCCCCCCTGAACCCCCGGAGAGCTTACCATCAGGTAGCCGACCATGAGCCGGCCGACCATGCGCAGAACATGAGCATACGTTTGCGCTGGGCCCGCCCTTCTCATGGACGAAGGAATTGCGGACTGGTTTATGCATCTCCCCGCAGCGTCCAAAAAAATAGTCCAAAAACGAATGTTTTTGGGGGGTGCCTAATACTGGACAACACCCCCAGCATTGCCAGCATCATCCCGGATGATGTTTCCCCTTTTTTGGTGGCTGCGCCACTAAAATTGTCTTCCCAAAAAAAGGGTTCCCTTTTTTTCCAGGGTCACTGAACAACTGGGCTCTTGCGGCTTACGACTTAAGAATCGACGAGTCGGGTCGGATGTGTCCTCTTACAGACGTCCACAAAAAGCCGGGGGGGGGGGGCGAATTTGGTCAGGGCCAGAGGTGCCGTGGTCTCCAAAACGCCCAACTTTTTGGCCGTGCCCAAAGCATCCCAAGACCTGGTGAAGCTGGACAAATCCTGGTTTGGGTGTCCATTTTCTAAGTGGGTGAAATGGGGTGGACTTCCTGGGGTGTCCCTGTTTTAGGAAGGACAACCAACCAAAATTTTGGGGGTCGGCCTATTGGGACACACTTCTTTTTTTAATTGGCTGGCGGGCTGCTTTCCCCAGATTGTTTTTTCCCCCTCCTCCGCTTACATGTGCCACGAAGGCAGGTGGAAGCTTCGCGGAAGGCTTTTTAGTGTCAAAGCGGACATGGCATAACATCGGAGTTTGTGGAAGGTTGAAGAATGGCATCGGAAGATAAGAAAGCAACAGCACAGCTCAGATGCGGATCTTGTTCAGACTTGTTTTGGAGGGGGGCCCCAAAAAAAGTCAACCAGCAACGGGTGCCGATGTTTGTCCCACGGAAATCCCTAGGTTTGGGGCGTCCATATTTTTGGGTAGACTATGGGGCATAATCTGACAATATGTTTGGCTGGGCCTAAGCCTTAAGCAGGGAAAAAGCAAACACACTGCCAAATAAGGCACAATACGGCCTTGTAAGGCATTGCAAAAAAAATAAACATGTACTGTATCCACACACATCAGCAAAATTAAAATAAAATCAAAAACGCATATTAAAGCAATGTCCAACACAAAGACCCTACAAGAAGTGATGCTGCTTAGGTATTGAAATGAAACCGAGTTGAGGATTTCCAACAAACATACCTACAAGCAGGGATGTTGCTTAAGGTCTTAAAATTACACCGAGCTGATTATTTCCAGCAAAAACACCTACAAGAAGTGATGTTACTTATTTGGGAGTCGATTATGATTATTTGACTTGGTGGCATTTTGGCTTTTAGGGTTTGGTGGTAGTTTCCATTTAACCCACTGAAAGTGAAACTTTTAGGGGATCCGAGGGCAGCCCAGCTAATATAAGTCATACCAAGGCTTCAGTTGAGGGTGCTTTTGCCTGGCCTGGGGCGAGTCCTTCAGGTCCTCTTCATGTGGCGGCCCACTCAGCGCGTCTTCTTAGACAAGGCGCGACGGATCAAGAGACGGACCGAGGGACCGAGCGGGGGAGGTGGGCGGTGGGCGTTCTGCTTGTGCGGAAAGGGAGTCATGTGTTCGAATACCGTTTTTGGACCATCGCACGGTGTGAAAGGCTTCATTTTGCGTTCGAATACCGTTCATGACTAGATGGTCATGCACGTGTAGCCTTTTCTTTTTGAGCCCGTTTTTGGACTTGCTTTTCACCCCCCCCCCTCCAAAGCGCCACGCCCTCAGCAGTGCACTTGGCAAGACGCAAAGACAAGAAAGTCATGTGTAGACATGGTAGTGGAAAGCTTGGTTTAGGGCCAATCTTTGTGACAAGGGAGCCCACTTTGAAGTAGTAGTTGGGGATGCCTCAAACTGGTATCACAGCAAGGGTGATTTGAAATCCACATCCACGTCAATGTTTCTGTGTAGCATCCGAAAGGAACGAATTTGTTAGCACCCATCGGATCACCCACAGCAAGGCAGTGTTTTTTTGTTTTCTGCACGCGCTTTGGCGCGTGCAACCAGTTCTCTCGCTTCTCTAGTTGCTAATGTTGACCCCCGGATCCAAGTAGAACCTGTCCCATTAGGGGGGTCTTCCCTCCAAAAGTGGTCTGAATCCAACCACTAAAAGGGGACACCCACCGATCAAAATCAACCAGGGGTTTATTAATCTGGGGTCAACATTGAAAGCAAGTTCGACATTTGGTTTAGTGCCATCCACTCAGGATGCGAGGCTTTCATTTTGTCTCTCCAAAAGCTCGGGCCTGGTGTAGTTCTTCGGAGTGAGTTACTCACTTCCGCAAGACGAATCGATCTGACGTGACCTTTAGGTTTGGTGGTGAAATGGGGTGGTTTTCCATTCACCCCCCACAAAAGCCAGGGTCCCGTTCAAATCCAAATCAAAAGCCGCCGTGCTCCAAGCCACCAATGGAAAAATAGATTGGTTTTGAAGTGGCCCTTTTTTGGCCCAGCCACGTCCCCGAGACGTGATCACCGGTCTCGTTTTTTTTTCTTCTTCTTCCTTTTCAACTCGCCCAGCAAACAGCGTTCAAGTGGCCCCAGGGCAGGTTCGAAGTCGTGAGTGTTTTTTTTTGTTTGTTCCCTGGCAGAGTGTTCTGACATATGGTCAACGGGTCCCAAAACCGGGCCCATTCTTGGCCAGATGTCGCGCCATTTTGCAGTGACAGGTCTGCATTCATCAGAAGGACCCAGTCCTCAAAAAGGCGGGCTCCATCTCCGAGCGTGCCGACGAGTTGGCGGCATCTTCGGGTCGTTGACAAAGTAACATGCTGTGGTTTTGTGAGGTTGTGAGGACACGTGAACCCTCAAACTACCCTTAAAAGCCCATAATTGTGGGGCAATAAGCCGTGAAAGAAGCTCAGGGTACCCCTTTTCAGGTCGGTTTCAAGGAAAGACAAAAGGATCACCACCCATTTTGATTTTGACACATACGCATGGGACCCCTTTTTATTGTCGGATTTGCTTTGCATTTTCCCCTCAAATGCAACTGCCGACTGGAAGCGAGTCCGCCATTTTGAGAAGCTTTCATGGGGTAGGAGCAGACGAGCTGTGAAGCAGAATCTGACAAAGTAATGCCCTTGGTCTAATGTTGACTCTATTTTGATCAACCCCGTTTTATTGTCAGGGGGGGGGGGGGGTCCCTGGGTTTAGTGGGAGTCATCACTTCTCGATGGGCCCACCCTCTATTCAGGAGCTGGCGCTGATTCAGAAAAGGGGTCAACAATGACCCCAGAGTTGGGTCATGCAGAGGAAGGCAGGCCAAAACCTCTGGTAGAACCGAACGTCAATGGATGGAACAGGCGCTCCTCTGTCGAACATTTTCTCCGTTGGGCGGAAGTGATGACGAGTTCAGCTCCAACCTACGCTTTTTTCCCCCACCCACCACTCCCCGTTACTTGCATGCCAATTGTGCATCGATGTTCACCGGGTGTATTTGGGGCGCTCTTCGGTTTTGGCCGTTAGACTTTAAACATTGCCAAACTTGACTAACCTTCTTGCTGTTTATTGCATTTTGGGGTCCCGTAATTTATGTTTGTCTTTGAACTGGCACAAGGTGACTTTTTGCAGGGGTGTGCGTCCGGTCAAGCCTAATTATTTCTTTTGCAACCGAAAGCTTTTTTTTTTCACTATCCAGCAAAGTGTTCAACTTTTCGCAGGGTGCCAAAGACCGGTCTAGAGTATTTCTCTAGAGCATGTAGCCTCTTGATTCGCATCTCTTGTTCATGAAGGGTTCGCCTCCTTGGAATTTAACAAACTCTGGGGGGTATAAAGCAGGGCCCCGCTGAGATTAGCAACTGAGGAAAGGTTATGTTACAATCTTGTCAGAAAGGCATCTTAACTTGCAAAGACTCTAAGAACCAGTCTGGTGTGTAGGAACCATAATGACAAGACGTGGAAACAACAGGAGGGTTGTTTACACAAACGTTACCCCACATACCTTGCCCTACCCAACCTTACCCCTACCTTACCCTACCTTACCCCTACCTTACCCCTACCTTACCCCTACCTTACCCTACCTTGCTCATACCTTACCCCTACCTTGCCCCTACCTTACCCCTATCTTGCCCCTACCTTACCCCTACCTTACCCCTGCCTTACCCCTACCCTACCCTACCTTACCCCTACCCACCTTCCCCTTGTTATTCACCCCGGCCTGCTTATCCTGCGCGACAGGAGGGAGTGGAAAGCATCGGCGCGTTCCTCTACCACTCCAAGACGATGCTGGTCCTTTGGGATCCCAGCTATGCCTGGGCCCCAAGGCAGGACAGGAAGGGGTGGACCCAAAAGCCAGGGTTGCCCACAGCCACGTGCTCAAAACCCAGGGATCGGTGAAGGCTAGTAAGGGACAATCCCAACCAGAAATCGCTGCGGAAATTTCCGCCTTTCTAATTCTTGAGGCATGGTTCTGGGTCCATTTTTGTACCGATCGGTTTTGATTGTGACTCAAGGGCTGGCCCAAAAGCTAGGGGCGCCAGCCATGTCGTCGGATCAAAAAAAATTGAAACATGCATGAAGAACATGAAACACACATGTGTTGCGGTCTCGTCTATGGATCATGGATCATGGGTTCCAACATGGTGCGCTATGAGCCAGATTTTATATCGTTTGCATGCATGCGCGTGTGCATCTGAAGTCCACCAGAGTCCGGCTCTTAGGCGGGGGATGTGAAGATCCTCACCCATTGGGGCAGGGGGGATTTCGACCCCTTCTATTCGTGGTGACCGATTTCCCTTATGGAAGAATGGAATTGAGGAAGCCCTCTCCCTTAAGGTAGGGGGAGTGTGAAGATGCATGTTTGATTCAAGATGACAACTGGTTGGACTCTCGATCAAGAACAGGCTCGCCGGCAATGGGTCGGATGGCAACGTTGTCCTTTTTTTGGGGGATCCCGCGAAATTGTACCCCCTACTCCAAATATCCTCTTTTTTTAGGGTATCATGTCGACCCTCTACTAAAAAAGGAGGTATATTAGGGTATTTCGAGTAGGGGGAAATTTCCCTTTGGTTTGCAGTTGAACTAACTTTCAACCGGGTACCAAAAAAGGACAGATCCCGATCTTTATGGCCGTTCTCTTTTTGTTGTTTACTTGAGTCTTGAAAAGTCGGTGTTTCGGTTTGTGTTTTTGTCTGTATTCTTGGCCCAGTGCTTCCTTCCAGTCTGTGTCTCTGTGTTTGTGCCTCTCTCCGTATTGGAGCAAAGAGTTGAGAGGTGATCTCGGAAAACATATCCCTGTTGTATCTCTTTTTTTCTTAACCAATCCGAGAGAAGCTAATTTGTAGGGTACAACTTCAGTTGTTCCCTTTCGGTACGCATCGCTCTGATTTAAAACACATGTATACAGGAGTGCTCCAAGCCAATGCGCAAGGGTAGGACATTGTGTGTTTTGGTCCCTTTGATTTCCTTTTCCATGGAATATCTACCCTTGAGACAGGCACTATGGAGCGTCTCTAAATCGATCGAACTCCCCACAGATGGGCGGAACGGGTTCCTCCCATGAATTTGTCGATCCTTGAGTTTCAGATACCTCTGCAAACATGGAGCCTCACGTACCCTCTGTGGCGTCTCACCCTTCCATGGGCAACTGTGCACTTGTCCAGGGTTGTGGAATCAAGGGGTTTGTTCCCACTTCTGTGATACAAGGGAATCTTCCCCTTTATGTGGGGTGTTAGTCTTTGGGAAGACCTTTTTGTTGTATCACAGAAGTGGTCATTTCCCACAACCCTGCACTTGTCGGTTCCCAGCCGTTCACTGACCTTTCAAAGACGCTTTTGGTGTTTCCAAAACTCGGATCATAGAGGGCGCTCTAAGAGGCGTCGGATCCTTTTGCCATTTGCAAGGAAGGTTCTATCTCCAGTTGGACACACACTACCTGGACCCTCGCTCCCTCAACAAATAAGTACCTCGGAGTTTTGGCGGCATTCCCATTTTGTTCTTTGCGGGATCGCTATGGGACCCCTGTTAAATAATTGATCCCCGTGTCAAAATGGGGCGTGTCGAACTCGATCGTGTTTGTTGGGGGGACCTGCCATTTACGAATTGGAACTCCATCCTCACTCCCTGAGGACCTGGGCGTTTTATCCGTTTGGGAAAGACCTGTTTTTGTACCCAGAGGCTGCCGATTGATTTAGGGCCTTCAAACCACCTGGTTTTGAGACCCCAACCACCTCCGGGGTGTTCAATGGAGGGGTCGGGTCTTCCATTGAAAGCCCCAGGAGCCTCTGGGTAGTAAACGAAAAGTTTAGACTTTCTTGGTCCATCTACTCGATCTCGAAATATGTTCAAAGGACAAAAGCACTGCAAATCAGGTAACCCCTAATTGGTGGGTCTATGTTTGAACTGCTTGTGGGTAAATGGGAATGGAAGGAAGCTGAGCAAATGGGTGCGTCTTTGTTTAGGGTGTTCCTCATGGTGGTGTGGATTTTGGCTTTCCTTTCAGAATCGAACCCACACCACCCACCAAAAAAGGCGTACCCTCAACAAAAGGCGGCTGCAAATGGTTCGGTAAACCCACCCGCAAATGGAAATACCTAAACCCTACAAAGGCGTTTGTTCTGGGGTGAGTTCCTTCTTTATGGGTAGTTTGAGGGCTCAGGTAAACCTCGCTTCCTGAGTTCCTGGACTTTCAACTTTTGGGGAAGGCCATTTTTAGTGGTATCCACCCAGTTGCTTCACCTTTTTTGGGCCTGGCACTCGATCGGAAGTGAGACATGCGGAAACGCGCTCCTTTGCCCGGCCGCTTGTGCAGTGACACGCGCTTCTAGACCAGTGAAATGGGCAGGCTGACCTTTGAGGCTCATGGTTTGCCTTTTCCCGCTGTTGCTGGGATAAATAAGCAGCTTTCCTGGTAGTGCAGATGTTTTTTTTTCAAGGGAGGCGGTTCATTTCGTTGGAAAAGGCACACCCTGATGAGGCTCTTCTGGGCGGGCGGGTGAACCACTTCTGTTCCTTGGGTTCTGAGGCACAGGTTGGCGTCCAAGCACCGAATTTCCGAGGCCACGCGCTTGTGGTGCGTCTTCGAAATGGCGGCCTTTGCCTGGGCCCACAGGCCTCGTTGGGTCGCTGGCGGGGCCGTGGGGCGGTGGGGGGAGTGGGGTGGAGTGGGGGGGCGGGGGTGGGCGGGGTGGGGGGGGGTAAGGCAGGGAGGAGGCGGTTTGATGTAGACTCACTCCCTGAGGTCACTTTCTGGGGTTCGGACCATTTTCAGTGGTAAACAGCTCGGACTTGTTTGGCCTGTCCAATCAGGAACCGAGTAGAGGTTCAAGAGCCAGAAGTCGAATGTTGAGTTCTTCAAAGCCAGTCAGGATCAGAGAGCGCATGTATGTACTCGTTCTGCAAATGTAGGATAAGCAAGGGAAAGCGTGTCCTCCTTTTTCTGCCGCATATGTCCCATGTCGCTGGTTTCAAACCTCACCTTTTGGACAGGTAATTCTATTTAAAGGCTGATTGCACAGGTCAATATGCAATGTTGCACCCTTCTAGATTTCTCACATCAAGCCACAACTAAAGGTGAATTCACCCCAAAACTAGGGGGTTCATACCAGGATTTCCTAAAATGGACGTTTTCACTCGGCCATTGATCTATAGATGGCGCGTTTCCTTGAAGTACGGGAACCCCTGGTTTGGTCTGGGCCCCCGGGCAGGTTCCCGACGTTTGCCGTGCTGGTTGGGGACACGCGGGCAGGCTACCTGTTTCTAAAAGCAGGGCATGTCTTGTTTAGCGGACCCCAGAACTGGGGGCCTTTAAACAGGGCTCCTGAAAAGATCTCCATTTTGCCCATCCACTTGAAACATGTCTGGCTTTTTCAACACCATAAAAACGTGGGAACCATAGATACATTTGGGCCATCTCAAACATGTTGCTCTTTCACCACCAAAAGAAAGGGAGACCACCATTTACAAGTTGCAATGTTCGATCGGTGTTTTTCATGCATCCGGATCCCTGTTAAAGGGAGACCAAAAGGAACACTGAAGCCATTTTGGGGGGTTCCCTGAAACAAGACAAATTCAGGGAGCTGGTCTCCTCGCACTTTTTCCGAGTGGTAGATGTATCCCTTCAATTTCCTGGGCGGGATCTTGCCCGGCTTGGGATATGGCGTGATCAAGAGCAGCTCAGCCTCGGGGCCTCGGGGCCTCAATGTAAAGTGGGTGCCAAGAACTCAGCCGAACCTGGATTTCACGGCTCTTTTGGCGCAGAACTTTGGGTGTGCCTTGAGGGTGTCGGTTGGGGTTGGCTTCAGGAGAAGCTGTAGGGACATTTCTGGCTACGATGAATCGCCCATGTTTGTTGTGTTTGTTTTTGCAACAATTGCCCACTCGGATGCTAGGCCAAGTTAGTTGTGGATCGCCACCTGGACACTGAACGTAGAATCTATCAGTGGGTTGTATTCCAGGTTCCCAACTTACTAGCTCAGACGAACACCCAAGTAGAGAGCAATGGATCGCACCCTAACCCAGAAGCTCTTACTTGCCAGCTCTGGGCTTCCCCCAGTTCACCGCTAGACCAGTCCAGACTTTTTGCATAGCAAATAATCAGGTTGCTCTTAAGTGGTGGTTTGGCGATGTGAATCTCTGGTTTTTTTGGGGGGGAGTAAAGGGGAAACCACCCAACCTCCAAACCACTAAAAGTAGCGTGGAGCTGAAAGCGCATTTTCCCAAAAAGTTTAACATCCCGGAACTTACGGAGGGAGATGATGAGACAACCAACCATTGACCTGCGAAGCAACAACATCCCAGGCCATTCCGGACTCCTTTTCAGGGCAAAATACAACAAGCTGAACCCATGGTCATGACTTAGCTTTGTGGTACTCCCCCCCCCCCTCCACCCCCTTCTAATTATACGTAGATGATATTGTAGACATTCCCCGGCGATGGTGAGTCGGCCAGGAACGACCTCAAGAACCGAGTTGAGATCAGGCCCGTCATCTTCGCCCCAGAGCCTTGGCTCGCAGAATGGGCTCCTTAAAAGAAATTCATTTTGCCCATCCAAGGATTCCTGTTACAGAATGGGTGTTCAAGGCACGAGGGACTGACCTACTTGGCTTGGTCGCCCTTAGTCGTCCGGTTCCTTAGGTGTCCGTCCGGTTTTTTGGGTCGAGTGGTTGGGTTTCCGTTTCACCCACTCAGTTCTCCAGTGGCTCCAATTCTTTTTTCTTTTTCCACCTTTCTTTGGCTGCCCCACTAAAAATTCGCTGGAGATAAACATGACTCAGGCTTCTGCCTTGGCCTTGTCATGCTCTCTTGTTTTGCTTTTTGGTTTGGCAGGAAAAAGAAGCTCAGGTGATATCCCCAGCAGCATAACCCTCGTGAAACCCTCGTGGAGCAGGATTCCAGCCACAGTATGGCCCCCAAAAGCAGGCGCAGACACCGAAGAGCAGCTCGCTCAACGTCTCAACGTCGAACTGTTGTGTCTTCGGTTACAGGGCGGCATTTTTGTTGATTCAGTTTGGCAAGCCGCAGCGGTCAGCCTAGGGCAAAAAATTGAGCCAGGCCCGTGTAATTACCGGAACCCTCAATCTACCCATGAAAAAGGGAAGGGGATTCACCCACCACAGTTTTGAGGCCGGCAGTCGCCCATTCTCTTAGGTTGGAATCTTGAGGTCTAGGCAGCTATTTTGAGCCACCCAAAGTGCCCTTCGCCAGCGGGTCGCCACTTTGCGCATTTTTTTTAGGGGTTCCCCTTTCCAAGCTGTTCCCGGCCATCCCCTCAGGTGTTTTTAGGGTTTTAGGGCTTCGTGGCTCGTTTCCATCTAACGCAGTCACTAGTCACTTTTAGCGGATCTGAGAACGCACAGCCCAGTTTGTTAGTCAGGGCTCCTTAAAAGATCTCCATGTTGCCAATTTGAAACATGGCTTTTTCCACCAAAATACAGGGAAACCACCACTTACAAGGCAATGTTCAGGTGTGTAATGTAAGGATCCCTGTTAATCCTGGCTTCCCGTGTGTTCGTTTCGGTCATTCGTGCCGGTGGGCCGAGGTGTACTTCGGGCTGATGATGTCGTAGCCCCGAATTCTTTTGACGCGAGAAGTCGAGAGGCCACCCGCGTGCGAAGTACTATGGATGGACAAAATCCTGCACCAAAGAAATCCTAGGATGATTGCCCTGTATGTAAATACCAACAAACAGTGGTTTCAACAATGGTTTCAAAGTGTTGCGAACGGATTCCGTCCATCCACAGTATGTTGGGTTCCTGGAACTCTTCCATTTGCTTAAGAAGATGTCATTTAAAACCAGCTGGTTTTAAAGGGAAGCCATCAACACTGGAAATAAACAGATTTGTTCCAGGGGATTTAAGCAATTGGATAAGTCTCCCGCTTTTGGAACCGGTTTTCCCATGAGTAAACACCTCGTGTTTCAGGGGACATACCTCAAACTTCCATTTGCTGAAATGAACATGTTTTATTTTCCCCTGTTGGTTTTAAAGGGAATCTATACCACTACTGGATTGTATATATATATATATATATGTCCAAGGGTCTTAACCAAATGGAAGCAAAGCAGTGGGTATTGGAGCCACGGGCACCCAGAAACCAAAAGGAGCCGCATGCTGAGGGGTTTTTGATTCGAGTTGTTTTTCTGCCACTGACCTTCATAACAGATCAGCAGTAAACCTGCGATGCAGTCAAGCTGTTCCCAGCAATTCGTCCACTTCCTGGAGTTGTTAGGTGCTGTTTGTTGGTTTAGCTTGATGTTTAGTTTTTTTGGGGGGGTTTAGTGGTTGGGTTTCCACGTATCCCACTCAAAGTGTTCGACTTTCAGCAGATCCAGTGGACAAAGGGCTGCACGGCGGCCGGTGGAAGATGACGCGGAGGTTGGTGGAGATTTGTGAATCAAGAAGATTCCTTTCATGGGGCTGGGGTATGCGAATGGGTTTTGTTCTTTGTTTTTTTTCAGAATCACCCTGTAAATGCTGTGGATGGACGAAATCCATTTGGTGTGGCCCAAAATTAAGGAGCTACCCCTTTTTATTTTATGGTTTTCGCTTTTTTGGGGTCCCCTTTGTTTTCCACTAACCATTCAAAAAAGATATTCTTTTACTGGGCTCCTAATTTCAGCCTAGTTTTCTGACCTTTTCTTCCGAGAAAGAATCGTGGCATCTCTTTGCCCTGGCCGGCTTCACAGTCCAGCAGTGCAGACTCCTAGGCCCTCCGATCCACAGCGAACTTGTAGCCTTGTTGTTTGTTTCCTTGTTTAGCTCGACGTGTTTTTTCTTCTGATAGAAAGCCCACGTGGTGAAATCTTCTTTGGGCCAGAGGATCCTTCGCACCGAGGCCCAGCCTCTTGGGGATTTGTGGGATGGGTGAAACATTTCCCTTTGAAGCGATGAAACTCAGGAGATCCCCTCCCAGGAACTCGTTGGAGGACAAGGCCACCTAAATTTTCATGTTCATTTCGGTAACAAAGGCTGGTACCTTGACCAGAAAGTTGGAGTTCGCCCCCGGCCCCCGCACTTTTTCGGGTGACGACCCATTTTCCGAGGGGCCAGGTGCCCAAAATTGCCCAAACTTCCGACCGACGGGGGGTTGGGGGCCGAGAATTTGAGGTCCTCGATCATCAACTGGGCGCTGATCTGCTTCTTCCCCAAGCCGCTCGGCTCTGCGGCCGTTTTTTCGCGGCCGGCGCTGCGGTCCGGGCGATTTGGGGATGTCAATAAAGGGGAGGGCCCGGGTTCCTGGTGTCCCTTTTAAAGCACCCCAAAAGAGTACCTTTAAGAAAACAAACATCCACCCAACTACGTAGGCTCGCTGAGATGCAAGAAGTATGTGTTGGGAATTCACTTTTTGCGCTCACTGTTTTTTTGGGGTTGGTTTTTTATCGACAAGCCGCAGGCAGCGGTGGGGCGGCGGGGGGGGATAGCTCCCAGAGAGGGGTTTTGGGTACTTGGGCCATTGCAGCAAAGAAGTTTGGACTTGTTTGGGCAACAGCTGAAGTCAACGTGGCTCCGGTCACCGCCACAAGTTTAACAGTGTACCCCACTTCACGTGGGGCTGCGAGCCCTTTTCCATTTCTGTGTCTTCCATGTGCTCAATGATATATGTTTTAGTTTCCCCTGTTGGTTTTGAAGAGAAGCGATTTCACTACCGATGTATTTGTTCCCAGGGGACACTGCAAATGGAGGCTGGGCCCCGCAAAAAGGATATGTCCTTGTCTCATGGAAATCCGCGAGAGTGGGAGGTTCCAAAAAGGGCAACACCGCAGCCAAGAACCTGGCGGACCGCCCGTGTTGCCCCTTTTTGCATTGTTCCCAACAGCTGAAAGCTTTCGATAGGCCCAGAAATCGGCGACACAGGGTGGTTTGGGGCAGCTTTGAGGGAGGGTTCCGGAGATTCGGTTCCAGGATGTTTCCGGAGACTGACCTGTTTTTTTTTGAGAGAGGTTCCCTTTCGGTCCAACCAGGGTCTCAGAAAAGTGAGGTTCGCCTTGGATCATCTTGGCGTTATGTTGATCTCAGGTCTTTGGCCCCGCGAAACGCTTGTTTGGTGCTTTCAATCAGTGACTTGGGGATTTCAAGCTTCACTTTTCTTGAAGCCATTATGGAAAGGTACTCCCTCCAACGGGATTTCAGGCCAAACTGACAATGGGGGAGAAGGGTGGGATCGCCTTTGCTTGGTTGTTATGGTGCTTGACTAAGTGACTAAGCATGGCTGCCAGAAGACAAATAGTTGATTTGTAGCTAGGCACAAGCTGAAGTACGGGACTCGGGTGCATGGGAACGGAGCCTTCATCGAGTTACCCCGAGCGGGTTCCCGAGCCGGTTCCCGAGCGGGTTTTTATGCTTTTCTGTGCGATGCGGCTGATGCATAAGCCATGGCTGTGTTGTCAGAATAGGGGGCCCAAGAGAAGTGTGATTTCCTGTTGGTTTCCTTACAAAACGGGTAATTACTGCCCCAAAGAGCCAAGCTCAATTTCGGAACCCTTTGGGAAGAACCCCGAAGGGAACCTGTGGGGGGCTGGAAGGAAATACCGCGCCCCTTCCGACACCCAACTGCTCAATTATTGGCTCTATATGTTGTTTCCCAAAAACAAGTGGTTTCTTTTGGTTGCCCTGTGAAACCATCCAACAAGGGTAGGTACAAAAATGCACCTTCAAGAGCGCCCCTTCATTGGCTCTATGTTTTTCCCCCAAAAAAGTAGTTTCCTTTTGGTTTCCCTTTAAAACTATCCAAGAGAACCAAAGGCCGAGTGCTCCAAAAATTGCAACATGTTGGACTTGCACCACGCTGTTCAGCCGGTTGCGCAAGCCAAGGACGCTCACGCTGAGCGTGACCTTTTGGCCGGCCCTGGAGTCGCTGATTTGCCGGGGTCCCGGGAGGGTCTTTCAGCCGCGAGGTCTGAAGTCCCGTAGGTCTGTGACCACCAGAAACACCGCAGCCACAAAGCATCAGGGTTGTGGGAAATGACCACTTCTGTGATACAACAAAAAGGGCGTCCCAAAGACTAACCCCCCATATAAAGGGGGAGATTCCCTTGTATCACAGAAGTGGGAGTAAACCCCTTGATTCCACAACCCTTCAAAGCATTAATGGCGAAACCGTGTTTTCAGCAACGAGGGGTGGATTAAGACCCATGTTTTCCGACATCCTGAGTGCAACAAGTGCTTCCTTCTGGCGCCGCTCTGCGAACAACATGCAGCATGCACAGGAACCAGCCCCAAAATGTTCTTTACAGTTCCTCGTTCAACACCACAAAACAGACTCAATTCAACTTGGCCCCAAAGCTGATGCTTCAACCACCCCAGGTAGTTGACACAAGAGCGGATTTCGGTTCTAAGAAAACGCAACCCCCACCAACGGAACCCTCAAAAAGTGCACATCAACTCATGTTTTGTTAGGGAAACCCTAGTTTGAGGGTTTGTGGCAGATCGGCGAGAGTTATTGCCGCACTGCATGTCGGTGAACATTTTGCAACAGGAAGTTCTAGGTATTGCAAGCAAAAGAACTGCCAAAGTCCCAAACCGCCCGTTTGCCAAACACCACCTACTGCTCACTCCCTGAGTTCATGGACTTTATACTTTTTGGGAAGACCATTTTGGTGGTAAACAAACAGTTTGGACTTTTTTGGCCAATCAACTCAGGAAGCGAGACTGGTGCAAGCATCCAAAAATTAGTGACCGTCAAAGGCCCCAGGAAACGTTCTGGCTTCAACCATGGTTTCTCAGGGGGTGGGAACCGGATTTCGCAATAATCCGCCGCGCAGGTTTGGTGTACCTTCCGGCGCCTTTCTCTTTTTGTGAAACTCACTTCCTTTGTTCATGAACTTTAAGCTTTTTGGGAAGACCATTTTAGTGGTAAATATAAAGTTTAATTTTTTTTGGGCCATCCACTCAGCAAGTGAGTAAAGGGAAAGGATCCCTCATGGACCGACCCAACCATCCACAGCTATGGCCACAACAACCGGTGGTTGGGGCCAGGCCGAGGGTTTCCGACAGCGCCCCATCCGTCTGAGGCATCCTCGGGGTGCACTACCTGAGGCGTGGCGCGAACGATCTCGTGGCAAGTCCCTGTTTTTTTTCAAGGGACGGAAGTTGAAACGGCAGCTACTTGGACCCTGAAACAAAACATTCCTACTTTGAATTGGGCTCCTTAAAAGATCTCCAATTTGTTCATCTATTTGAATCATGTTGCTTTTTCAACACCAAAATTAAGGGCAACCACCATTTACAAGGCAATGTTCAGGTGTATAATGTGAGGATCCCTGTTTTGAATCGGGTTGTTGCAACCCAACGTTATGGGATGAAGTCCTTTGTTTTCTGGGTAGTTTGAGGGTCCAGGTACCAACAAAAAGAGTGCACTTGAAATGTATCCCACCAAGCCCGTTAGGTTTGGCAAGTTCTGCACGAAAGATGGAATCCGCCCCAAACGTTGGGTTCCCTTCTCTATCAGGGTTTCAAAGCTGAGCAGCTCTTCCAACAGAGGGGTCAGGAAATGTTCGCAAATCATTGGCCAATCCGGTTTATAGCCGTCCGGTTGTTCCACATCCTAAAACATTCAGGGGATCTGAGGACAGCCTCGCTGTGCCTTCCGTTTCCATTCTCAGGGATTCTTCTGTTCAAAAACCGGATCTTCTTATTGCCCCAGGCTTATGAACTCTATCCTCCTCGAAGAAACCCATTTTCAGGGATCATTCTTTTCAAAAACCGGGTCTTCTGTTTGCCCCTGGCTTATGAACCTCTATCCTCCCGCCGGGGGCGGGAACCCGGGGGCGGGGGGGGGGGGTTCTAAAAGGGGTCTCCGGGCGAAGAAACCCACGCGCGGCAGGTCCTTCCATCGGGACATGACCATCCTTAGGCAGCACTTGGCAGAGTCCGGGCGCCGAGCCGCGGATCGGAAGAGATTTCAGGGGTCTTGGTCTCCGATCCGAAGATGTTTTTTTTGTTTTTGTTGTTGTTGTTTTTATGTGTTTTTTTGGTTTGACCAGTTGATGTGTGAACCGTTTTTTGTTTTTTTTTGACGTGTAAGTTTTTTTTGGGTTTAAGCGGTTTTTTTCTTTTGTTTCTTCTTCTTCTTCTTCCTTTTTTTTACGTTGAAAGGTAGACCAAACACACGCACTCCCTGAGTTTCGTTGGACTGAAAGATGTTCTGGGCTTGGTTGCCATTTTGGGGGGTAAAGGGTTTAGACTCGTTTTTTTGTTTGCCAATCCCCACTCAGGAAGTGAGAGTTCCTGAAGATTCTGAAGATATCGGTTTTGGAGTTGTCCTTTGTGTGGCCCAGTGGGTCCACATTTTGGAGGCAAGTTGTACCAAAAAGTTTTCACCCCCCCCCCCCTCCAAGTCAGGCTCCATGGCGAATTGGTTCGGGTGGTATAGTGAGTTGCTTCACAGCAGCTCCCAACTACCCGGCTTTAGTATAGTTGCGGTTATACTGTGGATGGTTTCGAAATCCTCTCAGGCAGCACCTAAGAAACCCCTGGTTTCTGATGATTCACCCCTAAATACCAACAAACAATGGTTTCAACCATGGTTTCAAAGTGGTGCGAAATGGATTTTGTCCATCCACAGTAGTAAAGCTTGTCCACACCTTTATAACCACGTTAGAGCCAACAATCAAAGGGTTTTGGGCGCTGCTCACATCTTCTTTAACCATCCTCTTTTGAGATGGGCCGTGCGTCTCCAGAAGTCTGTTTACACTCAGCTCAGATTTGCCAAGTGGTTCTGGGGGGTCTCGAAGTCGGAAACTGGGGTTGGCTCCCTTGAGCATTCACTTGGGTGACATTGAACAACTTTGGTCCGTGTTAGGATTGGTGGGAGCAGACAAATCACACAAACCTGGCTTTTGGGATATGAATCGGGATGCGACAATAGGAAGTCCTTCAGGATTTCTCGGATTTGTCGGGCGTGGTTTCAGTTCGAACAACAACTTTGACTGCCCATTTATGGGTTGTTCTTATATTTATTGGTTGTTCTTATCTTATTTGGTTGTTCATAATATATATATATATATATTTATTTATTTATTTATATAGTTTGTATTCCAATTGTTTATTTGGCCGTTGCTTTATTTGGTCGTTCATTGAGATTGATACGTTCATTGGTAGCAAAATGGCTGGTGTCCAAGGCCAGAAGCCGCAGCCAGATTTGTCTACCATGGTACCTGGGTTCGATTTGCCGAGTCAGTGAGTTGTTCATGACCTACTTAAAGGGGCGATCGGGTAATGCTGACCCCGGATTAATAAACCCCTGGCTGATTGATATGGGGGTGTTCCCTCCAAAAGTGGTCTAAATCCCCGGGACACCCCCATATTAATAGACAGGGGTTCATTAATCCGGGGTCAGCATTACTTAGTAAGTGGTTAGTAAGCCTGGTGTTTTTTCCCACTTGCCAAAGTTATAAGTCTCCGTTCAGTGGGGTATAACCAGGCTTGCTAGCCACTTACTAAATGCCCGATCGCCCCTTTAAGTAGCCTTGATCTTGCATGAAAAAGCAGGCCTTCGTCTGCTGGTCCTTTTTCAACCAGAGCAAAATCAAGAAGGGCCCTTTTTCAAGAGCAAAATCAAGGAGGGCCCTGTTTTTGTTTAAAGAAGGGCCCTTTCTTTTTTTGGGGGGGGCCCTCGGGCCCTTGGAAAGCCAAGGTAGGTGTTTTTTTTTGTTCCCCACTTGTAAGCGTTCAACCTTGTGGGGATCCAACCACTTGGCGAATCGAAGATCCGAGCAAATCGGTTTGTTCTGTCTTGGGAGACCAGCGTCGAACCGTATGCGTGTTCAAAGGATTGCAAAAAGGGAGATTGCGGATTCCCCTTTTCCAGACACTAACTTTTTGAGGTAGATGATGAAAGCAAGAGGTGCCGTGGTAAAATGGCTTCTTTTTTTTGGCAGGGTTGGCGTCATACAATAGTCAAGTAGCAGGGGCGATGTGTGATTCTGCACGCCCAACCTTACCGTGGACATTCCTGACACTTCACGTATTTGGGGGTGTTTCCACCTCTCTCCCCCAAACAAAGCTTCCATTTGCTTCAGATTTGTTTTGACATTTCCCATGTTGGATTTAAAGGGAGTGTATCACTACTGGGAATACTGGGGATTTGCTCATTTTTCTCCATGGGACGTATTGGCCAATGGGTGCTGAAGAGAGCAGGGGTTGGCCTTTTTTTTTGGGTGGGGGGGGGGGGCAAAACCAAAGCAGGCGACACTGGCCAGGACAAAACCGTACCCATTTGCACGTTTTTTCAGACTCCAGGGCGATTCGTGAGACTTAAGTGACCTTTCTGCCCGTTTGGGCTTTCTTCTTTTTTCCTCAGCACACAACTATCAACCAAAATGTTGTTGCAAGACAGCGGGTGTTTACTGTCTCTGGTGCGTTTCTCACACAATGGAGCAATGCAAGGGCTGAACAATTAGAATGGGGTTATGGGGTACCTGCAAACCGCATTTTCTCACGGTTGTAGGAGCTTCGTTTGGCCCTCGTATGCTTGCGTCTAGTTTGAGAGGCCCAGAAAAAAATGTGGTTTCCCTCTCAGCCTCTTGGCTTCCCTTTGAACCTCCAAAAACAGAAACCTGAAACAGGCAACTGACAATCCCGTGGAAAAACCGAACAAGCCAAGGTTCCCCTTGTTTCTTAGGTGGTGCGAAATGGATGTCGCAACCATCCGAATGAACCGCGGGCAAACCCAGCAGCTTTTTGCACTCCGTCTCCCTGTTTGAGGTTTCAAGTGGCCAACTCCCACTGCTACTGCTGCAGCGTGCTGCGCTGAGTGCATCAAAGAGTTGATCGCCGAAAGGGTCGTGCAGCATGGGGCTCCACCTTCCATTTGTTGAAGACTATTTGTTTTTATTCTTCTTTTCTTTTGTTGGTTTAAAAGGGAATCTATCACTACTGGAAATATGTATTTGTTTTGTCCCGGGGGCTCAAGCAAATGGAACCCAGCGATTGGGGAATGGTCCCATGTTTGTTTTCATGGGAGGTCTTACTTTGTTTTGACCCACAGCCAAATGGGTCTGCCATGCTCGAGGTGCAGCACAAGATGCCTGAGACCGGCGAGCGGATTTCCTGCGCCGGGCAGCACAGAAATCGGAAATCAGCAGATCAAATAAATGGGTGGTGTGCACAACGAAAACCATTGGGGAAACCAAGCAGTATACCCATTGCATACTGTGGATGGTTGCGAAGTCCATTTCGTACCACCTAAGAAACCTGGGTTGCTGATGCTTCCCCTGTAAATACCAACAAACAATGGTTTTTCATGGTTTCAAAGTGGTGCAGGATTTCATCCATCCACAGTAGTTGTTATATATGGCTTTTGTATGTATACCCAATGTTGCCCTTAAGGGTGGCTTTAACTAGTGAGTAGCGGCCGCCATCTTATACGGGGAGGTTTTGGGGGAGTTGTTATCGTTCCTTGCCTTCATTGCTTGAGTTTCTAAAACTTGAATTTGAGAACCTTTTTTAAGTTGGTTGCGAGAAAAACAAAAACTTGAACTTAAACCTTGTTAAGTTGGTTGCGAAAAAGAACACCAAAGCAAGCATACGCAAACTTTGGTTGGAAAAGTGGAGTTACCAGCGTCCTTTCTCGCAGGTTGTGGCATCCATCAAGTACAGCCGCTTCAAATTGCGCGAGCAATTTGAGTGCAGCACATCTAATACAGTGGATGGACGAGATCCATTTCGCACCACTTTGAAACCATGGTTGAAACCATTGTTTGCTGGTATTTACAGGTGAATCATCATTCCAGGGTTTCTTAGTTGGTGCAAGATTGCGTCCATCCACAGTAGGGTCCCCTATATTTCAGCCGTTTTGGTGATGAAATATAAGTTCTTATTCCCAGGGTAATTTGTCACCTGTATTCCAGCGAAATATATAGAGAACCCTGGTTTCTAGAAACTTCCTTATTTCTAGTTTGGAATGAAAGCAACCTGGCCTCGCACAGAACTTGACAGAGGATATCTATGATTCTGAAAGCGTGTGGATAGACTCCCATGCGGTTGCGTAGGTCAGTGCCCATATGTTGGTTAAAGGAAACCAACGGGGGATGTGTGATGCTTCAAATCTTTCCCAGAACCCCTACACAGCACCCATTGATATTTGTATCTCCCAAGGTGCCCCCCTCCCCCCCCCCGAATCTGACAGGGGGGGGTTTGAAAGGCTACTGCTTTCGGGGAAGCTCCCGACCGTCCACTTCCATTGTAGAACTAGAATCCGGGTCAACGTTTGGTGCTGTGCATGGACCTGCACCAGTCGGAATGGATGAATCCTTGCAAGTGCTGGGGTAAACGACCTACTGGTGCAGGATCTCGTCCATTCACAGTATCTTACAACTTTGACCCAAGGGCTAAAATGATGAATCAAGACAATATTTTAGCCCTAGGCTGAGGCCTATGGTTGAACTTGACTGAGGAAATGCCCTCCCACAAACGTCGAACCTGCACAGGGGCTCTCTCAGAAGACCGCCCTTCACCCTTCCTTTTAAGGGGACCATGTACAGGTTCCTTGTTTGATTCTGGGAGGGTATTAAATATCATGGGGGCTGGGGGGGAGGGAGGGGAGGGGGAGGGAGCCCTAAAAGGCCCTAAATAAGGCCTTATCAAGGGCTTATTTAGGGGCCTTTTTGGGCTCCCTCCCCCCCAGCCCCCATGAAATGATTCTGTATTGTTGACCCCCTACTAATCAACCCCAGTTTATTCATAGGGAGGGGTTCCCCTCAACAGTGAACAATCCCCACTAAAACCAGGGACACCCCCATATTAATCAACAGGGGTTGATTAATAGGTGTTCATTCTCCGGCTCCTTAGGACAGAGACATCATCCAGGCGTGCATTGTGCCGTGCTCGGATGGCCAAAGGGACGACAAAAGCTACACGCGATCGCATTTCTTGCACTAGTTTCATGGATGGAGCAGCCAGCACCGAACCCCCAGTCAATGAAAGTTGGCATGCAATGGACATTAGTTTGATTCGATTTCTATGGGCTTAGGGATGAGTTGGCGGCGTTTTTCAGACTTTGGTTTGGGAATCGGATTTTCCCGAAACGGGAAAAGGGGGCACTGGGAATTCTCCTCGGGACTCTGGACTCTTGGACGAGGGTATGGTGTGATCCGCCTTGGTGTGCAGAAGCCCATAGACAGTTTCCCGGCGCGGCCACGGGGTTGATTGACGTCGACCCCCGGAGTCAGAGCATATGCTGTGTACAAACATCAAGGGGTTTGCCTCCAAAGACGTTGACCCCCATGTACAAGCATCCAAAACGGGCAGGGTTCTACTTGTGATGTCTCAATACCAAAACTGTTTTACATGGGGTAGACAGAATATGAGACAGAGTCAGCACATATTATTTTCTGTGTACTCCAGATGTTGGCCAAGACTTGGTCTTATGCTTCCAGAGGGCCTATACAAAGCTTTACCATGCTGGCACCAGAAGTCGCTCAGGTTTTTATCCGGTGCTCACATGGAACCTGAAATCACCTTAACCCGGGCCCTATTTGGTGGATTGTTTTGGTGGTTTGGACGTTGGGGATACCATCGAATGTTTGGTTTCAAAAGGAAGTGCGTAGGGTTCCTTTCCCTCCCTGGGCTGTCCTTTTTGTTAGGAAAGCCCTGTTGGGATTCTGAGGAAAGCCATCATCATCTTGCTTGGCGGTTTCCAGGCGTCCGCTTCCGTTGGGCTTCCATTTGAGCTACGAAAGCTTCATCTGTTACCAGGGGCTCCGAGGACAGCCCAGTTATATCCCACCAGCTACCCACCTGGCTAAGACTTAGCTAGTTGGCTAACTGGCTGGTTCCCCTGTAAACCCCTGCAACAGCGAACCTGGCTATTTTTTGGCTGGGCAACTGGCTGGTTCCCCCTTTTTCTCTCCACAAACAAAAGTGCTAGCTCAAAAAAAAACGGAGCATGGGAAGGTTCCACATATCGAACCTGCGACCTCCAGCAGTCGCCTGCTTCCCATGGTACGTACCGCAGTCAGGGGTCAGGTTGACATCATAGCCTTTGCAAAGAGGTGTTTGGACTAGGGGAGCTAAGCAAACCCGAACAAAATTGCAAAGCCCCGCTTTTCTTCTTGTTGCTGGAAAAGCCGACTGCCAATTGTTTGCGGGTGTCCTTTTTTGTGGGGGTGAGATGGCTGCGGGTCAAAACGAATGGTAACATTTTGGCGTAGGTGCACCACCCATTTTAGTCTATTTTAGTGGGGATTGGGATGTTCATTGGGGATACGGGGTTTTGACCCATGGCCAGATGGGGTAGACTGCTGAGGTGACCTGGTTTGGCAGCCTCGCGGATTTCGACAACTTCGTTCAAGCGGAGCCCGCAGCCCGGGAAAAGCGACAAAAGCGACGCTGCACGCTGGCCTGGTAGATCAACGTTCCCTTCGGGCCCCAAATGACCATGGGTAGCGTTTACCCTTTTCAGTGGGGGGGCAAAGTCCAACTTTGGCCGTGCCCAAACCTTAGTAGTAGTAGCAGCCGCAGCAGCAGCAGTACTACGAGTACCTGGAGTCTGCATGACCCAAACATGGGTCCATGACCCCGTTACATGGTGGTTGTTTGGAAACATTTTACATTTTTGCTTATTGTGGTTTAGTGGGAAATCCAAATCCACTTAGCTGCTAGCATTTATATTTTTGCTCCCCACACCCAAGGTTCACCAATTATTTTTGGGTAATGACCAACCATTTTTAAAGGGTCATGGCTCTGAGTTCATGAACTTTAAACTTTTTGGGAAGACCATTTTAGTTGTAAACATAAAGTTTGAACTTTTTTTGGGCCATCCACTCAGCAAGTGAGATGAAGACTCCAGGTAGCAGATGCGTTTCTTTTGTCGGTTTTTTTGCACTGGCGGTAGGCTCGCGGGCTACTTCTGGCGGTCTCTGGGGCACTTCGGATTGCCGGGGGCCAAGTCCGAGGTCCGGCTCGCCAAGCCCAGGTCAGGCACCGGGAAAAGGACACCCTTCTTACCTCTTAAAACCACAAAACTGTTCGTAACTTTTTGGGTAACATGGGCTATATGTTTGTAACTTCCCCAGCTTGGAGTTTTAAGGGGTAAGCCTTTGAAGGGCTAAGGCAGGGCCTCTCTTTGCACCAACCCAGTTTCACCGGAGCTTGGGGGAGTTTCGGGGTTGGCGAAAAGCTTTGCTTTGGGCATGGCCAGAGGGTCCAATTACCTTCGTACTGGACGAGCTCTCCTCAGAACCCTCCAAAAGCCATCCTCAGGAGGTACCAAGACCCTCTGAGCAGCAACCCAGTTCCGGGTCTTCGGGGGATCTTCGGGTTTGCGAAAGGCTCCCTAGCCCAAATACCCCCCTTTTCTTTGGGTATGATGTCACCCCCTTGACTACAAATGGGGTACCATGGAACGCAGGTGTTTCCAGTGTTATGTTCCCTCAAAACCATGGCACCTGCCAATTCGCCGCGTTGCGGTTGCTCCTTTTGGCCAGTAGCAACACTTTGGGGGCCAGGGGAAAACTTGGCCACCGGCTCGCTCGGGAGCGGCTCGAACGCCGTTTTTTAGCCTTTCACGGGGTTGTGATTCAGCCTCCAAATACAAAAGCCACTCGTAGCCCTGAGAATAGGTGGCTGTGGGCTCAAATGCACGAACCAAAATGGCACCTTGGTAGATGGAACCAAAGACTAAAACCTGCGTAACCCTCTTCGTAACTATTTAGGTCCTTGACGATCCAACCCGATAAGCTTCGATTCCTTTGGCTTCCGAAGCGTCCAAGGAGCATCCAATGAAAAATCTGCCGACTCTGAAAAAACGGCACCTGGAACCTCAGAAATCCCTGAAACAGTTGGTTTTCATGCCCCAGAATGATTGGGTGACTTCCCTTTTTTCACGGTTAGCTTGAGGGTCCAGGAACATGTTTCACCAGCTGGGTGGAATTCTTGGGTGCTGACACACCGCCAAGTTAAGTGGTTAGTTCTGTTCGGTTATATGATCTGAATCTACTTTGGGCCGACTAGTAACATGAGTTTGTGCACAGACTCTACATCGTTGGGCCGGTAAGTAGGTGACCAAGGTTGCTAACCACGTATCTTTTTGGCGCCGGCAGCCCAGCCTTCCGGAGCGGGGACCCATGCAATAAAAGCTTCAGGCGACGTCCTTTCGGAGCCGGTCGGAGAGTTCTGGTTGTGCTCGATTCGCCAAGTGAGCATAAGTAGTTAGTAACCGTTCGGGTTGCTGACTTGCAACAGCCCAACTCACTCATAAGTAGGTTATAACAACTAACCTAGGTTGCCCTGGGTTATAATCTACTTAGAACAGCCCAACTCACTGATAAGGTTATACCCCAGATACCCATCACCACTTGCTAACTTGGCGAATCGAACATCCAGAGCAGGCCTTGGATGCTGAGACGATTTTTGCTACCGTTATCACCTTTGCGTGAGTCAAAGACTTTCGCTGACCCCCAGACCAAACCGCAAAGAAGACATAGAACAGTGAAGCTATATTTAGACCCGGTTTCCGAGCCATTTACCTTTTTTGGAATCTCCGCAAGTGGCGTCGTTTCAATGGAAACCACCCGTAAAGTGACTCCTTTGCCGGGGAAATCCAGTGACGCCTGCAGTTACGGGTACTTTCTTTCAACCTGCACCCCTAAGAATCACTTGTTCCCTCCTTGTGGGGAGTACCCTAGAGAACGCCGCACTTTTGCGAGGCTAGCTTGTTGGTTGAACCCTCTGACACGGAAAACCCCAAGGCTGTCCAAAGCGCTTTTTCGTTTTCCCCCCAAATCTAATCTTCACTGTTCTTGGCATGTTTTTTGTTTGTTTAGTTTTTTGGTTCTGTTCATTTTTACTGGGGGTCTGCAAAAAACAAAGTTGTTCGCTACCATACCAAGAGTAGAGATGTAATGACTTGTTCTTTTTTTTCCGTGGTTCGGACCCTCGAGAAGCCCCTATTTTTGTTTGGCGGGTACCTTTTGGTTGAACCCTTTGACCCAGGGTTGTGGGATCACTCGGGGTTGTGGGATCACTCGGGGTTCGTTCAACCACTTCTGTGATACTTTGGGGAATCTCCCCCTTTATATGGAGGGTGCAACGTCTTTGGGGTTAGGCCCTTTCGTGGATTCCATTTGAACCACAGCCCTGCCCCCGGTGGTTCCCTTTCGGTACGTACGGAGTTGGAGTGTGAGGCCTTACCGCTGGGTGGTGGGCTCTCAGCTGCCGGTGCTGTGGGTGAGGCACTGAGATGGGTATGGGTCAAAATGAAACAGGGCTCCTTAAAAGATACATTTTGCGACCAATTGAAACATGTTGCTTTTCAACACCAGAATGAAAGGAAACCACAATTTACAAGTTGCAATGTTCAGGTGTTTTTCATGTACGGATCCCTGTGAAACCACAAGGAGACCGCAGGTTTTATTCACCAGGGTTCCGTTTACCAGGGTTCGATTTTTGACCCACCGCCGGTTGCGCCGGCCTTGAAAGGTCTAGGGATCCCCAGGTTCCTTAATGGTTGGGGGAGGGGAATGGGAGATCGAATGTGCAGTAGCCCATTTTCCCTTGGAAGACCAGAAATTCAATCACTTCCTGAGTTGGTGGACTTTAAACTTTTTTGGAAAGACCATTTTAGTGGTAAATAAAAAGTTCAAACTTTTTTTGGCCAGTCAACTTGGGAAGTGAGGCGGTGAAACATGGTATTTTGAAGGTAGGGGGGGATGGTTTGGGACAAAAGCTTGAAACTGATGGTTGCGAAATCCGAAAACGCACCACGAAAGGAAGCCGACGGCCGCTTTTTGGGTCGGAGTCGGCCAAAACGAACCGTGGATGGTTGCGACATCCCGTCGCACCACTTCGAATCCATGGGAAACGATTGTTTATTGGTATTTGCTAGGTTCCCCAGTCGTGCCCTTTTACTCTTTTTGGGGGGAGGGTTCCCCGACTAAAATAGACTGCAGAAAAAGTTGGTACCCTTATTCTAACCTCTCTACTGGAGGACCTAGCTTACAGGAGCATCGTATCCGCAACCAGCGTTTCTCAAGTGCAGGATGTTTGTCCATCTGCAGAATGGGTCTGGGGTAAACTTACCTCTCAAAAACACAATTTTTCAACTTTTTGGGGGTAGCATGGGCTATATGTCTGTAAAAGATTAACTTCCCCAGGGCTTGGAGTTTTAAGGGGTAAGTAAATGATTGGATGCACCAGGAAGTCGACGCGGCCCCGATTTCGAAAGGCCACAAAAATGTCATGTTCAACCCGGATGAATCAACCCCTGTTTGCTAACATGGGGGTGTTCCTGGTTTGAGTGGGAATTTATACCACTTTTGGAGGCGCACACCGCCAGTTGATTAATATTCGGTCAACATGAGGGTAAAGACTTTGTTCCCACCAACAACGAGTTGAAGAAAGGCCTTTGGAAGGCTGGAGATGCCAAGTTATGGTTAGTGGTTAGCCTCTAGGGCTCTAACCCACCAACAGGGTTAGCTGAAAGGGGTTGCAACCTACGAACTTGACGAATCGAACACCCAAGTAGGTTTAGCCTATAGCCTCACTCCCTGCATTTCTGGACTTGATACTTTTTTTGGGAAGACATGTTTTGCGGCAAACAACAACAAGCTCGGATTTGTTTTGGCCCATCCACTCAGGAAGAGAGCAGCTGGCAACCACAGTTTTTATACTAGTTTTTGCTCTCCTGGCTGGAGAGCCTTTGCGGACTTGTTCGAAGTTTGGGGGGGGGGTTCTTTGATTTGCTCTATTTACCTCTTAAAAACACAACTTTTCAACTTGTTGGGGGTAACATGGGCTATATGTCTGTAAAGATTAACTTCCCCAGGGCTTGGAGTTTTAAGGGGTAAGTCTATACGTGACTGATTCCCCCGTTCCCTTGGTTCCCAGCCATTCGGTACGGTTGGAACTTTTGGCAGGGGATCTGAGCCCAGCAAATCGGAACCTTGGCACAGCTATCCGATTGAACCCTGCTGGGAACTGGGTTGATAAAAAATTAACGCAAAGTGTGGGCGTTGTGGGAAACCAGTCAAAGGGGCCTGTTTGTAATTTGGCCAGCAGCTTTTGATTGGATCCAAGCCAACATGAGGGGTGTCCTTCTGATCTACCTCTATTATAAACTCCATTCTGATGGTGGGATGGTGTAGGAGTGTGCCACAGCGAGAGATGAAGGAGAACAATCGATAGGAAAGAACGCCAGAATGAATACATCCCTTTTAGTCAGGGTTGACATGATACCCTGAGCAAGAATTGTGTAGGAGAGTTTCTCTCTGAGGCCTACATGGACCTGATCGCAGATGGCATACAGAAGCAAGACTCGCCTTTTGGCCCAAGCATCACGGGAAAACGAGTCGATCCTGGAGTGCTACGCCCTACTCCAAATGCCCGCATTTTTAAGTGTGTTTTTGGACGCAATTGTTGTCCATGTTAAATACCTCTTGTTTGGTAATTACATGGTTGACATGATACCCTACTCGACAAAAGTGGGTATTTGGAGCGGGGGGTACCCAATACTAGCCCTACTCCCAATACTCACCATTCTTAGGGTGCACATGGGCGTGCATAAGACATTGACTGGGATACGCACTCTCCGTGGCAAATTTTGTACTTGAGTGTTCGGCCAAGTTAGTAAGTTGTTGATAACCTAGGTTATAACCCGCTTATAAGTGCCGCATTCAGTGGGGTTAACCCTGCTATTAGTGGGTTAGAACCCTAGTGGCGATCCCCACTTACTAACTTGGCAAATCAAACATCCAAGTACAAAAGAAAAGACGGGTATTTGGGGCCCTTCCTCAACCCACGTGCTCACCCCAGTGAACAGGCGCACGACCTGATGCATTCCGCGTCTGTACAACTCATACGACAAAATCATGTCGTTGGTAGACTGGTGGCATGCAACCCGTATTTTTCAGTGATGATGCGAGGTTTGCACCCCCGACTCGTTTTGCTTTGCCTCGTGAAAGACTTCCTCGAGATTGCCCTCCAAACGCTGGCTGAAGGATCCCAAGCGCATTTTTGAGAACTCCAAATGAAGTTCACCTCCATACTTGGATGTTCCATTCGCCAAGTTAGTAAGTGGGGATCGCCACCAGGAGTATAAGCTACTGATGAGTGAGTTGAGCTGGTTGTAAGTAAATTATAACCCAGGTCACTAACCACCTACTAACTTGGCCAAGCACCCAAGTAGGAGAACTTAGGGGAAACCCAGCGGAAACCCATATTGTTCGAGGGATGGGGGGATCTTGCCAAGTAAAACCTACTGATGATTAAGCGGATTTGGGACGGTAAGTAGGTAACCGAGGTGACTAACCTATAGCTTACTGACTTGGCGAATCGAGTACCCAAGCAGGTCCGCACGTCGCTCGAAGTACTCGTGGTTTGCTCATTTGAGTGGGGCTTTTTTAGGTTGTGCCCCCCCCAATGGCTTCGGTGTCCCTTTTGTTTTCCTTTGAACGCGGTTTTCCTAGTCACCCAAGAACGGGGAACAGCAAAAAAGCCCAGAACGAAACAAATCCAATCAATCCCCAGACAAGTTGTCCCAAGTCAACCACCATTCCCTTTTGCCTTTTGTTCCCATGGGAATCCACTTCTCTGGGGATTGATTGCATTGGCACCCTGCACCACCGAACTCAGAGCCGCGACTTTCGATACGATTCACCGACCTAAATACCAACAAGCCTTACGGTTGGAAAAACCATGGATTCAAAGTGGTGCGGCTGCGGATTTTCATGCTTGTTCTTGGGAAACGTTTTAACATGTTTGCTGATTGTGGTTTAGTGGTTGAAATCGCCGCTTAATTACTAAATCTCTGGGGATTGATTGCATTGATACCCTGCACCACCGAACTCAGAGCCGCGATTTTTGCTCCCCTTCCAACGTCAACCAAGTTTTCATCCACAGTAGCTGGGCCTTTCCCTCAACTCAGCCGCTAGAAATCCCAGGCTTGGAGTTTGCGCCATCCATCCTCTTCCAAGGGTTGATGCCGATTCCATTCTCTTCACCCGTCCATCACCCGTCCTTCTCTTCTAGAAACCACCAGTTGTCCAAAAGAAAATGATTGATCCCTGCAGAGAATGGGGAGAGTACAGCTAGAACAGTACCTGGGCTGATATGTGTTTATTCTCGGGGGGAAAAAGCAAAAACGCAGTACCTGGGCGATTTGATATGTTTTTCGAAAAGAACAAAACAAAGGGGACAAAACAAAAAAAAACACACACACAAACAAAACAAACAACTCTCGGCGCTGAGGTGGTACAGCGCCGCGATGATCCTTGAGGCGTTGACCATGTGGCTTTGTGCCCGGGCCTCGGATCCCATCCGGATCCGATCCGCGGAGCGCGGCTGGCGCGGATCCGGCGGTGCGGCGGAGTTGCGGTGGAAGGGTTGCGGGTGCCTCGGAGGCTCCGAAGCCTAGGCCAGAGTCGTTTTTTTTTTTTTTTTTTTTTTTTTAATATATATATATATGTCTATGGTTGTGGCTCAAAATTAAAGGGGGGGCAAACCGCAGGTTTTGGTCCGGGTTTCCACTTACCAGGGTTCCATTTTGGTACCGGGTTTTTGAGCCACAGCCATATATATATATATATATGTATACCGCAAATGGTCCAAAGACACGTCAGGAAACCCTCAATTGGCGGGTGGGATTGGTGGTTTGGGATTTGAACCCGTTCTTCCAGAGGGTAACTGGGAAGCCCCTCCTCAACTACCAAACCACCAATCCAAATCACCAAGAGGAAGCTGAAAAAGTAATGTTAACCCCGGACCTAAGTAGAACCCCTGGTTGATTAATTGGGGTGTGTCCCCTTTTTAGTGGGGATTCAGACCACTTTTGGAGGGAACACCCCCCTAATAATGGGACAGGTTTATTCATCCCGGGTCAACATTACAAATCTACTTTGGTGGTCGCCAAGCGAAGGTAAGTCGTAACGGCAACCCTTCGGTTATAACCCACGGTGCAAGCGGGGCCCCATTTGGTTGGAACCCAGGTGGCGATCCAACCACTTACTAACTCGAATCGAAGATCCAAGAGCCAGAAAAAACAACCTTTGGCTTCCTCACTTCCTTTGTTCATGAACTTTAAACTTTTTGGGAAGACCATTTTAGTGGTCAATTTATAGTTTTAACTTTTTTTGGGCCATCCACTCAGCAAGTGAGCTTCCCTTTGGATCAACCCAGGATCCTATCAGCCATCAATAGGGCTCCCTGAAATCATCACCCCTACTAGGGAAGCTGACTTTAAACTGGCCCGAACAGGATTCCACTTTGTGACTGCCCCAAGGTAGACTTCAACCCAGGGATGCATTCCCCCGAAAAGGAGAACCCCGAGGTTTAAGTCTATCTTGGGTAGTCAAAAAGTGGAATTCACGGCCCAAAAGGTGGCCGAAGAAAGCGATCCGACTCCAAGATCTAGAAAACGGCTTGGATTTGCGTTTTTTTGTGGATTTCACCTGTTCCTCCCCCAAGTTATGTTCTTTGTTGGTACTCTTTTAGTACTCTTTTTTCACATCCCACAGGGGATCCACGGATTCACCGCATTCAAAACCGACTCCAAGAGCCCCTCCAAAAAGCGGCCTTCGCCTTTGATGTGAGGCGAGCCCTCCATCCACTCATATCCAGTTTTCACTTCTTGGATGGTTTCCTCACTCCCTGGGGTCACGGACTTTGGTCACTTTTGGGGCTACGATCGATTTTGGTGGCAAACAAACAGTTTAGACTTTGTTCGGCCGATCTGCTCAAGTGTGAGTTTCAGGTTGTGTTGCCAACCCGTGATGAAAAAGGGAGGCATTTACAATGAAACAATGCTGCAGTTTTAAATCTAGCCCTAGAAAAGACGGGTATTTCGAGCAGGGGGGAAGGGCAAGTATCGAATCGGGAATTTAGACAATCACTACAAGGGTTTCCAGTAGAACCATCACTACAAGGGTTTCCTTTAGAGTGTCCCTTGAAAAGAGACCCAAACAGGGGCAAGAAAGGTAAAGCACACCCATATCCCCTTAACTTACTGCCTGAGTTGGGCCCATTTTGCGAGTTCCCACTTTACATAGCGGGGCGGGAACAAAAAACACGTGTTTCGCTTTTCTTTTTTTTTTTTGGGGGGGGGTTCTTGGTGGCCAGCATGTTGGTGGAGATTCATGTGCACTGACCACTCTTCAGAGCCATAGCCCCTACCCCAATTCCGAGTTGTTTCAAGGTATTTTTCAAAGAACCGGGTTTTCCCTCCCATTTAGTGACTGGGTGGCACCACACCCCAAAACCAGGCCCTGTCTCCCAACGCTCCAAGACATGATGCAGTTGAGGCGAGCCCCCTGGTGGTCGCTTTCGTCATATGGGCCGCGACCTCATTTTTGGGCTGTTCACGGGCAATGCTCGAAATCCTTACCCAGCAATTCCCTCGCAAGGAAAAGGGAATCCTTTCCTTTGTAGTGGTTGTACTATAGGGATTAATTATAGAATATCGGATTGGCCAACCCGAACCATTTTGAACACCCGGTCTTTTGCTTCCCATCCTTGGATCAGGTCAAACAGAAAGACCCTCCAAGCAGATTGCGAGAGAAACGGCTCACCTTCTAAGGCAGGGTCCTTTTTGAACTAGGGGAACGGCTCCCAAAAAAAGTTGAAGCGGTTTTCCTATTTTCCTAAGCACATTGGACGAAAGGCTCATGCACCCTCTTGACACTTTGCCTTTTGGTTGTCCTCATTGCCTAAACAGCCAGATCTCACTTTGATTGGACCTGCAGCCCAGCTTGTTGGCCCTTGTGTCTCACCCTGTTTGGGTGGAGGGCACCGCCCAATCGTTGAAAGGAGCCAAACCAACCGAACAATTTGTTTTTGTTCCACAAAAAGCCCGAAACCGGACAAGAGGTTGTCGGCGTAAACTCCCATCATTTCTGAAGTGGCCAGTGCCGAGTTGGAATAACAGGCTCCCACAATGGGCTCCCGGCCAAACGTGTCCGGCCTTTCCGGGGTTTGGTTTCTGTCCTCAGCCCCCATGTTGCGCGGGGACTCGGGACCGCGGGGATTTCGATTTTGGACCCGGGCCTCAAAGCACAACATGAAGGTGTCGGCACCAATCGTTTGATTTCAGGAATGGAATGTACCTGGAGTCCCCGTGACCCTTTAAGAATGGTTGGTCATGACCCCGGGAATGACCAACCATTTTTAAGGGGTCCTTAGGGAGACTCCAGGTAGGGGAAGCTCATGCGGCCGGGTGGCTGTGGGTCGACACCGTTTTGGGATCCCATGTTGGGGGATTGGTGAATTCACCACCCATTGTAGAACCTATTTTGGTGGGGACTGGGATGTTCTCACCGGGGGTACGGGGTTTTGACCCATGGCCATGTATGTTTTTAGACTGGCACTTTCGATGGTCGTCAGTACGGACATATTCCTGCAGCAAGGCCTGCCATTTGGCTGGCGCGATTCCCCGCTCTTTGTTTAAAGTTTATTTTTCAAGCCTTCTGCCCTTTGACCGAGCGACTCGAATGGAGCTGTCCCTATTAGTGACCCCCTTGATCGTGATAGGCCGCCCGGATTTTTGTTGAACTCAGGTTGAATGTGTTCCATCCGGCCAAACCTGGCGAAAAAAACGAGTTGATCACATTGCGGCCAGTCCAGCAAACCCGGCAATGAATTTAGTTAGATGTCTGACTGATTCCATTGCCAGCAAATGTGTTATGGGACATTTTCAACATCGGGTTTTCTTTCAAACTGTTTGGTCCTTACGATCTGCTTGATATTGTGCGTGGGACCGCCACCTCACGGGGGGGGGGGGATTCAATATATGCGGCATTTGCTTTCCCTCAAAACTTGTCCGATAGCCATTGGCCCAGCTCCTTCAGTTGTTCAATTCGTTTCGGTCGGTCCAGTCCAGTCCACGCTGCCAAAAAAGGCAGCATGCTACTTTAAAACGAGGGGACATACTTCGCCTTTTTAAGTTGCCTTTGAAATTGTCATTTGACGTGCTCGAATGAAACCAGATTGTCTGAAGGTGCCAAAAGATATGGCCCCGTTTTGGACCCTGGCGGTGCCTTGGGATGCATTTGTCGGACTTGCCCATTCCCTTAGCCCGAGCAACCTTTAGGTCCCCCAGCGAATGGTGCCCTTCTTAACCCAACCTTTTTGGGAGATTCGGTTCCCCTACTAAAATAGACAGAAACAACAGTTGGTACCCTTATTCTAACCTCTCAAATCTGGAAGACCTAGTTTAGACCTTTTCACTTGACCTTTCTCCAATCGCATGTTTGCTTCCCGCGTTTGGTCTGTGTTTAGTGGCCCCCAAACGAGACAGCTTGTCGTTTTACTTGCCCCCCCATGCCCATATCCACTTTGCATTTGGTCCTGTCAACCCCTGACTCAAAAAGGATATATTTGCCATATAAAGCCGGTTCCTCGCAACATGGGTCCCCTTTGACGCATACCTGTTGAAAACTATATTGGATTCCCCAATTCTTGAATTGTTTGGACGGACTGAGGTCACCAACCTCTTTCAGAAAAAGCGGACGTACATGGTCTGTGACCTCATGGCGCCTCGTCCGGGGGGGCGGGGAGCCGTTTGGTTCCCTCACTTCTAGAGTTCTTGGACTTTAGTCACTTTTTGGGTTTGGTTGCCATTTGCGTTTCAGAATATGTTTCAACCTTTCCCTGTGGGGGTTTTAAAGAGAATTTATCACTACTGGACCCATTTGCTATTTTCTTCCGGGTGCCTTTTGGGTTTGGATGACATTTATGAGGCCCGCCCGCTCGTTCGCTCCCTTGAGGTCGCACCTGTTATGTGAAGTTACCCCCCGAGCTGGGGTCGCAATCTGTATTGTTAAACCTCACCCAATCGGGCTAGGGCAACGAAAGGGGGTTTCCACGTGTTCAAGGGTCCTTTATTTTTTCCCCGGAATACCAACATGTCTTCCATTTGAAAGGACAAGATGTGTTCTTTTCCCGTCCGTTTCAAATGGAAGCTTGCCTGTTGTTGGTTCGGTGGGAGGCTCGGTGGTGCCAACCCTAGCGGGGAAAATTCCGTTTGGGTGGTTTCGGTGTTGGCGGGATGGATTTTTAGTTGGTGGTTTGTGTGAGTTTGTTTTCAGGTGTGTTTATCTTTGTTTGCTTTATCTTCCGCGGTTTTTGGGCATCTCGGCCCGGTTGGTTCGACAGGAGCCATTCTTTGGCACATACCCATGTTTGAGTTCAGGAGAAGTGGCTGTGGAGAGTTGAGCAATCAAGCTGACTGGGTAGACAAAGGTAAGGGACAGTCACACGAAACAAATGCAGAGATCCGCTAAACTTTTTACATTGGTTTGGGCCCACTTTAGTACCGATCGGTTTTGATAGCTCAGGTTACCCTTAGTTGGTGGTTTGGATTGGTTTTTTGGAGATATGAACCCTGGTTCTTCTACTAGTAGAGTCTAAATGGGAAACGACGCCTAGTCTGTAAACCAGCAATCCAAACCACCAACTAGGGGGATTGCCTGTTACGAAACCAGCAGGTAAAGCTACAGGAGATCCTTCGAGTTTGACGGGTATTCGGCAAATTCATTGCCAGGCTGGGCGTACCTTTGGACAACCTTTTGCCTTTTTGGTGAAAGTCTTTTCTTTTTGGTGGTTTCCTTGATGGTCATCTCATGTACAGGACCTTGTAATCAACCCCCATGTACAGAACCTTTTCAGGGAACTTTCTTTCTAGAAAACCTCCGGAAACCCAGGCAAAACGGATCCGGTTCTTGAAAAGAACAATGGTTGAACAGGGCTCCTTAGATACATTTCGCCCATTTGAAACATGGCTTTTTCCACCCAAATAAAGGGAACCCACCATTTACAAGTTGCAATGCTCGGGTGTTTTTCATGCATCCGGATCCCTGAAAAGAATGGTTGGAATCAGGCCCTAGAACTACTGGACATCTACTTCCATAGGGCTCCAGCAAGCCACGTGCTCAAAACCCGGGGATTGGTAAGGGATTAGCGATCCCAGCCAGAAATCGCTTCGGAACTCCGCTTTAGTTCTTGAAGCAGGGTTCTGGGTCGACCATTTGTGTACCGGGCTTTGAGCAAGTGACTCAAACGGAAGGGAGCGTTCCGCGATGGCCCCGACCCAGCAGCGTCATCTTGCGACTTGAAGCTGCGGCAGTCGGCGTCTCCCGCGGAATTCGGCCGTCAGATGAGCCATGCTCACATCCTAGTCCGAATTATGGATTTCCCAAACCATGTAAAGAATAAAAGGGCAGCTGCACTAATTTATGTTTGGGACTATCCCCCGCTTTGCGGTCTTTCCAAAGCTTTTTAGGTATGAATTTTAGGGTAGACTCAGGGTAAACTAAATATGAAACAGAGACTGACAAGCACATATTGGCCAGTGTACCCCAGATGTGGGCCAAGTACTCGGCTTCACTTAACATTAGGGCCTAGTGTTGTTGTTTTTGTTTGATCATTATTATTGTGATTATTTTTCAAACAGGGTTATGGGGTACTTTTTATCGGGGGAACCCCAAAGTGGTAGTGTTCCCTTTGGTTTTCCTTAAACACCACTCAAAGTCCGGCACAACTCCAAAAGCATCTAGTCATGGTTCTAGAGGTAAACGATGAGCGGGCCCTTTTTTTCAATATTGGGGGACCCCCCCAAAGTGGGTGGTTTTACCCTTGGCGTGCCTCAAACACCACTCAAAAACGGTAGTACCTCAAAAACAAATCAACACACACACACACACACACACTCGGGTCTTCTCAGTTGTTCAGTGGCTCCAATTCTTTTTCCCATTTTTTTTGATGGCTGCCCCACTAACATGGTCCAAGCCCAAACAATGGGTTCCCTTTGTTTTGCCAGGGTCACTGAACAACTGAGACACACTCGGGTCTCAGGTGTCGGGTCTTGCTGCCCTGCTGACGTCGGGACCTCAAGAAACTGGGGATGTGCAACTCATGCGCTTGGCGATGGCTTCAGCTGTGCCCGCCTTCTTAAACAAGCGTTTTTTTTTGCCCCCGTGGATGGTGGCGACATCCATTTCGCACCACCTAATAAAGCCTGGTTTCTGATGATTCCCCTGCAAATACTAGCAAGCAATGGTTTCCCATGCTTTCAAAGTGGTGCAGGAGTTCGGGATCTTGGGTGAAACCGCCCAAGCGGCCTTCTTATGGCCAATGCTGCTGCCAAAGAGCACGCCAGGCTGCTTTGGCTCAAGTACTGAAATCAAGTGCAGATCCACCAACAGTGTCCCATACTCCATGTTCCATGCAGCCTTGCAGGCGAGCCCTTTGTGACCCCAATGTGTCTTTGTTACGGCTTGCTTCTTTTCACCGTAGCCTATGCCTGTCTAGGGCCGCCCCCAATCCCACTAGGGGCCGAATAATTGGCGCCTAAAGCAAGGCCCCTAGAAATGATTAGTGCCTTGCTGGAATCCTCTAGTAAGGGTTCCTTGCATTAAATTCCAGCAAGGGTTCCTTGGAATCCGCTAGTAAGGTTGTTTTGTGGGCCCCTCGGCACCACAGGACACCTGATGAGCATGGAAGCCCGCTCTTTTGTGTTTAATATCTACCGTTTCTTTGAAGTGCCCGCTTACTCGCCTGGTACTGCTTTGTTTTATTCTGCTGCAGTGCGTTCCGGATGAGCAACCGCCTGTTTTCACCGAAGTCTGGTGCTTTTAGGTAGGGGGGCAAGGAAAGCACACGCGATTTTTGTCAAGGATTCAGGCAACCCCTTGGTGACTTGGACTGGTGCTTTGGGGATTTGAAGCCGCACCTGCAGAAGTTAGAGCGAGCTCCAAACCACCAAGTGGGAAGCGGAAGAATTGGGCTGAGGTTGGGACAGAATCAGCACCGTCCTGTCCAAACCACAAGTCCCCAAATCCAAAGGCTGCGGTTCCTTTGGTTTCCGTCGGATCGATGCCGACCACGATTCCAATGGATTCGACCGCGATTTGGAGAGCAAGGGCCTTTTTTCGTGGCTTAAACTGATCGAGTGCCTCAAGTGGGAGTCAGAAAAGCCCCCTTTGGGTTGGTTAAAAGGACACCACAAACCAACTTGCCATGTTAGGGTGATCAACTACTGTTTTGAGAACCCCCAACTGTTTGGCCTGTTCAGTTCCGCAATCTGCAATATTTTTACTTTGAAGCGTTACGACAAATCCATCCCTGGGTTGTTTTCCAACAATGGGAACCCCGGATTGATCAATTCTGGTTTTTGATCGGATGAGCCACGAGTCCATTTTGTACAATCGAATCCATGGATCGGAGCAACACCGCGGAGGCTCGTCCCATTTGTGGTCTTGACCTTCATGTGGTACCTGTCGCGTTATGCCGCGGCCTGAGCTATGCGGTTTCAGTCCCGGCGATGAATCTACCCCTCACACCCACTGTTTTTAGGGTATCATGTAAACCCTCTACTAAAAAAGGAGGTATTTACCATGGAAAACCAGGTTTTCCAACAAAATACCCTAAACAAAGTGGGTATTTGGAGTAGGGGGTATTTCAACAAGGAGTAGTGGCAAGCCAAAAGTTTGGTTACTCTTCCTGGCCGATCCACTCGATCGGAAGTGAGTTGTTGCTGTTTGTTTAAATATCCCAAAAAGTCCATGTGGGATTCGAATCCCATTTCACCCACAAAAAGGATACTAGGACACCTTTTAATGGGTAAATCCGGAAGTGAGACATGTGTCCCCACCGAAATATGATGTCCGTCAAAGGCCCCCCTTCAGCTGCCCACACCGTTGGCTCAGGATCAAAGCCCGATTAGCGTCCATTTGCTTAAGAATATTTGTTATGTTCCCTTGTTGGTTTTATAGGGAATCTGTCACTACTGGTGAGCTTTTGTGTGACTAGGTCCCCAGCTAGGTGTCCTTCTCTACCAACTTTTTTGGTTGGGAGGGTTCCCCCACTAAAATAGACGACAGAAAAAAGTTGGTACCCTTATTCTAACCTCTCAAATCTGGAGGACCTAGTCAAACCCCAGTTTGTGAGGGATCGAACACCCCCTTTAAAACCAAATGGGAGAGCTACCCCCTCACCTCCAAACCACCAATCCAAACCACTAAACGGGATGGGTGAGGTGATAAAAGGTGCGTTGGGGGGATGGTTTGAAAGAAAACTGTGTGTGTGTGTGTGTTTGTATTTGTGTGTGTCTCTCTATTTGTTTGGGAAGCCTCCCCAAGGAAGCAATCACGCCTTCCCCCCCACTAGAACTCCGGGGGTGACTCGTGTGAATGGGTTTACCGCAAATCGGACTGGTTGAAATGGACAAAGGACATCTTCTGTGTCCCTACTTGTAGGCTCCCAAACTACCCACAAAAAAGGGAGCTCTCATCATTTTGGGTTGCAACTAGCCCATTCTTTTAGAGTGTCCATGTTTTTGCAAGAAACCGACCACTTGGTGGTTCCCCAGCATCGCACGTTTTTAGTTTGTCGAGTGCGGCAGTTTCCGCGAGTTCGCCACAAGTTCTCGACCTTTTTGGGGGTCGAAGGGGAGCAGCCGGAAGCCACGAACAAAAACCGGCAGCCAGCTGGCAGCTCATTCGACAGTGAGGTCGAGCATAGGCTTTCTCAGTTGTTCAGTGGCTCCAATTATTGTTTCCCCTTTTTTTTTGGCGGCTGCCCCACTAAAATGGTCCAAGCCCCAAAAAAGGGTTCCCTTTTTTTTCCAGAGTCACTGAACAACTGAGATAGGCTTTAGCTGCGTCACTTTTTGAAGCTGGGGATTGCAGTAGGGCCGGCCTAGGTGACTGTGTATGTGTGTGTGTGTGTGTGTTTGTTTGGGGGCGGCGACAGTTGAAAAGGTGGGTTTAAAGGGAAAACTAGAGGGAAACCACGATTTTTGGGGGTCCCTCTATAATGACACATACCCAGGCAAACCGTCCCGTCTCACTCCCTGAGTTCCGGAGCCTGTCACTACTGGGAAGCATTTGTATTTTTATCCTTGGGACTAAAGCAAATGGAGGGAAACTGTCAACATTGCAAGGAGTTGCAACTTCTTCATCTCACCGGAACACGGAAACCGCGATAAATCACCCCCCTCAGATGACCCACTGTAATTGATTCATCCTGTTCCCCCAATTCGGCTTTACCCTACATGCACCCAACTTAAGGTGCACATTACCCTATGTACCAGTTGGTTAGCACCGGGGTTGTCGGGGTTGGGCAAAACGTATTTAAACAACCGGCTTCGGTTTTGCTTTAGAGGGAAAGCCGCCAGAAGAAAGCACCAAGTCTTAGGGTTGCGGCCTAGTGGACCCCCCTGTTTCGTATGTGAAGGGACACCAAGAGGAAACATAAGGAAACCAAATAAGACACAGCTGGACCCTGAAAGTTCCAACTTAAATGGGTTCTTGCAACACAAAAATTATGGGGTGAATTCCACCCCAACATCATGGAAGGCTCCATTCTTTCTCTCTCTCTCTCTCTCTCTCTCTCTCTCTCTCTCTCTTTTTCATGGGTAATTGATTTTTCCGCTGGGTCCAGGCCGCCACTCTCTCCGACGGGATCGGATTTGGCTCGGCCGATCGATCCCAGGCGATCTCCTCGGCAAATCCATTGCCCGGGGCGGTGGTCTTCTTCATCGCCGGCGCCCCGAGTTTCGCTCCCGCGCCGAAAGCATGGTTGGTGTTGGGAAGCATTTTTCCCATTTTTGCTTATTGAGGTTTAGTGGTTGAAATCCAAATCCGCTTAACTTAACTGCTACAATGTATTTTTTTGCTCCCAACAGCTCTTGAGATCTCGCTCGCTGTCTCTTTCTCAGTTGTTCAGCAGCTCCAATGATTTTCCTTTTTTTTTGGTGGCTGCCCCACTAAAATGGTCCAAGCCCAAAAAAGGGTTCAGTTTTTGTCCAGGGTCACTGAACAACTGAGCTTTCTCTCTCTCTCTCTCTCTCTCTCCTTCTCTGTTGTTTTTGTTGTTCTGAGGCTCGGTACCCTTTTTGGGATATGGAAAAACGAGCCGCGAAACTTGCTGGTGCGATAGGCAGGGAAGGAGGGAATGAAGCCAGGGATTCCCTGAAAGGCAACCACCAGTTGGATGGATTTTTTGGGGTCATTCCATTTCTCCTTCCCTTCTCGGCACCAGCAAACAATTATCTCTCTCTCCAGCGGGTTACGCAAGGAAGCGGGGCGCTTCGCAGTGGTTGTCCTATAAGGATTGTGGATTAGGATTGGCCAACCCCTCCATGTTGAACAGCCCAAAGTCTCGCCCTCTCTCTCTCTTTCTCTCCCCGACCTCCAGTGATGACCTTCTTTGACTTTCTTGAGGGGGTGACACAAAAAGCAGCAAAGGACTTACTGGGCCCAGTTTTGGACTTCTCGAAAATACTGTGGATGGACAAACTGCTGCATCACTTTGAAACCATCTTTGAAACCACGGTTGACACCTTTTCTTTTCAGGGGAAAGCATAGGCCGAAGGCCAAAGGCCACGTGGCACCAGCAATCCCGAGCAACTGCACGAGGCGCACTTGCGCAGTTGGGGCTTTTGGATAGGAGCATTGGATGGTTGGGAGGGTACCTGGAGTCTCCATGACCCTTCAAAGTCATGCTCAGACTTACTGCAGCTTCTAGCCTGCCTGCATTTACCTTTGCAAACTTTATAAAAGACATGGCACCGTGGCATCACAAGCCAATGCAGATAATAAAGGGGTCATGACCCCATTTTTTCAGGGTCATGAAAAGAACTTGCAGGGTCTGGTCAACTGACAAAGGGAGGTACCTCCTGTCCACTTTGCCATGGAGCCCACCACACTGGACACTACTGCAAGGGGCAGGGTACTTAGTAACTGGTTAGTAAGCCTGGTTATGACCCACAAAAGCCATGGTTATAAGTCTCCGTTCAGTGGGTTTTTTCCCCAGGCTTACGTCCCTCTAGGCATCATTGGACCCTCCATCGAAGGGGTTGGACCTCCGTTGGAAGGTCTTGGACCTCAAAAACTGCGGTGGGCACGAGGGCACTTATCTTGCAAAACCGGGTCCTTCAGAACATACCCTGAAAGCATTGGGTACTTGGAGCAGGGGGTATGCTATTTTTATTGTTTTTGGCGGGGGGGGGTTCGGGGTTCTTCAAGAGATACTCTTCCTCCAATCATGGAAGCTGACGGGGTTTTGGAAGGCCATGTTCCCTTTGGGGAAAAACCTCTCCTTGCATTGTTGGCAAAAGCGTACCCTCCCATCCACATGGAGTTTTCACAGGAGAGTCCTGGTTTGGACTCCATGGCAACGTGGACCAGAGGGTACCCTCTGCTTCCGGGATTGTATTTGTAGGTTCGTTTGGTTACCTACTATACCTCAGGACTTTAGTCACTTCTTGGGTTTGGCTGCCATGTTGGCGTCAAGCGACTTAAGGCCAACCTACTCAGGAAGTGAAAGAATCATAGGGACATGGAATCACTATTCAACAGGGCGGTGGGAAAAGGAATCCACTTCCGTGATACAACAAAAAGAAAGCCTCCCAAAGACTACCCCCCTCACTCAAAGAGGGGATTCCCAAAAGTAACACAGAAGTGGTTGGACACCCCCTTTGTGATCCCACAACCCTGGACAGATTGTTCCTCAAATAATGGGACCCCCTCCCGACCAGAATCGGAGCCTTATTTTTCAAGAACCCAAGAACCCTGGAAATTCACTGGGCATTTGAGCTTTGGAACCACTCCGACAAGACGGGTACGCTCCTAAGCCTACCTTCCAACCATTCTTTCCAGGGATCCTTCTAGAAAACCTCCGTTTTTTTTCCAGGGAAAACGGATCCGGTTTTTGGTATGGTTGAAAAGAATGAACCATCCAACCCCGTTTTCAACAAAAACAATCAAGAAACACCAAGTTGTCAACCACCCCCCCCCCCCCAGTTTATGACTAATTTTTTGCGGTTTTGGCGGTTTTAAACATCACCTTTTTGGCCCATGAAAGGTGAGTGTCCCTTGGTGGGGGTGATGTTCCCAGGGGAAACAAAGGGAGCCCTGTATGAGGGGACTCCCTTGTATCACAGAGGTGGTTGGACAAACCCAAGTTGCCGGGTCTTCGGGCGCCCGTCAGGTCTCCGCGGAGCTGACGACGCTGACCTTCAAGCCTGGAGCCCAGGTGAAAGCTGGCGGCTCGGTTTTTGTTTTTTGGAGGAGTCGTCCCCCGTCCCCCACCGAAAAAGACAAGAAACGGTTCATCCCTGCAAGAGACCCCAAATTTTGTACCCCCCCCCCTGTACCAAAAAAAAAAAAACAGATCCTCCCGGCAAGAGACCCCAAATACCTCCCCCCCTTACCAAAAAGACATATATCCCGGGAGGACACCCCAGATAGTATTCAGTTCAACCGTTGATGACAGGTGGCCCGGAAGCATAGCCAGACGTTAAATAAAACCCTGACCTGATGGGTCGGCTTAGTGAGTAAGTGGGTCGGTTAAAAAAGGATGACAGGGATGGTCGTTCACCTGGAAGTAAGGATCCTTAGCGCCTGCGCAACGTAGAATCATTCCTATGAAGTGAGCCATGACCCAATCGGCCTGGCACTCTTGAGAAAATGGCGGAAGCTGCTTGGGTGCTCGGCCCAGTGAGTAAGCGTTTAGCAACCTATCGGTTATAAGCTACTTATGAGTGAGTTGCGCCAGTAAGTAGGTTCTAACAGGGGTTACTACTTTCTAGCTTGGCGAATCAAGCACCCAAGCTATGCCAGGATTTCATTTAATTACCATATTATGCAACATTCCTGTGGTTGTCAGCCCAAAGAGGGGACCCCCTGAATATGCTGCGAGAGGAACCCTAGCCCTGTACAAAATGGTTTTTTTGCCATTTTTCTTTGTCGAATTTTTAAAAGTGGCGATCGTTTCAATGGACACCTGCAGCTTTTGGAGGCCCCTGTTCAACTGAATTCATCCGCGCAAATTTTACCCACGCGGAGCAAATTGCCGGCATGAGTTTTGATTAAGGGAACTCCAGTTTCCCCCTGCAACGACCTTTCTTAGGAGATTGCCTTGCGTCTGCCTACAAAATCAAATGGCAGCCAAAGGTTACTACAGCCATGCATGGCAAGGGGCGCTTCCGGGGGTGTCTTTAGTGGGGATCTCCTTGCTGAAGAGAAGCAACAGGAAACCCGCCAGTTCACCATATCCACCCCTGTAGGATAGCGCAAGAGTACTAAAATCGTATTAAGAGAGGAAGGACTGGTAAAACAACATGCGAAAACCACAGAAAACGTATCCGATCCGTTTGCTGGATATATCCAAAAGCTGGGTCTTTGGAAAACCCGCACTCCCGTTGGATTCGAGGTGGGGCCGCTCCAACTGCCTTGCATGCTGCTAAGCGCCCTGGCAATCGAACACTGCGAGTTCGAGGATTCGCAGCACTTGAAATCCATGGTTGAAACCATAACGTTCGTTGGTATTTACATGAATCATGAAAATCCGTTTTTGCTTTTTGGTGGTACGAAATGGGATTTCGTCCGTCCACAGTACTGGGGGGTTCTTGTGATAGATCAGTTCTTCCAATGGCGAGTTTGAAGATCAATTCGATATACGTTGTTGAACCCCACTTCCTGGTTTCCATGGTAAAGACTTCCTTTGTAGGGGGTGACTCCATACCCTAGCAAAAACGTAGCTCTTGCCCAACTTCCCAAAGACTTGGCTAACGACTGGGAAACTCTGAAACGCGACTGTTGCAAGGTGAGCATCTAACCATGTTAGTCAGCTCTCCCACCATATGTCTTGTTGAAAGGTTTCTTTTTGACATCATCCTTTTGGGCCCATTCACTTTGTGAGTTTCCCTAGGGGACGGTAGGGGTGATGATAGGGAGATGTTGGGGATCCCTTGTGGCTAAATGTTTGGATGCAAATTAAACCAGAGAAGACCTGCCTCACTGGTTGTTTTGGGTTCACATCATACTTGGATGTTTGATGCGCCAAGATAGAAAGTGGGGATCGCCACTAGGGTTCTAACCCACTAATAACAGGGTGACCCCCACTTGGGGGCACTTGAAAGTGGGTTGTAGCCTAGGTTACCAGAAACTTACCAACAGGGCCGAACACCCACGTCCCCGCTTCAAATACCAAGCTTGTTCGTTGTTTTTGTTTGAACCTAGTTTTCCGAAGCAAATACCTCTTTCTTTTAGTCAGGGTTGCCATCATACCCTATCATCCTAAAAGGAGTGGGGATTTGGCTTAAGGGTACCCTCCCATCTACTGACATGGAACCTCACAGGGGAGTCCTGGAAGACAAGTTTCCTCTTGAAGGGACCCCCTGTCAGGTGCCATGTTGGTGGGAGAGAGGTCTCCGTGACCCTTTAAAAATAGGGTAATGACCCCATTATTTTTGGAAATGACCCCAATGTTTAATCAGTCAGAAGAAACTCCAGGTATTTGGCGTAAGGGGTACCCTTTTAAGAAGTAGGTACTTGGAGTGGCCATTAAGGGTCCGGAAAGCAGCGCGGACCAGTGTGCGCTAGGCGTTCGCACTGGTCAGAGTTGTGCCCCAATCGCCCCACATTCTCTTATCTTTCATTTGCTGAAGAATGAGGAAAAACTACTTCCAGTAGTGAAATCAGTGGTGTATTTTCCCCTGTTGGTTTTAAACTGAATCGATTCACCACTGGAAATATGTTGGTTTTATCCCCGGGGGCTTCAGCAAGCGGAAGTCATAGTGAACGTTTTGGGGCTTTTTGCAGGGCAGGATTTGTCGACTGACCAAGGAGGAATTTGCCGTGGAGCACCCGGGTGTTTCAACATATGGCTGTGGGTCAAAATTAAACCACCAGGGGACCGCAGGTTCTAGTCCATGTTTCCTTTTACCAGGGTTCTTGTTTGGGTACCTATTTTTGACCCACAGCCATATGGGTGTGACTTTTCTTGAGGCTGCCCCTCTTCGAAGCCAAGAGGAACACCCTCCCTAAACAAGAGTAACAAGACACACCCATATCCAGTTGCCCAGTGGTGCCTTTTTTTCCCCAACAGCTGAAAGCTTTGGGGTCTCAGCCCAGATAGGCTCCGGGGTGGTCCGGGGCGGCCCGGAGGTAAGGTTCCACGAGGGTTCCACGAGGGTTCCACCAGGGTTGCACCAGGGTTCCACCGGCGTTTTAGCAGGGTTCCACATGCTGTTGGGGATATCACCTGAGCTTATTTCTTCTTTTTTTTTGGGTAAGGGTTCCGATTTCTTTAAGCTCCCCCAACCAAACAAGGCTGCCCTTTTTTTCCCACGGAAATCCACGGGCGTCTGAGCATGTTTACCAAAAGGCGTCTGGAGGGCCTAGGGTTTGGCAGGCCTTCCTTGCGACTTCTCAAGTTCCTCCCAGTGAGGCCCACATTTTTCAGGCTTGGCCTTGGTCTAAACCAGGAAGGCGTGCGTCAAACATCTTTGAACGTGGTTTCTTTGGTGCATTTTGCTTGGCTGTTAGGACTTTAACTTTTTGCCAACTAATGGGTTTTCCACTAAACCACTAAAAGTTAAACTTTTAGCAGGGGACCAGAAAGCCACCGAGGTTTCCCTCGACCAACAAAAATGGAATCTTTGTTTTTGGCGGGTATTCGGCTGCTTCGCCTGAAATTCCTGTAGACTTGTTCGACTACCTGACTGAAACACCCCCCCCCCCTCCCCCCCTGGAAGGTAGATGTTCTCTAGGCATGCCTCACATGTGCCACAGGGCGCCTCCAATTTCCGCAGCACCGTTTCTAGTTGGGCATGACATGTGTCAAAATAAAAGGACCTAAAAGTATTGGTTTCCTGTTGCTGTCCCTTTAAACCAACTATACTTTCCACATAAAAGTATGGGTTTCCTGTCGGGTTTCCTGTAAACCAACTCCAAAAACAGCAAACAGACCGACCGCTCTTTGCACCTGAGGTCTTGCATCACGGCCGGTCTTCCGAGACCATCCGGGGGAGGGGGCATATGAAGCACAGGTTTCCAAGGCAAAAAAAGATGGGCGGAGAAATCGCGATGCCCGGCATCTTTCTTTGCATTCCCCCATGTTCCGCCCAAATTGAAAACCAGACAACTGGACATGTCCATCGAACCTCGATTTTGAGATTCAAGCTGTTTCCACAAAGTCAGTGACCCTCTTTTGCAGGGTTCAAATGCCTGGAGCGAAAGGGATGACCAGTAGGGGTTCAACTGCTAAGGGAAAATAACTAAATACAACACGTGGCTGGCTTTCAGGGATGAGCAAGGGTGGGGGGGGGAAGGTTTTCCATTTTACTCGAAACCAACGAGGAAATGCAGCAAGTTGTCAAGCTTCCAGGCACCAAACAAAACGTAGCCGGAAAAACCCAGGAATTCCCATGCTGTTTGGGATGGTTTGGGTTCCTTTCGTGAGCTACGCTATCAGGGAGCAAGTGCCACGAGTCTTCCTTCCAAGTTCAATGCCAAGCGGGCATCAGGAACTATGCATCAAGCTCAAAATCTTCCATTTGCTGAAATGAATATGTTTTTATTGCCCCTTGTTGGTTTCAAAGGGAATCGATTTCACTACTGGAGATATGTTGAGTTTTTTCGGGGGCTTAAGCAAATGGAAGATCCCCAAGCTCAAATTTGTCAAAATTACACCACAGGACTGCAGGTTTAGTCCTTATTTCCATTTCCCAGGGACCCATTTTGGGCACCCATTTTTGACCCACACCCAGATACCCCCCTAAAGTTTAGCAGGTATATGTTGAAGAGCCGGGTTTTCCGTGGTAAATACCTGCTTCTTGAGTCGGGCTGACACACCCCTCACTTTTGGCAGAACTCCAGAACCCCCCTGTTCATCCAGGCATGGTCTTCCCATCTTCTGCTTCCCCCTGCTGGTCTTAGAGGGAAAATGGTTCACGGCAGTTGGTTTTTTCCCAAGCTATGGAGGTTATGAAGTGAATCTGAACCTACCTTTTCTGGTGTACCTCGAGATTGGGCCCCCTTTTGACACCTTACTCCAACAAAAAATGGCTTTGGGGAGTCTAGATGTCAATCTGCAACGGGCTAAAGCCCTATACGAAATTTTGATAGAGCTTCCCTTTGGGGTGATGCATCTCTACTGCTATTGGGTTGGATCTTCAGTTTTTTGTTCAACTTGTTGCATTCCCCTCATATGTCCTTTTAAGCAAGAACTTTAACTTTTTGCGGGATCGACAGCACCCAAGGCATGAAAGGGACATAGTAACCTTTTGAATTTGGAATCCCCCCCTCCACCGTCTTCACATTTCCATCTTCGGGTCGACTCGACGTCTCACCGGGCGATCCGTGTAACTCCTCCGCCCAAGGCGGAGCTTTCGCGTAGACGGCGCCCGAGTAGAGAGTCGACAGGGTTTCTCCGAGGGACCGTTCCAGATGACCAAGCCAGAAGCATAGCATTGGAACCATATGGCAAAAGGCAATATCACCAAGACCCTAGGGAATAAGGCAAGATCACCAAAACCATAGGGAATATCACCTTGTACCCACAGGGATCACCAAAGTAGGGAAGTGATGTTTGACATGGAGGTGTCAGCCCTGTTTGGTTATGGTGTTATTTTCTTTGAGCAGGCACTGATTGTTGACCCTTCTAGGATTTTCGGAGCAATACATTTGGTAGTGGGTTTCTATTCCGAGCACTACATGAGTCAGTGGTTTTGTACTTGCAACGAGATATGACGGTTGGGTTGCACGGTCGGTTTGATGTTCTTTGTTGTTTTTGAGATACCTACCCTTAAGGCTTGTTGGAGTAACCTTTCCATTGGTTTGCTTGGATGTTCCGTTCGGGGCCAAGCCTCTAGCCCCGCAAAAAAAGAAAAGAGTCAAGAGCACTGGAGCACCCGTCGACGAGTCAGGGCCACACTCGTGGCCCAATTGGCGCCCCTTCGGCTTATTGCGACAAGAGAAAGTCGCAGCAGGAGAGTTGGTGCCTTTTTGGACTCCCAAGTCACCGTCTCACGGCGAGGCTTCCGGATGAAAGGTTCGCGAATTTTTCGAGCTACTCTCCCAAGCGGCCCACTTTGTTGAGATGATGATTTGATTTCTCGATATTTCCCCTTGACCCAAGAACGAGGGAATCAAAACGGGGAGTGCCAGGCTGTTCAACATGTACCAACTCAAAGAAGTGGGTATTTGGGAGTAGATGCTACGGGCAACAGAGTTGGCGGCGGTCCATGCCAGGAGTATGGGAAAACAAAGACGTCCCATCAAGGACGCTTGCAACCAAATGAAAACCCCATCAAGGACTTTGAATTTTAAGGGTACCCACAATCGGGACCCACAGAACCCCGTTCCACCAAGCAAGGCCCCGAAAAAGAAGAAAGATCTCCATTTTGCCCATCCATTTGAAACATGGCGGGCTTTTTCAAGTAACACCATGTTGGCTGAAGGAGAAAGCAACACCATGTTCTCCTCACCTTTTGCTTCCAACATGTTGGCTGCCCTAGCCTTAAGGCTTGCAAAATAAAGCTGGACAACACCATTTACAAGTTGCAATGGGTGTATAATGCATCCGGATCCCCGTTTGAGGGTCTAAGATGCCTGACAGGGGGTCCCTCGGCGAGGAAACTGATGTTACAGCTACCCTTTACACAGGTGCCATGTTAGTGGGAGAAAGGGCAACCAGAGAGGCAAGGTGACAGTTAGTTTGGAAAAAGGGGCGAAGGAGGCGCTTGTTGCGGACCGGACCCCCCCCCCACGCCTCACAATCTAGATGAACCATCCAGATAAAAACCATGCCATGGAACCCCTGTTTGAGGAAGCACAAATGGTTTGGTTGCGATTTAAGCAGGAATTGCAAATTGAAATGCCTCCCTTCTTGAATACGTGCTTCAATAGGGAGGAGGGGGGGTGAATCCAGAAGCCACCAATCCCTACTCCAAAGTTACCCGCTTTTTGAAGGGTACATTTTGAGAAGCCCTAGTCTCCCAGAACAAAGACCTGGTTGTCACAAGAAAACCACCTAACACGTGCCCGTCCACGGCAAATATATCAAGCCCGCCCAAGCCAACACTTCGATTCAAGCGCCCGTCGGCAATTCGAGTTGCGCAGCTATGGATGGCCAGCGACCAGTGTGAAAGCTGGCACCTCCCCACTTGTAAACCATACCTCAGTCGCTCAGTCGCATCCTTTTTCCCTTTTTTTTTGGTGGCTGCCCCACTAAAAATTGTCTTCCCAAAAAAGGGTTCCCTTTTTTCCAGGGTCACTGAACAACTGAGATACACAGCCATTGTTTCTTGGTATTTGCAAGGGAATCATGATTCCAGAGTTTCTTAGGCTTAGGTGGTGCAGGAGTTTGTCCATCCACAGTATCATTTGGTCATCCAAGCAGTGCAGTAGAAGCTGCCCCATTTCAGCGGGGCGGCTACAAAGCAAACCCACCTGGCATCTCCAGATTGTGGTCAGCGGATTTAAGTCTACATCGACCAGGCAAACACCCGTTACTCACCAAGGCCCAAAGAGAATCTGTTGGTTTCCATGATTTGGCAACCATCTTTAGTCATGGCCCCACAAAGTGATCGTTTCGCCCTTGATTTCTGGGTGCGTTCTGGGGCAACTGAGGTTAGAACGTACCAACCTCTTTTAGAAGGGCGCATATATTGGACTTGGTAGCCCTTAGCAAGCGAGCAGATGAGCAAATGATCAAACCAAGCATGCCCAATACGTAAAGCCGGTTGCGAAGTCCATTTCGCACCCAAGGAACCCTGTGAATGAGTCGATTCCCAAACGTAAATACCAACCAACAATGCTTTCGACCATGGTTTCAAGGTGGTGCCAACAGATTTTGCCACCATCCACAGTAGGAAGCCGTTGTTTGTTGGTATGTACATCCGAAACCAGAGTTTCTGAACGGTGCTGCAAATTGGATTTCGTCCATGGACAGTACGAGCCACAATGGGTACAAGGGTAGTAAGGGATAGTCCCGACCACAAATTGGTGCCTTCGCCGCCCTTTAATTCTTGACATGGTTCTGGATAGAGCATTTCAAGGATGCAATCCCCCCTATGAATCAACCCCGGCTGATTAATTGGTCCTCCAAAAGTGGCCTGATTCCCCACCAAACCCATCCCCCTATTCGTAAACTGGTGTTGATGAATTGGTCTCCATTCCCAGGCAGTGGCTCAAAAAAACGGTACCAAAATGGAGCCCTGCTAAGTGAAAACATGGGCCAAAACCTCCCTCCTGTTTGATTTTGAGCCACGCCCACCAGGCAGGTGTTAAGATTATGACTCTAAGGGACACCCTCTGGTTGAGACTTCGTCCATCTCATTAGACCTTGAAGAGACCTTGAGGAGATGAGACTTGTGAGATGATTTATCTTGGTGGCTCCCGAAGGCCATCCGGTTCAACTGAGCTTCTTCGCCTTTTAGTGCTCAGTGGTAGTTGTTATTCAACCCGCTAAAAGTTAAACACGTTTGGCGGAAAATCTGAAAACGGGCAGCCCAGTTGTGAGACCTTCTTGATCAAAGCTCATAGGATTTGCCAGGCCGGTGCCTAGAACTTGGCAACGACAGACATGAAGCGGTGTCTGAGGCTCGGTCCATGCGACCGAGGGTCTTGACGCTGGCGGCATCCTATGGCCGGCTCGCATAGGCGTAAAAAGCGAGCTCGCCGCAAAAGTAACGCCCTTTACTTGACGGATGGGAGGGTGAGTTGGTTCACATGAGCGCCGAAAACACCTATTGGCCACTTTGGCAAGTTCTACTGGCTTCAGAAGGAAAGGTGCCAGCCTTTACCAACTTGTTTGGTTGGGAGGGTTCCCCTACTAAAATAGACTGCAGAAACAAGTTGGTGCCCTCATTCTAACCTCTCTACGGGAGGACCTACACCTGATTTCAGGTGTTGGATACATATTTGTGCAAGTTATAGCGACGCTACTTGGGGGATTTACAATGTCATCCATGATGATTGAAGTGGTTTCCATGTTGTTTTTTGTTCGGGCGTGAATTATAACACTCTTGGCGAAAGCGGGTTTCGAGCCCCTATCACAGCTGACCCACACACGAATCGCTTGGTGTGTGTGTGTTCCGTGTTTGGACCTGCGTGGGGTATAGTTGGCAGCAGTCGGCACAAGGGACCCCAATGGTGGCCCACCAATCTCCTGGGAAATCTTCAAAACTGTGCTAATTGTACCCATTTATTAGTCATGCTGACTGATTGTTACTCATTATTGTGTAATGAGTCCCCCATGTACCATCGGTTTTTGAGTCCCTTGGTTGCGGATTTCGAGTTTACAAGTGAAGCAACCGCAAAGTATGGTGGAAAAGGACAGACTTACTCACCGCACTTGTTCTATTGCCCCAAGCGAATCGACCGATCGCCAGGTTACGGCTTTCCAGTGCCCAGAGGCTCCAATCCGATTGATGTTGGGCCTTCAGTCAACCTGGTTTTGAGAATTCCCGGGTCCCAAGCACCAATTCCGGGGTGTCTAATGCTTCGGGGTCTAATGGTCTTCCATAAGCCGAAGCCGATCGGGGCCTTTGGGTGGATCACCTTTTCCTAGGTCCTTTATGAATGTGGGAGGGAGCCCCAATAAGCGCAATAAGCCCCAAGTAAGGCCTTAATTATTAGGGGCTTAGCACCCAACCTTCTTACCCACCTCCCTGTCCAGCCGGTGGTTGAGGTTGGGAAAGAGAGACCGAAGGAAGCGACCAACCGACAGGGAAAGGGAAATGAGCGCTCACAGAGAAGCGAATGGACCGGACCAGCCATTTCTCTCTTCTTGGCTGGTGAGTGGGGCTTATTTGGGCTCTCCCCCTCCCTTCCTCCCCTCCCTCCCCTCCCTCCCCCCCAGCCCCATGACTTTAGGCAGGTGAGTCGCAGGTCTTAGATTTGGCTGAGTAACGATAATCAAGGATGGGCCATTGCGGGGGGGGCCATTCCGGGGGAGACAGGCTCTGATGTTTGGGTGGTGGTCAAGTTTTAAGTCTGATTTGTAGTGTGGATACATGATGATAAATGTTTGTTTTGATTGTCGTGGTTTGGTTGCGTGCTTGTGGCTTGATAGGCTTGTTTTGGCTGTTGGTTTGGTTTGGTTTGGTTCATGTTGTTTGAACATGGAGTGATGCCCCATGTGTGGGAGACGCACATCTTATCCCACAAGGAAAGGGTTCTTCCCTCATCCCTGCGCTTAGCCAGCAGTTGGATCCTTGGAGTTACGCCTTCGAGAATCCACACGACGCCTATCGAAGGTTCGCCCATGGGAAATTCCATGTGACCAATGAGCGGCGAGGATTCTTCCGGGCCCTTCGGAACTGTTTGAATCCTTGGCTATTTGGGGTGAACACCTGAGCATGCCGCATGAGAAAGCGCGCTTGCTTGCACGTTGTCAAGGCATGGGCGGGTGAATCTCCGCGTGCGCCGAAGCGCGCTGTTCATTTCGGTGAGTCCTTTAAGCTATATACCCGAAAGGGAAGCCGTAAAGGAGACCGGCCATTTCGGTTGAGTCCCGGCATTTTGTAGGCCCATACCTCTCAACCCCCCCCTCCCCAAGTGAGGTTCCATGGCGGATGGGGAGAGAGTTGGTTCACATGAGCGCCGAAAGCCTCTATTGGCCACTTTAGCAAGTTCTACTGGCTTCAGCTTAATTGGTCCAAACGGGTCCCACGGAAGTTCAGAAACTGCCTGGAGTCTCCATGACCGGTCATTACCATCCATTTTTAAAGGGTCACGGAGACTGGTGCTTCAGACCCGGGGCTCTGAGCGGAAACCCCCCCCCGGCGAAGACCAAACCAAGTTGCGCGCTCGGTCCTCGACAACCAACTGGACTTTGAGAAAACCCCCAGTGCGAGGATCGATCGATTTGGGTCGGCCAAGTTAGCCAGTGGTTGGTCGCCTATATATCCAACATGTTAGTCCCGCGTTCAGTGGGGTTACCCTTGTTGTAAGAAAGGTGATACGTTAAATGAACATGCCCACTTACTACCTTGGCCAAACATCCAAGCAGTTGGGACCCGTGCACGCAGCGCGGCATTTTTTTCCGGGCCCCGTTGATTCTTTGCCGCAGAGTCTGATTCTCTTTGTGCGCTGAGGCTACAGTGGATGGTTGCGGAATCCATTTCGCACCGTTCAGAAACCCTGGAATGATCCGATTCTCGTGTAAATGCCAACCATGGTTTCCCCATGGTTTCAAAGTGATCCTCTGTATTGCATCTTGTTTACCCTTCCTGCCACTAACATGGGACCTGACAGAGTGTTCCCTCAAGAGGAAGTCCATTTTGCAGGTATCTTCGCCCTGTGCTATGTTAGCTGGAGGGTACACCGGCTGTGGCTTAAATTTGGTTGACCCAAAGTTTGGGCAACGAGTCAAACATTTTCCCATGCTTCCTGTTGCGCAACGTAGAGGCGCCCAATCGGCTTTCTTGGGCCGCTTTTTCTTGCGGAAGGGCTGGATCAAGAGGTGCCTTGGGGCGCCTGTTTGGGATTGCTTAGGGATCGATTCGGAAATCCCCACTGGTTTAGATATTGGTTTGATGCAAAACAGCTGGCTTAGATATTGGTTTTGCTATGTTTTTTTTTTTCCCAAAAGGTCAGCTGCCTTAGCTGCCTTAGCTGCCTTAGCTGCCTTAGCTGCCTTAGCTGCCTTAGCTGCCTTAGCTGCCTTAGCTGCCTTAGCTGCCTTAGCTGCCTTAGCTGCCTTGGCTGCCAACGCAGGTGCTCACACTCCTCATCGTGCTGCCCTTGTTAAGGCAGGGTTGCCTGATCATCCACCCAACACCTCTTGAGTGGACTGCAGATGCCTACTTCACGGGGCATTGTGCGTGAGGCAAGTGGTTAGTAATCCTGGTCGCCCACAAAAGCCATGGCTGCCTTTTTAAGTAAAAAGTAGGTAAGCAGCCGGTTCCTTGTGGTTGTTTCTTTGGGTTTTTCTTGGTTACCCTGCTTGCCTTTGGTGGGTGTCCTATACCTGTGTAGGCTATCAATTTTGTTTATGAGAAGTTCTGGTTTTTACATCGGCTGGTTTTCTTGGTTACTTATACGGAGAAATGGAATCACTGCTTGGGTGTTCGGCCAAGTTAAAGTTGTTGGCAACCGTTCGGTCATAACCCACCCAAAAGTCCCCCGTGAATATGGGGTTAAGAACTTGTTAATAATAGTTTATTTTTTTGCGATCCCCACTGACTAACTTGGCTTTTGTGCATTTTGCTTGGCTGTTAGGACTGAACAACTTTTTGCCAACGTTGTTGGGTTTTCCACTAAACCACTAAAAGTTATTCACTTTTAGCAGGGCTTCGCAGATTTCGCAACCGAGTTGGAAAGTGCTTGTGTAGGGTCTTTCCCGGTTTGGACATTGCCTGAGGCTCCCGAGGATTTTTGGGCGCTCAAACATTTCACTGCGTGAGGGTTCTTCATTGGAGGGCCCAGGGGCCTGCATTGGTTGCAGTTAATTTGCCCAGATGGATGGCCATATCTCTGAGGGTTTTTGTATTGCACCCTGGGATTACAGATTACACCTTTGGGACATGACCCGGAATGCTTGAAAACAACACGGTTTTATCCGGACGTGTGCCTAAATGGGGTCAATACCCGGTGTATTCCCAGGGTGTAACACAAAATATCTTAGATTCTCGTTTCAACCGAACCGGGTTTGCCCAGTGGGAAATTTGCCACTCCCGGATGTCAGGGTGGACATGGCCGAGCGCCTACCCACCTCCAGCATCTACGCGGCCGATGAGGTCCTGGAGGCTGGCACGAGAGCCTGGAGAGCCCCCGGGCTTTTCGTGACGGTCTCGTGGTAACCTGTCCTGACATACTTGGAAGTTGGTGTCCTTCCCGATTCCCATCCCCCCCCAAAAAAAAGGAAAGAAAGAAGAAAGAAGCAAAGCAACAGAAGCAACAAAGCCCTTTTTTTAAAGGAGCCTTTGCGATTTGTTGTAAGCTGGGCTCGAAAAGGGACCACCCTGAAAGGCGAAGGCGGAGGTTTTCCGGGGCAAAAAATAGGGAAACACCTCTGATGATATGTACCAAACGGAAGGGCTGTGTGTTGCCCTGGTACCGTAGCCGGAGCCGTACAACTTTTCACGAAAGCTAGCTTTAGCTAGCTGAAGTTTCTCCTTGCGTAAGCAAGGTAAGGGGCTCAAATGCCGAAAGATTGATTTTTTCAATTATTTGAGCCGAAAAGATTGAAAAACATCAATTATTTAGACCCCCCCCCCCCCTCCCCCCCTTCCCGGGTCTCAGGCTCGATTCCTCCCTGGTCCATCCCCCCCCCCGGGCAGTGGCTCAGTGTTCAGCAGTCTCGGTTTGCCCGTTTTGGACTTGGTGCTACGAACTTTATATGTTCCACCGGTTCAGCTTGTTCATTTGAGACCTCAGTCTTCTCGGTAAACCACCTCGCAAGAATCTTTGCACACGCAGCATGCAGAACCCAGAGGTGCCTCTCATTGTTTTCATTTTTCAATTTTTGCCACGCCACCATGTGCGTTTGCGTGTCGCATCCTACGAATCTTGCCGGGCCTCTCGTTGTACAAAAGCTACCTATGAATCCACTCTGTCACCGACCCATCTCATGCAACAACTGCTAGCTTTCGTTCACCCGCTCCTCAAGTTTTGGACTACCCTATTATTAGAAAAAAATGAGTTCTCTTGGATGTATGCCAAACTGGCCACGAAAAGAGAGCCAGAGGAACACCCTGGTGCCAGTTGAAGTTCCAGTTGCCCTGTGTTGCTTTGTGGTGGATGGGTTCACTCTGGAAGCAGTCCGCACAAGCTAGTCAAAGCGGTTTGCCCTTCAATGTGCTTGGGGCTTCCGGTTTCTAATAATTTGTAGCTCACTTCCTGATTCTTGGACTTTACACTTCTTGGGAAGACCATTTGGGTATGGCTCAAAAAACCGGTACCAAAATGGAACCCTGGGAAGTGGAAACATGGACCAAAACCTGCGTAACCCTAGCTCTTTAATTTTGAGCCACTGCCATTTTAGTGGCTATCAAACAGTTTGGACGTTTTTGTTTTTCGCCAAGCCACTCGATGGGAAGTGTGATCGTGGCTGACTCAGGTTACAGGTTGCCTCACCAAACTCGGATCGATCATCGACCCATCTGCCTCAGCTTCGATCATGTTCTCAGGTATCGGCAATCCACAATTGATGCTTTAGACTTGGCAGTGGCTCAAAAAACCGGTACCAAAATGGAACCCTGCTAAGTGGAAACATGGACCAAAACCTGCGGTTTGCCCCTGTTGTTTAATTTGGAGCCACAATTTGTGGTCTGGGATTTGAACTCCTTCTTGTTGAGGGCGAGGGTAATGACAAATGAATGTCTCCCAGACAACCTCCAGGAATCCAAGCAACAGGGTGACTTATATATTTCCGGAAGCCGTTCTCTTATGATGACTTATTTTTGAGTTTCACGCTTGGTTGCTCTTCAGAACGACCTGAACATTCTTTTAGCTTTTGGACACTGACTTGCCTAGTCAAGCCTAGTCAGATCTAGTCAGCGATCAAACTGGTTCGCTGTTTGGGGGCAAAACGCCTGCATACTTCTTTTTTGTTTCGGCTTGTTAGGAGTTTGGAAACCAAGCAGCCCAGAAAAGTACCCCAGAACCCGGTTCTAAGCTGCTAGGTGCAATCACCCAGTTGTCCAGCAAAATTCGATTCATCCCCCCGCAAGGTCACTTTATCTGAACTCGGCCAGCAAAATGGGGCATGTGTTTTGCATGCAAAGGAACTTAGGCGGTTCCAGTTGTTTTTTGGTTTGTTTTTGTGGGCTTCCCTTTTTGTTGAAGCCGGTTCCCTTTTGGTTTCCCTTTGAAGCCGCCCCAAAATCCTCACAAACCCCCAACCCCCCCCCCCACCCCCAAACCAAAACAAAACAAAAGCCGGCAAAACCCTCCAAAAACCTTCCGCCCCAAGAGACCATCACTTTGGTGCATTTTCCTTGGATTTTAGGACTTTAACTTTTTGCCAACTGATGGGTTTTCCATTAGACCAATAAAAGTTATTCACTTAAAGCAGGGCTTCGCAGATTTTGCAACCGAGATCAAACCACCCTCGAAAGCCTTCCGTTCGGAGCGCGGTTTCTCTCAGGCCTACCAGCGGTGGGAGCAAGATCCCGGGATGCGAAGAGACTACGAGGAGGTCCATGCAGCGTGGCGGAGCGATGCAAATCGAATCGGTCCAGCTAGGTGCCAACTTGTTTACCCCTTTTTTTGGGTCCTTTGCATAGGATGCGAGAAGCATATATATGATATGTAGAGGTCAACGGGAAGTTGTGTTTTTTCCACAATGGCCATGGAGAAAAAGATGTTGGGAGGGTTCCCCTACTAAAATAGACGTCCTGCAAAAAGTGGGTACCCTAACCTCCAACCTCTCTACTGGAGGACCTAGATGCGAATGGCGTGGGAGCGGCGATCAATCAGCAGAAGACCAACTTGCTGGTGCGATAAGTGGTTCCTTCATTTACCCGGGCAACCCATTTTTAAGACATCGTCCGTTTGCTGAAATGAATATTTGTTTGATGTTCCGCTGCTGATTTCGCAGGGAATCGATTTCACTGGAAAAAACCTTGTTGCAGGGGACTTCAGCAAATGGAGGGCAAGGGTTGTGGTTCTTTTCCTGGGCGAATTATAACGACCTCACTGGTTTGCCATGTCACCAATGAAGGTTCAGAGGGACCCCTGATACCCAGCGCTTTTTATTTTAGGGCTAGTTTTCAAGAAAACGGGTTGTTCCATGGTAAACATCTTTTTCAGGCCAGGGGTTGACATCCTACTAAAGCTGGCGAATGTTATCCGCGGATCAACCTCCGGTTCATGTTTTGTGGTTTCAATTTTGTTCGCCGCCTTCTTAGCACCAGGTCTTGGTTTTGACTCAAACGCGCGCCAGGCTGTTCTGAAGTCGCTCTACTGGCACAATTGGTACACAGGCAGACGAAAGGGTTCGGTCCCCGTCACATCGAGTCCGGGCATTCGCAAGCCCATCCCAGATCCATTTACCGGTGGGCAACCAAGGGAACCCTTCAAAAGACCAAAAGGATCATGGCGAAGGGTTGCCTGCTGTAAAGGGTAGCTGGCAACCACGGGATTTCCGGGAGCTGGGTTCGATCTATTTGGGCAAATGATCTTGATGTCACCCACTAGGCCCTAGGCATGGTTGTTGTTGGGAAACATTTTACATTTTTGCTTATTGTGGTTTAGTGGAAAACCCCACTTAACTGCTAAAACTTAAATGTTTGCTCCCCTTCCAACGTCAACCAAGTAGGAAGGTTTCTCCTCATGTTTGCTTAATGAACTATAGCCTGACTTGTGGTGCTCTCCATGGCACGGCGCGAGCAGTACCTGACCCGAAGAGGATTTGCAGCGCCCAACTTTGATGGCCCGGCCAGGTCTTATACTGTCCCAGTAGCTTTGCGCTACGCCATTCCCTCGCCTAGTTCATGAACCATAATTGTTACTATATTGGGTCTGTCTTTGTTGGTGCTCACCCTTGTTGTTTGGGACACCAAAAGAAAAGAACGCGCCGCGGCCCCTATTTTAAGACAACCCCCCCCTTCTGCTTCTGCTTGCTTGGTTTTCAGGGAGTTACCCACACAGTTTTAAGAGGTATGAAGGCAACCGTTCAGGGGTTGAGTTCGGGGTTCCCTCAAATTGAGGACCAGCAATTCTCACTCCTCGAGTCCCGTTTCGGACTTTCGTCACTTTTAGGCTTGGTTGCCATTTCAGCGGGAAATAACAGTTCAGACCTTTGTGGCAAGCCGACTCAGGAAGTGAGAATTTGAGTTCCAGTAGGGAATGTGGGAATGACTTCTCATACCAGCATGAACGGTCCCTTGGCCTGGTTGGTGAGTCCTTGCTTCTTGCTATCAGCAAACACGCTTGCAATGGACCCGGATATTTGTTGTCCTTATGTTTATTGGTGCTTAGGTTTGGGGCGATTCGAGTACCACGTTGGGGCGATTCGATGTGCGTGGTATAGATCACCACCCCGGGGTTCGCGGATTGGATCGGTGGAGATCGGACTTGGAGTTGAAGCCTTTTGGCTCTGGTGGAGGGTAGATGGTAAAACCCCTTTGACCACCAAACCACCAATCCAAACCACCAAAGAAACGAGGGAAGCTGCAGTTGTGTCTGTCTGGATTGAGGAGTTGGTTCAGTTTGCGAAGGTGGGACTTGAGCTCAAGGCGAGAGCCGCTCATACATGTCAAAAGTACACCTCTCAGAAGTAGACCCCCCCAAAAAAAAAGAAGAAAGAAAGAAAGAAAGAAAGAAAGAAAGAAAGAAAGAAAGAAAGAAAGGAAGGAAGGAAGGAAGGAAGGAAGGAAGGAAGGAAAGAAAGAAAGAAAGAAATAAGAAGAAGAGAAGAAGAGAAGATAGACAAGAATCGATATTTAACAACTCTCCAAAAGTCGACCCCTCCCCCGTTTGAGAACGCCAGATTTCGGAGCCGCAGGTCTGAGCTAGACCGAGCGGCGCGTTTCGGAGCCTCGCCAGGCCACAGCGGGGAGTGCCCGCGCCAGGCGAGCTGCTCCAGATTCTTCTTGAGCCATGCCTTCTGGGCCCGGGGGCCGAGCCCAAGGAAGCCATTTCTCCGGAACTTCCACGATCTTGAGAATCAGACATGTAGTTTCAAGACTAAGCCAACAAGTCTACAGTTGTTTGCACGGACAAGAGGAATCGAGAGTAAACCGCAGCTTTGCTAGGGGTACCTTCCCCCATTCTTTCCAGGGATCCTTCTTTTTAGAAAACCTCCGCAAACCCAGTGAAAATCGCGATTGGTTTTTGAAAAGAACCATGGTTCAAAAGAAAGGACAAGGAATCGGACTCAACCCTTATAATCATTCGCATGTCCATCTGTTGTGCCGGGCGATGTGTGAGGAAGGAAAAAAAAAGCCTTTTGGTTGCCGCCTGGGCTTCGGGAACCAAGTGGGTGTGTCGGAGTCCGTTGTGGTGGATCACTCGGAATTGGTTTCTCCAACCACTTCTGTGATACTTTTGGGAATCCCCCGAAATATATGAAGAAAATCGTCTTTGGGGGTAGGCCCTTTCTGTTGTATCACAGAAGTGGATTCCATTCCCCACAGCCCAGTGTCGTGTTTTAGGGGGTTCCCTGCGGACAGAACCCCTAGAGCTTTTGTCGGCCGCGGAGGGAGGAAAGGAAGCGGCCAAGCAAGCATCCAGTTGTTTCGGAGGTTTTTTCCGTTGAATTAGCTCCCCTTTTGTTGGTTTTTTTGTTTGGCTTTTTTGGGGTTTCTTTGTTTTCCACGAACCAGGCAAATGGCTGTGGTTCAAAATTAAACAGGAGGGGCAATCCGCAGGTTTTGGGTCACCCATGTTTCCACTTACCGATCGGGCAACCCATTTTGGAATTCCTGTTTTTTTAGGAACCCACCAGCCAAAGAAATGTGTTTTGCTTTTTTTGGGGGTCTCTTTGTTTTCCACTAACCGGGCAAAAAACCGTTTTTGTTGCTGGGGTCCGATTCTTCCAGCCTGAGGATGAAACCCCGGCATGGGGAAAAAAACAATTCTGGGAGCAGTGGCTCTGGCTCAGTGAGCGGAACGAGAAACAACTCTGCAATTGGGTTGGATCTTTCGTTTTTTTGTTTTTGTTTTTTTTTTTTTTATTTATTTTAGATACCCCTCCAAAAACACTTGTTGGATACCCCTCCTGTTTTCTTAGCTACAACAAGTTGATAACTTTTGCTGGGGTCCCGATCTCTACAGCACACGAGAAAAGGAGGTTGTTTAAGCAAACTTTGCTTTACACCATGCGTGTTCAACGAGGGGTGAAGTTCCCAGTGGTTTTCCGTGCGTGTTTGCTTTTGAGGTGGTGCATCAGGATCCCCATTGGTTGGTTGAAGCACTTCCACAAAGAGGCCCTTGGAGCTTGGTTCGACCTTGGATCCAACTACTAGGTCCTAAATGCCTGTTCCAATTTGAATGAAGGTCCGAGCAGGGTTCCATTTGCTGACCAAGGCTTAACCCAGACGTGGTTGTCCCGAAACTGGAGCCAAGTTTCTTTGAGCATCTTCCAGAAATGGCGCCTGGCCTGATCCATGGATCTGCCTCTCAGGTGACCCCCAAGATTGTGGCGTTCTGCTTTTCGCTTCCCAAAAAAAGCCGACCAAAAAGTGTGGGCTCCCTCTAAAAGAGTCGCCCACCCCTCGTCCCCTCGTCTCGACCGATGGCGTCCGAATGGCGTCAACTCGCCGAGGTGGGCATCGGGGGCTACGGCTCCACGGAGTCGGAGCTGCAGAGCCGCGCGGAGAACATGGCTCTGGGCTCCGCCCAGGCGCGGGGGAATCGGAGCCTTCGGAAGACGCCGGCCGCGCGGCCCCGAGCGCTGCGAAGTCCGGCGGATCCAGCGGATGCGCACCGCGCGCTTCCGCGGTCCGCGGTCCGCGCGTTGTTTACTTCCATGGGCTGAAATGAAGATCGTGTGATAGTTTCACTTAAGTTGGTTTTAAAGGGAAGCGATTTCGCTGGATTGGTTTTATATTTTCCTGGGGGCTTAAAGCTAATGGAAGTTTAGATTTTCGGTCGGGGTCATGTCCGGTGCGGGAAATGGGAGGGAGGGCAGGCTTTAGCTGCTGCCCAATTGCCTCTTGTGGCCAAAGAAGGCCAACTCACCGAAATTCCAGGAAAACCAGGTCAAAGCGTTTTCACGGTTTTCAAAGATCTCCAGCCAGGCACGTGTCAACACCTTTATAAGTCTGGCTTAGCTTTAGGACTTTGAGACGCCATCTCATGCGTTCCAGAGATGTTAAGGAAGCCCTGCGCAAAGAGCCTCCAAGTACATGCACAGTTGCTGCAGACACAATTTCCCGGCAGGTGTGTGCACGTGCATGCTGCCGAAACCTACCCAAAGTTCCCGCGTGCGCACAGCATCGGAAAATAATGTTTTGCAGCGGGTCCCCCAACATTACCAAAGTCGCATTTGCGTGCACCAAGTGCGCTCTATGCTATATGGCCCAACCTGCCCATTGTACGTCCTGTTTTCAGGGATTTTCGGGAGGTCCCATTCACTTTTGTTTTTGTCGCAGTTTTACTTGGTCATTTATGGGTCCACTCGGTCATTCACGATTCACAGGTGTCACGGTTCCATATTGCACACACTGCTGCAAACACTGTAATTTCAAGACTCCTACATCGAGTAAGACCATATTATCGATTTCATTCCATGTGATTCGGCAACCTTTGGGTCGGTTGATGTTCGGGCCGGGGTCTTGGGAGCGCGACAGCTATGTCGCACTCATTGAGATTCTCCGCCGCCACAGGCTCAGCCGGTTTTGATCCAGCCAGTGGGCAAAACCCTTTGCTTTGGGTTGCTACAGGGGCATTTCCCCGGGATGCCGCAGCTGCTGGTATTTGGGAGCTCGGCGACTCGGAAGCGGAATTGGACACGAACTTTGCTTCCAGTTGCTTAATATTTTGTTATTTTCCCTTGTTGGTGTTAAAAGGAGTTTATCACTACTGGAAAGATTTTTGCATTTTCCCGGAAACTCTACTGCAAATGGAAGAATTGGACGCCCGTTGGGGGTCTCCTCAAAAAATCCCCTGCCTCCCCACTTTCATGGCACCTGATAGAGGGGTTAGCCGGGTCCTAAATTCCAGCTCCTTTCCCTTGAACATGTGGTTGATGTCAACCCCCTTCCTTTGAACATCCATTGTCCAAAATGGAACCCTGATCCATGGATTCCTTTGGCTTCCCCGCACTCCCTAAGTTCGTTGCCCTTTTTGAGGTCTTCACAAACCACTTTGGTTCCATTCCCTCCCACTTACATGGCACCTGACAGAGGGTCCCTGAGGAGGAAATCGATCTTCCAGGTACCCTCCCACAGATACCTTGCTTTTGCTTGTGGGAAGGGTGGTTTTGTGCTTTCAGGCTGATTTCATGTCGAAACAAAACCAGAAAAACGAGAGTACATCTTTGGTTTTTATCCCATTGGGAAAAACTGGAGCCTCTGAGGCGAGTGGAGGTTTCCCCGTGCTTAAGGGCTCAAAGGCCACCCCCGGACGATGTTTTTCGGAAATAGTCCCAAGGAATTTCTCGGGACACCGGGACACCCCATGGAGACCCTCGGATCCGCATGTTTTTCTTTCGAAGTATTCCCCAAAATATGTTGCCAGGGCCGAAGGCCTATGTTTTTTGGTCGAGCTGTTCCCTTGCTTCTCCTTGGTTTGGAGTGGTGGTTTGGATTCGGACTGGAGCCCCAGCTCAGTTTGAAGCCACATGGGGGAGGATACCCTTTAAGGGCCAAGCCGTGCTGGCAATATACAAGTAAATGGATCCACCGGGATTCATTAGGACTCAGCCCTTCATGCTTTCCGTTTGTGTCAGACAGTTGCACCCCATACACCCAATACCCACTTGCTTTTGGGTTATGACGTCAACCCCCCCCCCCAAAAAAAAGGGAGGCATTTACCATGGAAAACCTGGGGCATCGAAAAATACCCTGTGATATTCGGAGTATGGGTATGCTTCCCGAATGAATTGGACATTAAAGATGCCGATGTTCTCCCAGGCAACGTGTTCCGCAACGGGGGCAGTTCTGCAAGCAAGAGGCACCCGCTGTATAGAGCTCCCCCCTCCCCCGCTAGACCTGTCGCAAAAGCCATTTGGGTGTGTATGTGTTTAGCGGATTTGTGTGTCCCCTTAAAACCAATAGGTTGCCTAAGGGGGGGCTAGGATCCAATTATGTATCCAGCTCTTTGTTCCACGCACACACGTGGAACATGTATATACATAGAAATATAGATATATATATATATATATTACTTTTGTTGGGGACTCCCCAAAAAGATGGTTTTGCCTTTGGTTTCCGTGGAAACTCCTCTAATTTACAGATGTACCATGGTTCGGGTTTTTTTGCATGGTTGGTTTACTTGCAATATTTGGCTGAGCTGGCCTCAGATCCCCGGCTAAGAGTGACTAACTTCTCGTGGGTGAAGTGAACACCCGACCACCAAACCAGCGAAACACCTGCCTAAGAACCTAAGTTGAACGGGACGATGCGCTGGTTTCAACCAACGTGGCAGGGACATCCAGCGTACCTAACGGCTGATCGCCATTAAAAGAACGGTCGACCCTATTTAGATCACATTTTTTTGGGTCAGCAATGGTGGCTATATAAACCACTTGCCAACAGGTGCAGGGTGTTGTTTCATAGGATAGCATGCTTATAACCTGTGTTTATAGTGATTGACCCAAAGCCAATGTAGTTGATTTGGAAACTCCTCTAATTTACTGATTTACCATGGTGTTGGGTTTGTCCAATGGGTTTTTTACACAACCATTGTTTGAATAGCCGAGGGTGTTGTGTTCATGCGCCAGGCTTTTATGTATATATATATATAGCACGCTACGCACACCTCGGCTTTAATGGCGTTTTGAATCCCACACACCTAGAATTTGTGTTTCTATAGTTTTACCTAAAGCCAATGTAGTCGATTTACCAACACCAATGTAGTTTTACCTACAACCAAAGTGTTTATCCAAGCTATGCACACAACCCAAAAACCAACGTAGTTTATTACTAAAACCAATGATGTGTTTATAGATATATATATATATATAGTGTCTTTCCTAAAACCAATGTAGTTGATCTCTGCACGACCGTTGTTTTAATGGTTAACGACTCCCAAACCCGAGGTGTGCACCGGCTCCGGGGCGACCTGCGCTGAGAAGGGCTGGGCGCACATGCTGGCGCAGGAGGCACAAGGGGCGGGACTCGGACGGAGCCTGCGTCAGAAGCTACATTTGCGAATCCATCTGGAAAAAAGACACGAACAGATGTCCAGTACCCAAAGGCTCCAATTCGATGGATTTAGGGCCTTCAAACAACCTGGTTTTGAGACTCCCAACCAGCTCCGGGGTGTCTAATGGAGGGGTCGGGTCTTCCGTTGAAAGTGCCAGGAGCCTCTGGGTAGTGAAATCGAGTCCCGTTCAAGCCAACAGGGGGAAAAAGACTGAAGCAACCGCAAGCTTCACAAACCAAGTTTCTGAGAGTGTGAAAGCCATGTGACAGGCTGTAGGGTTGCTGCAAGAACCGCGGGGGGTAAAACATTTGATCAGTAAGGCGACGCCAAAGGAATTGGACACATGGGGATTGATCGAAAGTTCCTTCACATACGATGACCATTGGGGAAAACCGCGAGAAACATATGGGATTTTTCGACCACGTGGGAAAAGTTCGAGCCATGGCCATTTGGGGGTAGAACTATTGATCAATCCCTACATGTCAGCTCCATTAGGTGGGATCGATCGACCCCATGGGTTTTATGGGTTTAGGGCGCTGGGTTGGGGTTTGGGTTGGGTGTTCATTTTGGGGTTTTGGGGTTTTGGTTTCTGGGGTTTTGGGGTTGGGTTTGGGTTGGTTTCTGGGGTGTGGGTTTTGGAGCGCAGGTGTTAGATTTGCCAAAGTTTCATTTTGGCTTCCTATTTTTGACCCACTGCCATGTGAGTTCTTGGACTTTAGTCGCTTTTTGGGTGAAGAGTTTGGGCTCTGGACCATGAACTCAGGAAGCAAGTTTTAGCGGTTGTCCTTCATGGCCGGTCTTTGGTGTGACTGACTGACTCACCAAGTTGGTAAATTGGTCCTTTTACACCCTTTTTTGGGGGAGGGTTCCCCTAGTCAAATAGACAAAACCGAAAAAAGTGGGTAGCCTTATTCTAACCTCTTTAGTGGAGGACCTAGATGAGGTTACAACCCAGCTGTTAGTCCCGGGAGTGGAGCGAATCCTGTTAGGTTGTAGCCCAGGTGGCCAAGCACGTGCAAGTGCCACATGGCTAGTCCTCAGTTGTTCAGTGGCTCCCTTTTTTTTCCAACTTGTTTTTGCTGGCCGCCCCACTATATAAAATGGTCCAAGCACCCAAAAAGGGTTCCAATCCTTTTTTTCCAGGGTCGCTGAACAACTGAGAGTCTCAACGGTGCCGACTCACCCCTTGGAACTTGGAGCTTGGAAAACATCCATTAAGCCTAAAACAGGTCGAATGTCCGTTTTTTTTTCAGGGGGAAGAGCAACTTGGACTACCCCCCCCAACCACACCGATCCCAGCGGCTTGCTCGATTTTAGTCTTGCCCAACTGGGTTGTGCTTGGTGTGTGTGTGTGTGTGTGCCGAAGAGGGGGCGTGTGATTTCGAGAGAGAGAGAGAGCGACTTTATCTGCCTGGGTTCCACGAATTCGGGTGTAAAACGAGTGCACACCATGATGTAGGTTCTTTAGTTGGTAATCCGTATTGAAGGTGCTGGATTTTTGTAAAACTTAAGAAGAAACTCATATTCAGGGTGCAAGGGCTCATCATGCCTTCCATTGAAAAGCAACGCCAAGAGACTCAGAAAGCCGCAAAACATGTGTTTTGTCGTACAACATTTGGTGGCCCTGTCCTTGTCGTGCAACATTTGGTGGCGACACCAATCTAGAGACGCCGTTTACATGCCCTCGGAGACTCGTGCAACGCCTTCTTTAAAAATCCTACATCTAGCTACGTTTATTTGCTAAGTAGGATGGTCGTGGGGTCTGGATATGCTTGAAGTTTCCTCGAGTCCCTTGGCAATGTGCTTCGCTTGGCCAAGTTAGCAAGAATTTGGTCTAGGGTTCTAACCCGAAGGGCAGGTGAGTGAGGTCCCTTTCTACCTACTTGGTGCGTTGGGCCGGTAACGGTAGGTTATACCCCGAAGGGGTCGCTGAACCGAAGCGAAGCCACAGCGATTCGCAGGCCGCCGCGCAGGGCTTCAGCTACGAGAACCGCGGCGTCGGGGGCACCACCGCGGCTCGGCTCGGGCCTCCGCCGGCGGAAATTGATGGGGGGCTGCAGGTGGACGAAAGGCTCCACGTCGTCGGATTTGGGGTTAGACTAAGTAACGTCTAACAGACTAAATTTACAAGTGGTAAATGCTTCGTGGTAAAGTGGTAAATTTACAAGTGGTTAGACTAAATTTCCATTTCCATTTTTAGTGGTAAATGCTTCAGACTAAAATGGACATGGAGTCCGGAGTAAATGGAAATTGCTTCAGAGTAAATGGAAAGACTGTTTAGTGTTAGAGTAAATGGAAATTGCTTCAGACACTTTTATGGGTTAGTGGTAAATGGATATTAGTGGATTTTGAGTGACATTCTTGCTCAGCAGGTGTGCGCCACACCTGTCAAACTTGAGGAAGTTCCTATCAACAGAATCTGGATGTTTGCCCCCTTCCATTTGCTGAAATGAATATGTTTCTTGTTGTCCCCTCAGTTGTTCAGTGGCTCCCTTTTTCCCCCTTTTTTTTTGGTGGCTGCCCCACTAAAATGGTCTTCCCAAAAAAGGGTTCCCTTTGTTTCCAGGGTCACTGAACAACTGAGTCCCATGTTGGTTTTAAAGGACATCTATCACTACTGCACTTCAGCAAATGGAGGACCCCTTTTCCGTGAGGGAAAGCTCTGGCTATGACCTGCTACCCACACCTCGAGGTCCGTTGGAGATCGCCGCGAGATCGCCAACTGCGCTTAAATGGGGAACTTTTTCCTATTGTCTATTTTAGTCGTCTCAGTTGTTCAGTGACCCTGGAAAAAAATGGAACCCTTTTTTGGGGCTTGGACCATTTTAGTGGGGCAGCCACCAAAAAAAAGAGTTGAAAAAAGAAAAAGGGAGCCACTGAACAACTGAGATTTAGTAGTGGAACCCCTCCCAGTACTGGGGGATCTACTATGAATGAACAAAATCCTGCACCACTTGGGATAGATGAAACCCCGTGAATAATGGGAGACACCACCTACCAACATAGGTGGCCTTTTTGAAAAATAGATGGCCCTGGCAAATGAAACAAAACCCATCTGAACCAGTGCCATCTATTTTTAACCATCTCCAAGTTCCAGGTCCCGGGGGTGTAGGTGTAGTGGAAACCATCCGTTTGCCTTCCAGAGTATTTTTTTAATTTTCCCTCCTTGGTCTTAAGGGGGATCTATCACTGGAAGCATGTGTCTTGTTTGGTTTCAGGGGGCTGAAGCAATTAGACCAGGAAGATGTGCAGTTGACATGGGTTTTAACACCCGGTACTCCGAACCAGCCGTTCGGTTCGGAGGGGGTTCCCTTTCAAGACAACTAGCAACAAGAAGCCGGCTTCTTGATGGACATCCGCTCAAGGTTTGGGCATGGGCCTGGAGGCATGATCTGTCGGTTTACCCAATTTTTATTGACAGAAGGGGCGATGGGCGTCCCTTTCACGAAAATAATTGAGTGGTTGCTGGGGAACTTGATCGACCGATTGAACAGGAAAGATTGGAGAATAGGAATGCTGGGAACCACCGCTATTTTTGGCCCTTGGCTTAGACATGTTGATCTTCTTGTTGGTGCTCCTTTTCTTGTGTGACCAGCCAAAGTTATGCACCTTTTTTGCACGTCGAAGTTTGGCAGCGACTTAGATGGTTTGGGATAACCCCAGAGAGAAATGGGTCTCAAGGGTGCCTTTGTGGGGCAAAACCAACTGGGAAAAGGCTTTTCTCGCCGCTTAAGCGGCGCAAGGGATACTCAAGAGCCACTGCAACTGGTTGATTGCCAAGCGCCTAACACCCATCCCTCACCTATGGTTTCTACTAGTTGTTGCAGTAACGCCCATGCAAACCTTCATAACCTTGTTGGTAAAGCCACAGCTCAACTTGTTTTGGGGGCTGCTCAATTCTTCCGGCCCTCGTTCTTTTTCCCAAGACTGATGGTTTGCCCTCCGGTGTTGCTTGCGTTTTTGACCCACAAGAAGGATCCCTCCAAAGAACGTGGGGAACTGAGCTGATTGAAAGGGCTCGGGGAAGCTGAGCGCCCATGTTTCTTTTAGTTGTTCAGTGGCTCCAATAATTTTTCCCTTTTTGTTTGGTGGCTGCCCCACTAAAACGGTCCAAGCCCCAAAAAAGGGTTCCAATTCTGTTTTTTCCAGGGTCACTGAACAACTGAGTTCTTCTCATTTTGAGATCAGTCAACTCGGATCCGGTGTTGTTGCTTTTTTTCTTCTTCCTAGTGCTGTTTTTTGTACTAGGGCTGGTCATCTGGTTGGAGTCCATGCGGTTACCCAGTCAACTCAAAAATAGCCGGAGGCCGTGTGCGTTTGTTTCCTTTCCAAAAAACTGTCAACCGTTTTTTCGGGCCAAGCCTTCCCTTTAGGTGCCGTTGTGAAACGCGTCAAGCCATGATATGAGAAAAAGGTCAACTATTATGACTATTTTCTTCGCGAGCTCACCGATTCGGGGGAAAAGCGAGCTCACCATGTGTAAAGATCCTTTACTCGGGGATCCTTTACTTCAGGTTTTGGAAAGATTGCATAATTTGCGGAAACATTGCAGTATGGTTCAGTTGAAAGGGACATCTGCGGCAGGCGCTCACCAAATTGGAGGCCTTTTTACGCTCGCGTGACAAATGAGATGGTCGACTGATTCAAAGTTTGCCCCAATGACGCCCAACCACTTTGCAGAGACTTTGGGCACTGACCTTGGAACCATGGGTTCAACCCCCCAAAAGTGGCATCGGCTTGGCATGGAGCCCGAACTCAACGGCATTGCCGGGCTTCAAACGGCTTAAGAAGTCGTTTCGTGTTTTTGATTGCGGCGCGGTCCGCATGTCTGGCCTTTTTTTGCAAGCCGTGCATTCAAATGCTCCTGATATTTTCAGTCCCCCAGTTGGGGTCTCCTGCAAACATCTGCAACAGGTTTTGGGGCGGACGAAAGATGACAGAGCATCATGTGTTCCGTGTACCTGGACCCTCAAACTACCCCATAAACAACTCAGTTGTTCAGTGGCTCCCTGTTTCCTTTTTTTTCATGGCTGCCCCACTAAAATGCATTTTTTCCAGGGTCACTGAACAACTACTGGAAAAAGTACCCTGGGAAAAAAAGGAAGGCTTTTTAGTGACCAGTGGCTCCCTAATAGCCTTTTAGAAATGGTTTTCCAGTGGCTCCCTTTTTTCCAGTATTCTAACTTTCAAATCTGGAGGACCTAGTACCACTTTTAGCAGATCAGAAATTGGACCGCCCAGTTCTTAGGTTGGACTCTTGAGGGTCCAGGTCCCCCGTTTCGGCCTTTTCAGGACTCCCCGTTTCTCTTGCCCCCAGCCATCCGATTCCTTCGCTTTTTGGCGCCTATTTAAGTGTTTGGGTGGTAGTTTTTCTGACCACTTAACCCAAGCGGGAGATCTGAAAACGGGCAGCCCATCGATCGAGGTGGGCTACTGGAACATGGCCCTGTCCTCCGTTCCGGAGGAGCTGCTTCAAGCGCTCAAGGCCGCCGCGCCCCGGCGAACCGCTTTTGCCTTCCCCGGAAGTCGCTCCCCTGTTTTTTTCTCTGCTTTTTTGGGGTCCCTTTCTTTTCCACTCACCAGGCAAAAAATATTATTATTTTTGCTGGGGTCCGATTTTTCCAGCCCAGTTGCTTTGTGTTTTTTGTCCCATGGCCTGCCACTGGTGTCGAAAAATCCGAGTGGTGTCCTTACCCAGAGGCTCCCTATTGATTTGGGGCGCGGGGTTTAAGATCGGCGTGTCTAATGGAAAAGTCGGGTCTTCCATTTGCTAAGCCCTAGGAGCCTCTAGGGAGTTGGTACCTTTTGTTTGCTGGTTTTCAACCGAAACCAAGAGGACTACCTCTTTGATGACACACTCGTAGGAACCTCTTTTGTTTGGTATTCAAAGGGACACTGAAACGAAAACCATTTCAGGAAATGGACCCCCCATTTTGAGAAGCACCAAATCTATTTTATTGCTAGGGACTAAGTTACTGGCCAAGCTATGAACATATATTGTGGTTGGTGTACTCCAGAGGTCATACTGTGGATGGACGAAATCCATTTCGCACCACTGTAAAACCATTGGGAAACCATAACGTTTGTTGGTATTCATAGGTGAATCATCAGAAACCAGGGTTTCTTAGTGTTTCATGATAAAGACTCAGTCTTTTCGGTGCAGGGGCTGCCATCATACCCAAAGTGTGTTGATTCAAGTTCCGGGTTTTGCAGTCATGTTTCCGCATCCCTGTACGTTGCATTCATTCGAACGGGAAACCCGTGTTGGTCCAATTACACATCCTTCAACAAAGCCGCACGGCTGTTGGGGGTCTAGGTCCCCCAGTAGTGCCCTTTCTCACCACTATTTTGGGGGAGGGTTCCCCTACTAAAATAGACTACAGAAAAAGGGTACCCTTATCTTCCATTTGCTTGATAACAGTTTTTTTTGTTTTTTTTCCCCTTGTTGGTTTTAAAGGGAATCTATCTCTACTGGACATATTTTTCCCGGGAGACTACTGCAAATGGAAGTTATTCTGACCTCTCGACTGGAGGACCTAGGGGTCGCTTCTTCGCCTTCGGAAGCCGACCGACAGAAACAACACCGAACGATACCATGTTTCCCAATATAGACACAGTTTGTTGTTCTTCTGCCATTTATAGACCCAATTTATTTTTGTTTGTTTTTTTTTGTTTCTTTTATTGGGGGGGCTGCCATTTACACCCCGCGTTTCGTTAAAACCGCGGCGTTTGGTTTTGCGAAGCCGAGCCGAGGACGTGGTGGTCTTGTCCTTGTCCCTGGGCAACGAAGGCCTCGCCATGGCCCAGCCGCACGCCGCTCGGCGAATCGGCGGGAAGCGGCGCGGGGCGTTCCAGCGGCGTTTTGCGCGCCTTTTATTTTTGGAGGCGTTGGGGTTGTTGGTTTTAATTTTGTGGTTGGGTGTGGGTTTTTTAGGCTTTTGGGTATTTAACTGGCTTCGTTGCCGTAGGTCATAGCCTGCTTCTGAGTGAGCTGGGCGTAAAACAGGTGCCTTTTTGTTCCGCGTACTGACTTGGGGCGAGCACCCAAGTAGGTTTTTAGGTTTTGGCACCCAAGCCGGCTTAATGGCATGCGCAACCAATATGTAGCCAAGGGAATTTACGCCGATTTCCCCTGCGGGTGTTTTGGGGGTGCAATGGAAACCATCTTAGACTTTGAAGAAATTAAACAACCATGTGAGTAGCGCCCAAAACCCTGGGGTTCCTTTTTCTGGCTTTAACTGGTTTAGGGGTCGGGTTTCCATCTAACCCACCAAAAATAAGAAGCCCTCAACTTGGCGATCCCGGCGAATCGTCCGACCCCTCATTTTTTTAGCGGTTTTACCTATATATATATATATATGTATATATATTCGTGGTTGCGCGGGCGGCCGGGTTTCTATTTAAACGGCAAGTTATCTTAGCAGGGGATCTGAGCCATGACAGCCATCAGGCAACAACCTCAAGGTCCGCCTTGTTTAGGGTAGGCTATGATTTGTGTACTGGCTCAGAAAGGATATGAGTTTTACCCGTCGGAAAACCAGGCTTTTCCGGCGGTTTTGTCATATATTCATACACACCCTTACAACAGCAAACATGTGGCCATCAGTTCCGAATCTCAAAGGACGAACACACTTCTGAAAGAACACCGGCTGTAACTGGCTTTCTTTCCACACGAAAACAGGAAGCAAGTGCTTTGCTCCGAGCCAACATACCGATGGACGAAATCTATGTTTCACCACCTTTCGGAGAAACCTTGAAATGATTCGATTCCCAACGTAAAGACCAACCGAGAGTCTCCATGACCGAAAGAAAAAGGGGTCATAACCCCTTAATTTTGGATAATGACCTCATTTTTAGGGGGTCATGGAGACTCTAGGAAGAAACGGAATGGTTTCATTCCGATGGATTCATTTCGTGGTGCGGCGCGAGCAGCGGATTTCGCGGTCCGCATGAGCCCAAGACTGGCCGGGATGTAGAGTCCAGGCTTCCGGGAGACCTCTGCGTACCGTGGGTTCTTATTGGTTAGAATCCGTTTCGGCGTTATCTGCTTGCCGGGCCAACTCACGAAGTGGGTGACACACACTTGAGGCGATCCAACCCCTTAGCTTGGCGAATCGAACATCTGTTGGGGGTGAAAGGTTTGCGACTGGCTTACCATAGGACCGAATTTCCGTCCCCCGAACGACGCTCCTTCCCCCCCGAAACCCGCGAAAGCCGATTTTTTCGGGGCCGCGCCGGCGGGCGGAGCGGCCGGAGCTTCGGCCGGCGGGGCCGAGGAGGCGTTGGCGCTGGAGAAGCGCTACGCCGCGGGGCTGCGGGACTTGACGCGGCGCCTGCGGAAGCTGCGGCCCAGAGCGCGGCTGGTGCTGGGAGGCAGGGGGGTGGGGGGGTGGTGGGGGGGTTGATGGGACGTATCCATGGTGTATAGGTGTGTGCGGCCTCTCTTTGGGTCCAGAAAAGGCCGGACCGGAAATTTCGGATGATTGGGTATGATTTGTCAACCCCTAAAGAGGAGGGGAAAGGTAGATGGACGAAATCCAGTTCGCACCACCTCAGAAACCCTGGAATGCTAATTCCAGTGCAAATACCCACAAACAACGTTTAAGCCCTTATTGCGGCCTTGTTTTAGGGCTTATTTGGGCTTTTTGGGGGAGGGGGGGGGTGGGGTGGGGGCGGGGGCGGGGTTTTTCTTGGAGGCCCTTACCCCAACAACGGCTACGAGCTGCATCACCTGCAGGCGCGGGTCGTTGGTTCCTCGGTTCGTCGGTTCCCGTGCTGCCCGGAGGGCTCTGAGGAATGTTTTCAACTGACTCCCGGAAAAAAATAAACAAAAACAAAGAAGCCACCCCGCCAAACATGAGAAATTACCCAAAAAGGCGAGCCAAAGACCCCCCCCCCCCCGCGGAGAAAACAAAACACAAAAACATGAGAATTACCCCGAAAATGACAAATTACCCAAAAGGCGAATTCGCCAAAACGCCTCAAACAACACAGGGTTCCAGATGACCCGAAAGTTGAGCGCCACACTCAAAGCGGGCAAGTGAAGGTTAAGCTACTGTCCCGGGCATAAACAGGTGCGGACATCCACCCTGATATGTGTCCATGGCGTTAGCACTTGATCGACCGGGGGTTCTGCCCTATTGGCTCGACGTGACAAAACACGTCAACGACCCGCGATGGATTCTTTGCTCCAACTAGGCTTCAACGACCGCAACTTCGGAGAGTGAGGGTTTCCACTGGGGTCAGATTCTGTGGATGGACGACATCCATTTCGCACCACCAAATTGTTTTGCTGCTGCTGCTCAGCAGGGAATGTCGGAATGTTATGATTAGCCACGTGGGAAAGGGGTGAAACCGGGCACAGAATCGGCAGGGGCGACTTTTAGTTTCTGTTCTTGGAGCAACTGCATGGAGCAACCCTCAAACTTTCTGCATATGGGTGGTTGTAGTATGTAAGGGTAGCGCAAGCAACAGGCCAGTGCTTTCCTACGCGTCACGCAGATACTGGCATCAAACAAAATGAGCGGTCAATTTTTAGTGAAGTGCTTACCTCGTCTTCTTTGTTTGGAGGGGGTGGGCCCCTGAAAATCAACTACACAAAAAAGAGTGCCCAAAGAGGAAGACATGGGGCACACTCACCATACCATCAGGAAGTGGGAACTTAAACATGGCCACGTGTGCGGCACATGCAAAAGAAAAGGGGTATGGTTCACCAGTTCAGCGGCGTACACCCCCAGGAGTCATTCAATGTGTGCGCGGCCTGTTTACTGGCTTGGGAACCAGCATGTAATCTACAAAACCCTGTTTTGTTCACCTCCCCAACCTTTGTTGACCCATTTTAGTTTTTGGTGCACCCCTGTTCCCCCCACCTGTAATCTACCAAAAAGTTTAGGTGGTGTGTGTATGTGTGTGTGTGTGTGTTTGTTTGTTTGTGTGTGTTTTTGGGTCGGGCACAGTGATCCGCCAAGGGAGCCTCCCCCTTAATATCATTGATCAGCTCACCAAGGCCCAAAGCCAGCCGACCTTCTGACCTTTTGGTCCATGTTTGGTCACGGTCCCAACAGGTGATCATCCAGGGCAGCTGAGTCGACATTGCGTTCAAGTCAACAAACTGGTGCTTGTTTCCCGCAAAAGAGAGATGCGTGCGTCGTGTTTTAGGGGACCCCCTGTTGAACAAGTTGGGTGGTGTGCTTTTGGTTTCCCTGTAAACACGAAAAGGGTACGCCCCAAAAAACTTGCTGGTGCTCAGTAGGGAATGACCGTCCTGGTGTTGGGAATGAACCGGAAGGGGATTGCCTGAAAGGCAACCAAATCGGGATTTGTTTTTCTCGGGGTCCTTCCATTTCTCATTCCCTGCCTATCGAACTAAGAACACCTCACTTGCCCAGAGCGAATCTTTCTTTCCACCTTTTGGTTTTGCCATGGCAGCCATTGTTCGTCATGGCCCCCAAAGCGAGTCGACCTTTGATTTCTGGGTCCCTCAGGGGCCACCAAGCTGGGCACCTTCGACTCGTGAGGTGAACTTGCTGGTTTTCAGTAGGTAGGGAGTGTGGTGGAATGAACCGGAAGGGGAGTCCCAAGGAGGCCACAAGGCGTGGTGTTGTGAAAATTAAAGCACCAGGAATTGGGACCGCAGGTTTTGGTTCTTGGTTCCATCCAGGGCAACCCGATTTTGGGGGTTACCCTATATTTTCGACCCACAGCCACTTCTCATTCCCTGGCGATCGCACCGATCGCAAGTTGGTTTCCGGAGGTTCTGGAGCGCATCCGCGAGCAGATGAGCAGCTGGGAGGAGGTGGACCATGTCATCGATTTCCTCCAGACGCTCGTCTGAGGGTCACAAGCCCAAGCTTGGGGTCTCCAAATCTGGTGGGCTTTTTTTGGGGGGGTGGGGGGCTGGGTTGGGCTTGGGGTGGGTCTCTGGATATCTGGCTTGGGGGTGGGTCTCTAGGAAGGTGAGTTTCAAACTGTTTTAGTACTAGGGCTTCTGCTTTTTGAATTTTCTTGGGGCTGGGACCGACTGTCTTTAATTGTGGGGGGCGTCTATTAATGTAGGGGGGTGGGTGAGCTGCAGGCAGGTCAACAAGGGCACTTTGCAAGCTTGCCTGCTGAGTTTCAATTGGTTTAGAATTTCATGTTTGTAGTTGAGTAAGGGGAACATGTATGCATGTTAGACATATGTGTCTTTAATTGTGGGGGGTGTTTATACATCTAGGTGGGGTGGGTGAGCAGCATGCAGGTCAACAAGGGCACTTTGCAAGCTTACCTGGTGAGTTTCAATTAGGTTTGGGAATGTGGGAGCCAGTGGCTGCAGGGCTTGGCCATTATCATGGGTAGTGCTAGGGCACCGCTTTCTGAGCCTTGCTGTGCAGATCTAAGGTCTTCAGTACAAGCTGAGCACTTGGGATTGCAAGTTTTGATGCAAGTGAAGTTTTGATGTAGGCTACCAATCCGAGCGCTGAAAGAAATCGCTTGCAGCGAGCTTGGTACAGGTAGGTTAGTTGAAGTGTAGCGAGGTCAACAGAGACCTTGAAGGTTGATTTGATGAGTTTCAAATTGGTTTAGTATTACCTCAATTGAGTTCAGTAGGGACAGCAGGCACAGCAGGCCGGGACCTAGCAGCCAATGTATTTAATTGTGGGGGAGGTGTACAAATGCAGGTAGGTTAGTTGAAGTGCATTGAGGTCACGCGGGGCCCTGAAGGTTGATTTGATGAGTTTCAAGTAAGTTGTTTTAGCATTAGCTCAATTCAGTTTAGTAGGGACAGCAGGTACAGCAGGTCGGGACCCAGCAGCCAATTTCTTGAATTTGTGGGGGAGGTGTACAAACGCAGGTAGGTTAGTTGAAGTGTATTGAGGTCAACAGGGGCCCTGAAGGTTGATTTGATGAGTTTCAAATTGTTCTAGTATTGCCTTAATTGAATGTAGTAGGGGCAGCAGGTCGGGGCCTTCTTTTATTGTGGGAGGTTTTCTTGTGCTTGGACTATCGTGGGTCGTGAGCAGTAATTAACTTTAGTATTGGCCTGGTTTAAATTTTAGTATTTCCAATTTTTCGGGATCTCCGAAATAATTCTTCTATTGTGGGAGGTTGTATTAATCGAAAGCTGAGATTACTCACTTCCTGACTTCTTGGACTTTATACTGGTCGCATGCAACAATTTGGACTCGGTGTTGCCAAGTCAAGACGTGAGCTCAGGTGACCTTTCGTTGGTTGCATTGGCGGCACCCCTGATTTGCACCCCTGGTTCTTGGGTGCGGGGACATGGGAACCCACGCCTCCAAACCACCAATCCGAACCACCAAAAAAGGGAAGATGGTTGACTCAATATGAAGCATAATCATGGGAAAACCGCCCTAACCTCCAAAACCACCAATCCGAGCCGGGAAGCTGGTTGACTAGATATGAAGCAGACACATATCATGTGATTGTGAATGTTCTGTGCGCCTATGGCAAAGAAACCATGCGGGGGCCGCAACTTTCAAATTTTGGCCCATGGTGTTTCTGCGGTTTTGTTGAGGGGCCACCGAATTCCACCACTCCTAATTTTGAAACACCAAGTCGTCCACGGTAACTTCACGGTCGTTGGCATTTTCTAGATTATTTGTTTTCCCCCCCCCCCCCCGTTCTGTTCATTTCAGTGGGGCGCTGCCAAACCCATACCAGTGTGAGAAAGGTAAGCGCTATCTTTTCTCGTCAGGGGTTGGCATGGCCCGAAAGCATGTGTTTGGAGTAGCGCTCTACAGGGTTAGGCAACATGTGTTGAGACAGCCAGACCAAGTTGGTGAGGGAAGCCAATAGGAGGCTGCTATAAACAATAGATTGGTGTCTATGTGTGTGTGTGTGTGTGTTTTTGTTTGTGAGGGTACCCTGCTCACCTTGGGAAGGAAGGAAAACCAGAGGAAACCATTGTGGAGACCCACCTGCTACACACAGACACACACCCAGTTCTTCCAGCTTGCTACAGGGGGCAAAGGCCCATTGGCCGGAGGGTCTCAGTTGTTCAGTGGCTCCAATTATTTTTCATTTTTTTGGTGGCTACCCCAGTAAAATGGTCCAAGCCCAAAAAAGGGTTCCCTTTTTTTCCAGGGTCACTGAACAACTGAGGGGTGCAACGCAGGTTCTGTTGCAATTCCCTTCGCCCCCTCTGCCCCAAATTGCGCAGCTTCCTGAGCCCCGGTCACAAGCTGCACGCAAGTCAAATTCGGAAATCGCCGCCTTTCCACTTCGACGTGTTCGTAAGATTGTACCCCCTAATCCCAATGAGCACTTATTTAGGTGTATGTTTTGCAACACAAGTCTGGATGGTTTTGAGGGGTCCATAAGTTTAAGAAACATTCATATCTGTTTCTGAGTCTGTTCCATATTTCACCTACCCTATAATATAGAATAGTCTTGGGGGAGATCCCTACTGTAGCTACTCCAAAAGCCTTCTTTGCTTGGGGTATGTCTGAAGAATACAGTTCTCCATCGTCAATACCTCCTTTTCTAGCTCCCCCAGTAGTGCCCTTTTACCTTTTTTTTTTTTGGGGGGGGGTTCCCCTACCAAAATAGACTGCAGAAAAAAAATGGTACCCTTATTCTAACCTCTCTACTGGAGGACCTAGCAGACTTCTCTTGCAATTCTAAAAACCCTTCTGATTCAACTTAGAACACTGTTCAAGATTGGCATCATCTACTCAGTTGTTCAGTGGCTCCCTTTTTCCTTTTTTTTGGTGGCTGCCCCACTAAAATGGTCTTCCCAAAAAAGGGTTCCCTTTTTTTCTCCAGGGTCACTGAACAACTGAGTCTAAGCTGGGTCTTGCCATTCTTGAAGTGAGAGTTCAACCAGGGGACTTGTGTTGTTTTGTCAAACCGCGAAAACCGGGCAACGAATTGGCCACTCCCACGGTCCCGACCCGCATATGTTCTGTGTACCTAGACCCTCAAAATCACAAAGCAGGTGGAAGTCACCAGCCAGAAATGTGGGTTGCAGTAACTGTTTTTGGTAATATTTGGAATTCACAAGCCAGAATGTTGGGTTGCAGTGACCAAATTCACCAACCAGAATCTTGGGTTGCAGTAGCTGCTTTTTCAATAACCCATATTTAATAGGTTAGAATCACCAACCCACTTTGGACATCACCCACCCATTTTTGGAAATCACCCACCCATTTTGGATCGAATTTTGAGAGTCCAGCTACGTGGGCATTTCCGTCATTGGATCTGAGGCCATGCATCCACGACGGCAAGGGCCGGTGGCTCCCGGAGACCTGGGAGGACGACGGCCATCCGAACGATCAGGGGCACAGCGTCTCGGCCCATGTTGAGACGCCAACAAAAACCGCGGGGTCGCAGAAAATGCGAGTTAAATGGACCCTCAAACTACCCATGAAACCGGGAATTCACTCACAAGATTGGGGCAAGAACCATTTTTTAAGGGGAATTTCGAGGGCTCGGGGAGTTCTATTTTGAGATACCCTGCACTTGTTGCCATACAACCCACTAGAGAAATTGCCTCTATTGAAGGACCATGGTCCAACAGGACCCCCAGTCAGGTTCCATGGCAACGTAGAAGGAAGGGCAAGGTGAAACAGAGTCAGAAAAGATGTTCTTTGGTGTACAGGCTTGGGTCAAGCTTGAATGACCCCCCAGGAAAGTGCTTCCTTCATTCCCTGAGTTGACTGGACGAAGGTCACTTGAGCCAAAATCAAACCCGGGTAAGTGAAGGTTAGTAAGGGACGATCCCAGCCATAAATAGCTGCGGCCGCCTTCTTAGTTCTTTACATGGTTCGGGGTCGACCAATTTTGTACCAGGTTTTGATTGTGACTCACTTGGGTTTGGACCAAGTTTCTGTCAGCTTCACTTTAAGGGGTGGGGATACAACGAGCAACTTCTACGCTCTCCCACATGTTGGCCCCGTGTTAATCAACCCCAGTTTATTCCCAGGAAATGTTTTTCCCTCGGCTTAGCGGGGAATGAGACCACTTTTGGAGGGGCCAAAAACCACACCCCTAATCTAATAAACTGGTTGGATGGAAATTATATGGGGTCAACATTACCACAGAAAGTGTCGATCGCATTGGCCAATCCACTCGTTCGGTGAGTAATACCCCTTCTGCGTATCCCCGACTGATCGTCGCCGATTGGAAGGCTTGCAGGCAGTTGGATGCCTCCACCCTCCTTAGCTACTACGGCGTAATTATGCCCCTTCGATTCCATTTTTTGCAAGCGCGGGAACAAGACAACCTGGGCCACAAAAAAATAGCCATACGGTCATGTACGTCTTTTTTTGTCAACAGTTGGTAGACAAAAATACGGGTTGCATACGGCCAAATACGGCCATCAGCCAGAAAAAAGTGACCATACGGGGAAAACGATCTGATTTACCTTAAACAACGCCGAAACGAATGGTACCCTCCAAAAAAGACACACCCATGCCATGCGATGCGGGTTCTATGAGGTCACCCATGTGGAAACCCTCTAATTGTTTACATGATTCACCATCTAGGTCTCCCAGTAGTGCCCTTTACCCTTTTGTAGGGGAGGGTTCCCCTACTAAAATAGGCTACAGAAAGAAGTTGGTACCCTTATTCTACCCTCTTTACAGGAGGACCTAGCCATGGTTTTCATGATTAATCTTGTTGGTTTACTTGCAGTATGGCGAACGGGGCATCCACCGTACCTGGCCTCATGGGCAGTGGCAAGGCCTCTATCGGTGGCTCGTCTTCTTTGAGGAATCGGACCCCCCCAAACTGGCGCTCAGGGCGGTCTTTTTTTCGGCTTCCCTCGAAAATCACAAAAACGCACGTACACTCAAAAACGACACACCCGTGGAAGCCTTGGTTGGTACTGGGCCAATTTTCTTTCGAGTGTTTCTAGGGGTTATGAGGCGGTTTCCTTCTTGAGTGCCCAAAACTCGCGTTGGCAATTTTGGTAGGTGGCTCTACCTGGCGTCGGGGTCACTCTTCGGGGGGGCTTCTATCTCGCTTGCGAATATGTGGAGTAGGTGTTTCTGCCGGGTTTCACAACTATAGTAAGGCCTGTTTGAACTGGCTTCAGCATTTGTCTTTCCACTGTCAAAGTCACTCCCTGAGCCTAAGTGGTAGACTAAAGGGCAGACACCAACCAGCTATGACTTTGACAACCCAAAACAGTCAAAATAATGATCCCAGTCAACATCTTGCCCAAAGTCAAGAGGATTGGGTCGCTTCTTCAAGCTCCCTCTTGGGGGGTGACTTTGGTAAAAACCCATGGGGCCACTGGGACCAAGTGCTCCAGTGCTCTGAGGACTGATGTTCGAGTGCCTGGATGTGAATGCCGTGCTGGGCATGAACTGAAGCGTTGAAAAAGGTGTGCTTAGCTTATTGCATTTGCTGAAGACTATGCGTTATTTCCCGTTGTTGGATTGAAGACGTTCTCTATTTCCCCCAGTTGGATTTTTACGGACATTTTTGATTTTCTCCAGGATAATTATTCCCATGGCGACCAATTCTAAGTGAGTTCTCTCTCAGAAGTTGGTGCTAGGATTTCGCACATCTTTGTCACTCGCCCTTGTGATCGGAACCCCTGAACCTCAGAATCCATGCTGTGGATGGACGAAATCCATTTCGCACCACTATGAAACCATAAAAAACCATTGTTCGTTCATATGTACGTTGGGGAATCGAATCAGAAACCGTTGGGTTTCCGAACGGTGCGAAATGGAAAACAGATTTCGCAAAGCCATCCACAGTAGCAGCCCGAAATGCTTCCCCAGAATTAGTTCCCCTTTTTACTCTTTTTTTTGTTTTTGCTTTTTTGGGGTTCCCTTTGTGTTCCACGAACCAGGCAAAAAAGAGTATTTTTTTCGGCTGGGGTCCGATTTTTCCAGCCAAGAATGGTGGTGGCAGTCCACCCTGCCTGGGTGTTCCAACACCGAAACCTCTTAGCCATCTTACATGTTTGCTTATTGTGGTTGAGTGGCTGAAATCCAATCACTGAACTGCCAATTTTTTTGTTCAGGATGTTTGCTCCCCAAACCCAACGTCGACCAAGTTGAGGGGTTCTCAAAATTACTGTTGGGGGTTCCCTTTGAGCCAGCTCCCTTCCGAGGGTCATTTTGAGAATGTCTCTTTAATGGACCAATAAACCTTAGAATCCCTCCAGGCCCCAGTTGCGCAATTGGGCATTGCCAACTTGCCCCCGGATCCAGCCGGATCCAGTCCGCTGGCTGTGCCAAAGCTTTGGGACTTTGGGCTTGGGCCTTCCACTGGCACCCTCTTGAAATATCCACACGGGTATATGTGCTTGTTGTGTTGTTCTGTTTGTTTTTTCTGTTCTGTTTTTCTTGTTCTGTTTTTGTACTGTTTTTTTTGTGGTTATGTGTTTTGTCGGTTCTGTTTTTTTTGGTTCTGTTTTTTTGGTTCTGTGTTTTTTGGTCCTGTTTTGTTGGTTCTGTTCTGTTTTTTTTTTTTTTTCTCCGAGGGCCCGTTTTGGTTTTGTTCCCAATGGTACCCTGTTTGGGGTGGTTTCAAGGACAAGTGAAGGGACACCGACCATGTTTTGGGTCCGCCCCTGTTTTGAGACGAACCCACTTATTGTTGGGAAGACCAAAGGAAAGGACAAGCTATCAATATGGGTGTGTTGTATAATTACATACATATATATATATATATATACATATGTACGCGCGCACACACACACACACACGATGCGATGTGCGACGTGACTAGAGGACCCTGCACAGTTCGTAACGTTGTGAGTGCATGGTCACGGTGGACAGGCATGAGTCACATTTCCAAACCTGGTCCGAAAAGGAGTCTGCCCAAACAAAGAGAAGGGTTATCCCCCCTCTCCCCCCCTCCCCCCTCTCCCCCCATCCCCCCCCTCCCCCCCTCCCTTGTGGGCGGCACCTACTTGTACTACGGGGACAGCGCCATGCGGCCATGCGGCTGTGGCTCAAACACGTGGAGCCCAAATGAGCCCTTGGTGCAGTGGAACCAAAGACTAAAACCTGCGGTTTGCCCTGGCTTGTTTTTTGAGGCACACTCATACTATCTTCAGGATTGCTCCAAGCCCAACGATGGCCAAACTAGGTTGCAGGTTGGGGTGGAACATTAGTAGCCATGCTTATGTTGTTAGGTTGTTAGTTAGTTTGGTGGAGGTTTCCGTTTAGCCCACTAAAAGTTAATCACTTTTAGCAGGGGATCTGAATACAGACAGTTTCCTTTTGGTGGTTTTAAAGTGATTCCATCTTTGCGTTTCAGCTCTTCTTTTTGTTTTAGTTATTGTCAGTATCATTATTTCCTCCTGGTGGTTTTAAAGGGAATCACTCCAAGACATATTTGGAACTAGTTGGAACCAGTTTTGATCTGCGGCCAGGTGCAAGCCTTCAATGACGCGGCGAAAACTCAGATGCTCGGATGGTGATTTCTTTCGTGGCCGCACCTCATATGCTCGTGCAGGGTCCTTGTTAGACTCCTGTTGCACATCTGGAAATTCTGGGATTCAGCTTAGAACACTATTCGAGACTGTCATCATCTACATTCTGTTTTGCCATTCTTGAAACGGGAGTTGAACCCGGGGAACCCGAAAAACGCCAACCTGTGTGCTGCCTTCGAGAAAAGCATAAAAAGTTGCGCGCCTGCAGTTCCACGACCCTTAAACAATGGGTCATTACCCATTGTAAAGGGGTCATGGCTCCACTTTCCAAGGGTCATGGAGACTCCATTGCCTTTGCAAGGGGTGAAATGTGGATATCCAGTTGTCCAAGTTGGGGCTCACACTTGTGCGTCTCAAGTCCGCCTTTGGGCCAATGGAGAACTGAGTCAAAGTGAGTTTGCTTTCGGGTGGTGTTTAGGGTGAAAGTTCAGGGACGTGGCGGGGCGCAGATGTTATGCCGGGGCGGTATGTCGAAAACATGATTTGTGGATTCCATTTGCAGGGAGAAAGTAGATGTGATGACTCATGGGAGCTGTGGTTCATGGTCGGCTTGGGATGCCTCTTGAGAGCAGCAACATGCAAAACACCAAAAATCAAACGCCCCCACGTGTTTTGCCATCTGAAAGGGACTGAAAACATTTGGGGGTGGATGCCCATTCTTGGAGATGCAGGGTCCCTTAAACATGGGTTGATTGGGGAAGGGAAATCGGATTTTAACCAAAGAAGATGTCCATTTAGTTGACCCCCTAGTAGTCAACCCCAGCTTACCCTCCAAAAAGGATGTTTCCCCCCTAAACCCTGGCGTCAACCTTTTTTATGGTCCTTTTTTTTACGAGGATCAGAAAAATTGGGAATTGAGGGACCCCCACCCCTCCCTTCAGGTAGGGGGATCTTTGAGGAGAGCGAAGCTTCATCTCCTGAACCCGCGAGCGAGGAACGATGCCTTCAACTTCGGCACGATGCCGGCGAACGTGGCCAGTCCCAGTTTGGGGGGGGGGGACGAGTGCTGGGATGACCCCAGTCATGCAAGCCTTGCAGTGACGCATTCCCCCCCAAAAGCTCTAAAGCCTGGCTTTTTTCAGATGGTACATGTTCAAACCAGGTTTCCGCATGGCCAAACCTCCTTTTTAAGTGTGTTGACATCATAGCCATCAAACACATGTTGGGGGCATTGGGTGTAAGGGGTCACCATTCACTTGGGCCGGCGGATCTTTCCGTTGGAAGTTTGGGCACCTCGGAAGATGGAACCTGGGCCTCAGAGGTCCAGTGGCGTTTTTTTTTTTTTTCCTCCTTCCTTCCTACTTTTTGTTTTTCCTTTCTGAGGCTCGGCTAGGTCCCCAGCTAGGTGCCCCTTTTTTACCAACTTTTTTCGGGGAGAGATTCGGTTCCCCTACTAATATAGACAAAAAAGAAGTTGGTGCGCGAAAGTTCTAAGCTCTCAAATCTGGAGGACTTTTTCTCTCACCTGTAAGTCCCGGGCGTGTTGCCACTATCTCAGTTGTTCAGTGGCTCCAATTATTTTTCCCTTTTGTTTTCCTGGTGGCTGCCCCACTAAAATGGTCCAAGCCCCAAACAAGCGTTCCAATCCCTTTTTTTCCAGGGTCACTGAACAACTGAGCTATGGTAGGTAAGCCTTCGATCCATGTTCAACTTGTTGTTTTCTTCAGGCTGGCAAGCACATGGTTACCTTACACCAACCCCAAGCCGGCTCTAAGCCGAGCGCAGATGAACCAAAGCCAAAGACACCCTAAATCTACTGAACAGCATACCGAAATCCTATCCCCGAAGCCCAAGACGCAACTATGGAAATGGAATCAGTGGGTTAGTTAATGCTTGGCGGTTTGGATTTTGGATCTGGATTTGAACGGGTCCCCTAACTTTTCTCAGGGTCCCCCAATTGATTTGGCTGTGGCTCAAAAACATGTACTAGAATGGCCCCTTGGCAAATGGAACCAGAGACTAAAACCTGCGAAACCCTACCTCTTAGTTTTGAGCCACCCCCATTTAGAGGATTGGAGCCCGTGGTTGTGGAGGGTAAATAAGAACCCACCCCAGACCCAGCAAATCACTGGGCTCCAAGCCACCAGTGGGAAGCTGATCTCCGAGAGGAAAGCCGAAGTCCAGTTTCGGAGGCTGTTGAGTTGGAAGCGAAGCTGATCCAAACATCCGACCTCCAGCAGGTTCCGCTGGTTCAATCATCCTGTCTTGATGACCTCTTTAACAAAGGGTGGCCCTGACCCAAAATAATGGTTGGTCATGACCCAACCCTTTTTTTTAAGGGTCATGGAGACAGGACGAGCGACCAAGTCGAAGTACTTCACTTGCAGGCCTTGGAACCTTTTAAGCTTGCTGTTTTCAAGTTGAGTTTTTTGGATTTACCCAGAGGCTCGCTCCGATCGGCTTCGGCTTTCAATGGAAGACCCGTCCCCTCCACTAGACACCCCGGGAATTTGTGGTTGGGACCCGGTCTCAAAACCAGGTTGTTTGAAAGCCCTAAATCAATCGAATTGGAGCCTCTGGGTACTTGGTTTCCCAGTCGAACAACACCTGTCCGACCGGCTGCTCTCCCAGTGAACTCATGCTCCTAACATGGGCCTCGTTGCACATGCTTGCGTCTTCGTGACTTCTTCTTCACCCGCGTTCGCAGAGATCAGCCGGACTTTGTATTCTTACCACTTGAACAAAAGCAGTTGAATGCAAGCTGCTCCAGTACAGCTTTTTATGGATGGTCCGGACACACAGACCTGGTGATTTTCTGTGAGAATTCAAGACTTGCTGAAGCTTGACAGACCTCAACTGAGTCTTGCAAGATCCCCCCAACCCTCTCAAGACTTGCTGGGGGATGTTTTGCTAAGACCTCGAAGTTGTTGGTACGGGTCGTGGTCTCGAGTGGTTGCCGGTTCTCTTATTGGGCGCA